TGCATCTTCTCTCACATCTCTCCAACTTGACCGTTGTGGGTTGAATGGGGAATTCTCAGTAGGCATCTTCCACCTACCAAACTTAGAGGTTCTGGATGTGTATGGTAACTCAAACCTTACCGGTTCTTTCCCTAACTTTAACAGGAGCAATAATCTCTTTAAGAAATTGAATGTTGCGTTCACAAATTTCTTTGGCATGCTGCCTGCTTCTATCGGAAACCTCCATTCCTTAAATTTCTTGGACATCTCCCATTGTAATTTTTCCCACTATCTTCCATCTTCACTCGGAAACCTTACCCAGCTCAACTACCTTCACATGAGTGGAATATTTTATGACGTTCCAAATAATAATTCCACAGGCCAATTAGTTTCTGAATATTCCTTGTCTTGGATAGCGAGTTTAACCAACCTCCACCATTTGTTCCTTCGGGCCACCAAATTCAGGGGACACCTCACACAACTTTCATTTCTAGACTTGGGTGGTAACGAAATAACTGGTCAAATCCCGTCTTGGCTTATGAATTTGAGCGGAGCAATTCCTAGGTCACTCTTCCAGCTCCAAAATCTTGAATTTCTTTACCTTTCCTCTAATAACTTGAGTGGACAAGTTGAGTTTGATCAGTTTTCCCAGCCCAAAAAGTTAAAGGTACTTTATTTATCATACAACAAGTTATCTCTGCAGATCATAACCAATTTGAGTGCTACTATTCCACAACTTGAATTTCTAGAGTTGACGTCATGCAACTTAACAGAGTTTCCAGAAATTTTAAAATATCAATCCGAATTGCGCTACTTACAACTTAGCGACAACAACATTCAAGGGCGAATACCAAAATGGGTGTGGAATGCAAGTGGAGAAACTTTGGACACTCTCAACCTCTCTTCCAACTTCTTAACAGGATTTGACCAAAATCCAATCAATCTTCCATGGCAGAATCTATATTCTTCAGATCTCCGGACCAATATGTTACAAGGATCACTGCCAATTCCACCACAATCAATCAGAAACTATATGGTCGGCAGCAATAATTACAGTGGAGAAATTTCGCCCTCGTTCTGCAACTTGAATCATTTGCACATTCTTGATTTGTCCAACAACAGCCTGAGTGGCATGCTTCCACAATGTTTGGGGAACTCCAGTGCTCTTGAAATATTGATGATGAACGACAATTCTTTTCATGGCAATATTCCTCAAATGTGTCCAGATGAAAATAGTTTGAAAATGGTTGATTTGAGTTACAATCAGTTACAGGGAAAAGTACCAAGATCAATGGCCAATTGCACTAAATTAGAGTTTCTCAACCTTGGAAACAATCATATGCGCGACATCTTCCCATCTTGGTTAGGGGCACTTCCAGCACTACAGTTTCTCAGTTTGAGGTCTAATGGATTTCATGGCATGATTGGGAAGTATGCAACTAACCATGACTTCCCAAAGTTGTGCATCATTGATTTATCTGACAATGGTTTTTCAGGTGTGTTGCCCTCTAACTACTTAGAGAACTGGAATTCCATGAAATTTGTTAATGCGAACGAGGAAACTTATTTTGAAGTCCTTTCGATGTCAGACGGTCTTTTGGGGGAACTTAAATATGTTTATTTTTATAAATACTCGATCACAATTTTTGCAAAAGGTGTTGAGTTGAAATATAAGAAGACTCCTTATCCTCTAAGATTGATAGATTTCTCAAGTAATAGATTTGAAGGAGAGATTCCAGCAGGTGTCATTGGGAATCTAAGAGGCCTTATTTTGCTTAACCTCTCCAACAACACTCTCACTGGTCTCATCCCATCGTCTTTATGGAACTTGACGGCTCTTGAATCGTTGGATCTCTCCTGAAACCAGCTCTCAGGAAGGATCCCCAGTAATTTGGCACAACTCACTTTCCTTGAATATTTCAATGTATCCTATAACCATCTTCGGGGTCCTATACCACTTGGCCAACAATTTGGTACATTCCTAGAAGATTCATACCAAGGAAACTCAGATCTGTGTGGAAAGCCTTTGTCAAATAAATGTGATAGCTCAATATCGCTACCACCATCAATCTTTGAAGAAGATGAAGATTCCGGGTTTCAAATTGCACTAGATTGGTATGTGGTTCTGCCAGGAGTTGTTAGTGGTCTAATAGTTGGAGCGGTTGCTGGGAACTTTTGGACAAGCAAGAATCATGAATGGTTTTTAGAGAAATTTAGCAGGAAGAGGCAGCCAAGAGGCACACGGGGGAGGAGAGGACACAGAAACTAAGTACTTTTATCTTGCAGCTGCTACTGTTGTTGTTTTGAATTCTTGTATGGGGTCTGGTGCTTCTGTTTTATTACAATAAGGGTGGTGGTGTAATTTGCTTGTATTAATTTGTACAACAATGTTTGTAACTTTGTAATATGTTTCTGTATGAGTACAAAAAAGTACATTTTCTGTTTCCTGTTTGCTTAGTTTCTTTGATTTCCTGAATTGTTGTTCTTAATTAAGTACCCAATATTTGGATGCATAATGCTTACTTTGCAGCCAGTATATGTTGCTACTATCAACTTCTAGTGGGTAATTTGCCAACTCTCTTGAGGTTCTTCTCTGTCCTTCTCTGCCTTCTCTGTTCTTCTCTTGATTCTTATTAAGAAAGACACATGATTTTAAAATGTTGAAGCCAAAATTTTACTTGCATTGCTGCCTTCATTTACTTGTTTACCAACCAGAAGATTTTGGCTGTATCTTGTAATCACTTTGTAACATGAATTAAGAAATTTTCTTACAAAAATAACCCATGAAAACTTTTGAATGACCAACAAACCCTTAATATATCCCATGGCAAGAACAAGGCCACAAAGAAAAACTACAAGCATTTGTGGCTAAATTTCCCAAACAGGTGAAGCCATAGATTCTACAGTGGCTCACTTGTAGCTAAGAGAGCGTTAGGCTAGTATGTCAACTCTGGCTGTAATTTCATTGTTTGTTTTCCAAGTCTTTTTCTGTTTACCTTTTCTCTGCTGCTGGTTTGTTTCCAAGTTCTCAACCCTATCCCTATGTGATTGTTCAAAGAGTCTCTCAATGAATGCTTAGTTTATTCAACTTGACTTTCCTAACCCCAAAAGAATATCATATTAAAAAGCAAAAACTAAATACTAAACACATGAGAGAGAGAGAGAGAGAGAGAGAGAGAGAGAGAGAGAGCAACTTTTCAAGAAAACCCAAAATATGATGAACTCTTTTGGGCCATAGATCTGAGTGCCAATGTGCTGATTTGAATCAGATGGTAGGAGGAAATTCTATGTAATAATAATATACATGTTGACCTATTTATGTGGCACATACTTTACAACAACAAAATACAACAAATGACAGTCTTCAGGGAAGTGAGTGAAATTGTGAAAAATGTCATGTGCTGTTCACAGGTTTGATGTGCTTGTAGTTTTGCAATTATCAAATTCTTTGCACTGCAAGCAAAGAATAGAAAACAGTGCTTCTCTCATTCAAATGTGTCCAACGAACAAGTCCAAGACAATACAAAACAACTCCCCATGACACTCGTCTCTAAATGCATGCAGGGGTGTGGGGTAGATACAGCCATCCATCCTTGTGTCTTTATAAAATCTAATGTCAAATCTCTCTCTGTATTTTATTGATATTATTTTGTTATATGCTTTCTGTATAAAAGGACTTGGGGGTTTCCTTTCTGAGCCAAATTCCAACCCCATGAAGACAAACAGATGGTTGCTGTCTCATCATCGTCTGAAAAATCTTCTATTGCTGTGGCTGGTATCCAATGCCAGTGCCACATTATTTTCTTGAAGAGGAAACTGGAAAAACACAGCCTCCTATGTGATATGTGACTTTTTGGTGTTCCTTGGAAGAAGAAGAAGAGGTAGAAAGATGAAACTCATATTCTGAATCCGATGCAGCATATGGTTTCTTTTACCTTTTCAATTGAAATCCACAATTAATTAAGCAAAGTATTAGCTGAAAAATGAACCTATTAGAGCTGAATATAGTGATAGTGGGAATTTTATTCATACTTTTCTACTACAGAATTGAGATTTCAGAAATTTGATTTCTTGGATCAATTGGAGGGTTCCTATCAACTTTTGACCTACTGAACCACCTAGCTAGGTCAAAGAACGTGGAACTGGAGAAAGGGACAAGAAGAGCCACTAACCTTGATGAAGGCAGAGGATGAAGAAAATGGTGGCCAATGAGCTCTGACTCTGCTTCATTGAGACATTGCAGCAATTGCGATCTCAGATTTGCAGACAACCAGCGTTGTACATGGTGAATGTATCCCAGATAGAGCCGAAGAAGCAGCAGCAACAAAGAAAGAAATTGAGTCTCTACTCTACGTTTCAATTTGAAGCAGCAGCTAATACTTGTTTAAAGATTTGCGAGAGGACACGAGACGATTTGGATAGTTAGTCTTAATTCCCTTACTTTCTTCAAAAATAAAAAATTTACTTTAAAATAATTGTGTTTAATTGATGGCTTGATATATCAACTTTTAACTCAAGTAGCACTATATATATATATATATGGTCAGAAGGAGCACTAGATATGATATTAAAAAATATCATCCAATAAATCAACAACATGTCATCTAATAATTGGTCAAATTATTAAAGGAAAAAACAAAAATGAAAAATAAATAAATCCGTCAAGTCAAAACACCACCGACACCCAAAGCAAGAACCAGAACCAGAACCAGATCTGAGTCTGGGACAAAAAGCAACTCTCAATTCACAAAATAAGTAGTTGCTTTGCTGCTGTTAGCTTGTTTGTAATCTCATGAGCCTCCTCCTCCTATTCCTATAAAAGAAAAGTTTGGACTTTTTTGTTGTATTATATTCACCCAATAATTCGATGGGTGACGGTGCATGTTTTATTTTCTCAATCACAGACAGAACACAGTCGTCCCCCCCTTGCGGTCTTCTTCTCCACCCCATTCCCCCATGACCATCAACCCTTCACTCCAGACCAATCCCCCCACCTCCCTTCAATTTTTTTTACCCCCAGACTATTCATCCCTTCCCATCCTAACCCGATTCCCCTGACTACCACCCCTCAACGAACCCAGAACCCACAGACCCACCCCACAACAACCAAGAACCCAAAGACAAACCCCCCAAATCCCACGAACCCATAACCGCCGCAACATCATTCCCCCATGACCACCACCGCAAGCTTCCTTTTCTCCATCTCTTCCTCTCTCTCTCTCTCCCCCATCTCTTTCTCCCTTTCCCATTACAGCTCCCTCCTCCCCTTTGTAATCTGTATTTTATTTACAACAGAGGGAAAAAGATGAAGTGGGTGGGCCCCTGTTTATTAAAATAATTTGTGAATATATATACATATATATTTTTTCAACATTCAAAATGACCAATTTACCCCCATATTTAACAACAAATTCAATGAAATGTTGAGATTTAGACAGTAAGAGGGGAATTGAAAATAAAATTTAATTTGAGTCCTTAATTCGCTAAAAAAAAGGACATGGGGTAAATTGATAATAAGTACAAATTTTGGGGGCATTTCGGTAGTTTACCATATATATACACGATGAGAGATATTTTATTAAAAACGACACCTCATCCCATCGGTGGCTTCATTGCATTGTCACGGCGCAAAAGTAAACTCAACTCAACCAAAAGAGCAACATAAACCATCTAATATCATAAATTATCCCCTCTAAAGTAATATCTAATATATCAACTTTCATAAAAAAGAACCAGGTGTATATTGTATCTTTTTTGTCAAATTTCAAATTCAATTTTGTCAGCAAGCATGATCTAATTTTTTGTGCACTAAAACATAAGTCTTGAGAAAGGTTTGTGTTTTTGTTTTTGGTCGGTAAAGGATAATTCATTCAAAAAACGCCACAACATGGCAAATAAGCTTTACAAAAGGAGAAACATCAACTGGTAGCTCTACCTCTACGCCCCAACAAGGATACCCTCCCAACAAAATAGGAGACCATCAGAAACCAAAGACAAAGGTGGCTGATCAGCCCAACTTTCTAGTTACGCTTCTCTCATACATGTCGAAGCCGCATCATGAGTATATTTATATTTGGTTCCACATTAGCATGACAAGAATGTTTGTCATAAAACAGAGGACGTTTTTAGTAATAAGTGTTAGTACCACTTTGAAAAACCCAAGGGAAGTGTTGTATAGTAATGTAGCTCGAAAGTCTGAGTGTCGTATCCATAGAGAGCGATGTAAAGAAAATAACAAAGATGAAAAAGAACAATTGTGATTAAAACACTAAGGCATTGGGGTTCCACTTTTAATATAAGCATGCAACTCTTATTAATTTGATCCAAGGATTAAAATATCGACTGTGCAGATAATATCGAGCCTCCAATTTACGGATATTTTGAGGAATATATCGTTATCGTTTTAGGTATCGTGAAAAAATCAACAAAAATGACAGATATATGCATTGAAACACATAATTTTGGTGTAAAACTTTCATAGATGTTATGTACATTATCAATGAATGTATTGAACAAATAAAACTCAAAATTTACTAATAATAAGATATACATATGATGAAATATAAGTTGTATGTAATGCGCATAAATGAAAATTTTGAAAATAAAATGTTAATTAGAATGAATAAACCATGCATAAATCCATAGTTTGTTTAAACATTGGATTACAATTTAGATAAGTGTCCATCTACATAAATGAAGAGCTCCTGTAAGGTTCAAACAATGAGGAACAACCATCTAGATTCATACAATAGTCATACCAAGTCATGTAACCCGAGCAGGTTGTAAGCCATGTTTGAACATGGTGCACATAGGTCTCTCTTGAGCTCCCTATTGTCTTCCCATATATGGGATAGTTAGGATTAACCAACTAGTAGGTCCATTATCTTTTTATCATCTTGAGCTCCATAACTAGTGCACTATAATCAGACATGACATAACCATAGCCATCATAAGATTCATTTGAGTAGTACTAGGTCTAGTTTATATGCTCATAGATCCAAAATTGATTGCCATGTCCTCTTCAGATGGATTAGATGTATGTGGGCAGTGGACTGTGCATAGATTCTTCATATTAATAAATTATAGGGTTCTTGGCAAGGATTAGTTATTTTTGGGTTTCAATTTGCTTCAATTGCCTTCAAACTTCTGAATTTTTTTTGGGTTATGTTATGGGTATCGGGAAATATCATGGATATCGGCAAAATATCGGGGATATTGCACTTATCGGGGATATATCGTCGATCCAGGGGAAGATATAGCCTTATCCCCCAATATCGGTGTCGATAATTGAAAATACAGATATATTGGTGTATCGGCCGATATTTCAGTCCTGGATTTGATCCACAAAATATTTTCCATTGTAGTTGTTCAAAATAATTAAAACTCTTTTTAATTTCCTTTAGAAGTATTCTAAGCATAACTTGTACCATTGGCAACAAACTATCAAAAAAATAATCTTCGTCGAAATTCTATTAATCTTAGTTAATTATCTCATCTTTTAAAAGTATGAAAGTTTTTACTACACAATGGGAAAAACATGATTGAACCCATGAAATAGAATATCAAACATTCATCAATTAATAAAAAGAAATGTAACATCTCACATCGACCAACTGAGAGGGGGTGATATGTCTTATATGTACATGTCCGCCTTCATCTGGCACGAGGCTTCTGGGAGCTCATTGGCTTCGGAATCATGGGAACTCCGAAGTTAAGCGAGTTGGAGCTAGAGCAATCCTAGGATGGGTGACCCATTGGGAATTTGCTCGTGAGTTCCCATAAACAAAACTGTGAGGGCAAATGGGGGGCCTAAATTGGACAATATTGTGCTACAGTGGAGCCGATCCCGAGATGTGACAAGAAAAACTACAAATTCCATTTGATCAAAACTAAAAATTCACATTAAAGCTTAAGTTTGGATCAAACTAATAAAAATTACATACTCATATTAAAAGCTTTCTTCCTAGCCTTAGCTAGGGAGTTAGTTTCCCATAAAATAAAACTAAAACGGAAATTTAGAACTAGAAGAATTGGAGGAAGGAGAGAGAGCTCAAGAGGAGATTGTGAGCTTGGTGTGTGTTTTGAAGCTTGAAGACTTCTCTATTTATAGGGCTAAGAATGACAAACATTATGATGAATTCCAACACCATCATTCCTATTTAAATGCAATACCTAACTCGCACTTCATCTTGCCTATGTTAGTGTGGTTGGAATCAATTCCATTGTTGAATTGTTTTCTTTTTTTCTTCCTTTCCTTGTGGCTTTCATCCTTTTTTTAGATAAAATGCATTGAATTTGAGCTTCTTTGGAGTGGATGTGTTGCGAGGAGTTAGCTGCACCAAAATGAATTCAACTGCATCTTCAACTTGTGATACTCGCAAGTGCACGAGCCATTTGGTAGTATAGCATATGTAAGTGAGAGGTCGATTCCACGAGGATTGATGATAGATTGATTCAATTCAATTCCCTGTATAAACAAAAATGGAAACAAGGTTTAAAGATGATTGTGAAAACTACAAAGATTGAAAAGAAGAAATAAAGAAAATAACTAACTCAAGCAAATAAGTTCCCAAGTTCAATTTAGATTAATGGATTGATTCTAACTAAAGTATGATTAAGCCATGGTGTCTGGCCCTAACCTTGTATTCATAATTCCCTAATTTGATCATATGTTGTCTAACCTAAAATTAAGCATGGAAGAACATTTTAAACAACCAAGTATGTATCTAATCCCAATTGTCGAATTATATACACACTTTTTCTATTCATAGTTCAATTTGAATTAAAGCTTGATGTCTACTCTTAATTCAAACCAAGATAGCTAACATGCAAGCCTTAATGGTGATCAATAATTCAAACTAGCATATTAACTTATAAGCATAATGAATAAGAACAAAAACCATAATTGAAACTTGAAAACTAAGAAATTGCATTACAATGAAAATTAAATTAGAACTCAAAAACTTGAAGAAAAATTTAGTAAAAGTATTTTGTTACAACAATTTAGAACTAGAAAGGAAAACCAAGAGGATTTGAGGGAGAGAAGGGTGGGGAGCTCCAGAGAAGTGTTTGAGAGCTCCCCTCCTTGGGGTTTGTTTATAAGCTTGGAGAACCTCGCTATTTACAAGCCTAGGGGAAGTGAAAATCTGAATTATACAATTGAGTTTATTAATCACACTCACTTTACCTAACACGCAATTACATTTGAAAACAATTCCTCTTGTCTTTAGGCTTAGTGTTGCAACTCTCACTTCATCTTCTTTTATTTCATTTGGCCACTGCAAAACTCTACTTCAATTATAAGTATTGAATCTGCTTCACCTAACTTTCCAACAATCAATAACACTTCATGCATATGTCATGCATGACAATGCATTGCAGTCTTCTTTTGGGTTTGTTTTGGGCTTGTTCCATTCATAAAATTCTGGAAAAATATATATCTTGAATCTTTGTCTTATCTTTCCAAGCATATACAGCCCAACTAAAGGAAAAATCGGAAAGACCTTCAAATGTCATTTTTGGCCTAGTAACGCAGATGCTGCCGATTTTGACCTTAAGCTGCCAGAACTTGCATAACTTCCTCTACAAGACTCGGAACCATAAACCGTAAAATGCTGCAGAAACTAGACTTCAACATCTTTCCAATGATGTATGGATCATTATCTAGTTCTTCCTGAGAAAGTGCAGTCTAATCCATGAATTTTATTGATCCGCAGACACAATTATTGAACTAACTTGACTCCAAAATGTATTAAATGAGTCCCAAAGCTTAATACACTGAAACAAAGATAAAAGAGATTAAAAGCACAAGTTTAACTAAAAAAATATAACCAAATCATAAGTTAGAAGGGTACAAAATGATATATAATTATGCACCGATCAAGATGACACCTTACAAGCATGTGAATTCCATTTCTTCTTGTTTGTTTCCATCCCATACTTCTTTTCCTTTCTTCTTTTGGCATGGGTGAGGCACTACATGCATTCTTTTGAATTCATTATCTTCTTGTGCTAGTTGCACTTCTTCCTTCATCATCATTGCTTCATGGATATGTTGAAGTTCTTTAATTGGCCACTACCATATTATCATCCGGTGTCACACTTCTTGGCATGCAAATTGAGTTAGTTTTCACAACACATAAGCCTACATAGGAAGTCATTGATCAAATTAATAAATGACATTAAACCAATTTGACCAAGTAAAAATATAAATGTGCATAAGATTTTTTAATTACTCATTATAATTGCTTTGAAAGATAAATGTTAAGGGAAATAAACATGTATTATTGTAATATTATCAACAAGATTTATTCGCCTTTTTAAACTAGAAAGTGTTAGTGTCTAGTGTTGGGCTATTGGCCTTTATCACTAGCTTGATTACAAACAAAAAGCTTAATGCCTATTTATAGAGGGAACAAACTGATCGGTTCATAATTACATATCATTTTGTATCCTTCTAACTTATGATTTGATTAGTTTTTGAGTTAAGCTTGTGCTTTTAATCATTTTGTGTTTGTTTTAGGGTATTAAGCTTTGGGACTCATTTAATGCATCTTGGAGTCAAGTGAGCTCAAAATTGTGTCTGCAGATCAGTCAAATTCACGGATTGGACTGTGCGCAGGAAGAACCAGATAATGAGCCCTATATCATTGGAAAGATGTTGAAGTCGAGTTTCTGGAGCATTTTACGGTTCATGATTCCGAATCTTCTAGAGGATGTTACACAAGTTTTGGCAGCTTAAGGTCAAATTTGGCAGCATTTGCGTTACTGGGTCAAAAATGACATTTGAAGGTCTTTCTGATTTTTCCTTGAGCTGGGCTGCATATGCTTGGAAAGATAAAACAAAGAGCTTCAAGATCCATATTTTTTCAAATTTTTCATATTGGAGGAACAAACCCAAAAGAAGACTGCAATGCATTGTCATGCATGACATATGCATGAACTAATTGCTTGTGGTGGAATTTGTTAGTGGAGTTTTGCAGCAGACAAAAGAAATAAATAAGATGGAGTGGGAGCTGCAACACTAAGCCTAAAGACAAAAGGAATTGTTTTCAAATGCAATTGTGTGTTAGGAGAAGTGAGTGTGATTAATGCGCTCAATTGTATAATTAGATTTTACTTCTCCTAGACCTATAAATAGTGAGGTTCTCTAAGCTTGTAAACAAACCCCAAGGGGGCGAGCTCTCAAACACTTATCTAGAGCTTCCCTCCCTTCTTTCCTTCAAATTCTCTTAGTTTCCCTTTCTAGTTCTCAATTGTTGTAACAAAATCCTTTACTAAATCTCAAACACTTTCTTCTCCCTTCTCTTCTTCTAAATTCTTCAAACACCTCTCTCTTTTCTCTTTCAAAATTTTCCATGTTCTCATACACTTCTCAAACGCATCTCTCTTCCCTTCCAAAAGTTCTCCAAGCTCTCAAACACCACTTTCTTCTCTTCAAAAATTCTCCATGTTCTCAATTGTTGTACAAACCTTTTGCTTCTTAGTTGTAATTTATTTTAATTGAAAACTATATTGGAGCATTCAATCACCAATCCCTATGGAATCGACCTCACACTTACATATGCTAAACTACCAACGGCTCGTGCACTTGCGAGTATCACAAGTTGTAGATGCAGCTGAATCCAATTTGGTGAAGCTAAAACGATGCAACACAAACCAAGTAGTAAAGTCGGTTATTCTAGTAAACCAACACTAACTTGTAATTACAACCACATATTGTAGCTTCAATTAAGTTAGTGACTAGTATTTAGGGAATACATCCACCAACTTTGCATTCTAAATTATTCTATAAAATTCTACTAGCTTGTAGAAGTCTCCACCAAATGTGCATTATTTTCAAGCCTTAATGACTTCAGAGTGATAAACACAAAATAAACTACGTGTAGAATAAGTTATGATCGAAGACGGTAAACTTGACTTCAAGTCATTACATTAATGGAAGAGGGTCCGTGCATATGGACACTGCTCTACGGACAAAAATGTGTGTGGTGATGATGATCAATGACTTATAATCTGGTTCAAGACTTTTCAGCCTTAATGACTTCAAAGTGATAAACATGAAATAAACTACTCGTAGAATAAGTTATAATCGAAGACAATAAACTCGACTTCAAGTCATTACATTAATGGAAGAGGGTCCGTGCATATGCACACTGCTCCACGGACAAAAACGTGTGTGGTGATGATGATCAATGACTTATAATCTGGTTCAAGACTTTTCAACCTTAATGACGTCAAAGTGATAAACATGAAATAAACTACTCGTAGAATAAGTTATGATCAAAGACAATAAACTCTATTTCAAGTCATTACAGTAATGAAAAAAGGTCCAATATCGAAGCACGGCTCAATTCTGTAGATTGTGCCAAACTTATTTCACAATGGCCTTAAAACCAAAGCCTTGAAGAATTCACAGCTACACACCACAATAACAAATATAAAAACAACAAACAACAAATCTACTTAACCTTGGGGATGAACAAACGCGATGACAGTAGTATTGCATACACACTAATCAAGCTATGTAAATTGGACGGCCTAAAGATTACGTCTCCACCATGTCCATTTGATGGGCTATAAAGTGACTATTTTGTTCATTTGGGGAACCAAGACTTCTTTCATGTTAAGACTGGCACTAATTATGAATTTTACAAGGTTCAACATATTTGTATCACCATGTTTCAAATATTTATTCGAGAAGATGGAAGACATATGATCAAGACCTTACATTCAACTGTTCTTCCTGTTGATATTAAGGCTTGTGGTCGATTCATGCTCACGTTTAATTGATGACTTGATATATCAACTTTTAACTCAAGTAGCACTAGATATGATATTGAGTAAAAAGAATAGAACCTAAACAAAAAAGAAAAATAAGTGAAAAGACGACACAAATGTTGTTAAAAGTTCACGGAGACAAATGATATTGATGACCGAGGGGTTTACCTCAATGGTGAGGTCCCTCCCCTCTCCCCCCCTCCCCCCGTCCTCGACCACTTGGTCACGTGTTCAAATCCCAGAAAAAATGCCTCCCTCTCCAATCGCTATAATGAAAAGAAAATATATTAACCAAAAGAGCGACATAAACATCTAATATCATAAATTATCCCCTCTAAAGTAATATCTAATTGTCACGCCCCAATCCACGGATTTACATAACCTTGGGTTAAGACGTGATTTACACCTTAATTATAGAATTGGATAAAAACTATAATTAAACTATGTGCACTATGCGATCCCTAAGACTTGGTATCTGCCAAGAGTTAAACTCAACTACACAAAAGACTATTTCCATTATCCTCTTTTCCATTATTATTTTCTCAACCCAACAACTCCAACTAATTTCCATGACATGATATAATTATGTATTTCACATCTCCATATATCTCACAACAATGTAACATTTAAAACATTACCAATTTATATATATAATTATGCCAACATTATTCAACCAATCAAGAACACATAAACATTCCAGGAAAAACATTCAATTGTAACAAGAATATAATCAAATAATCATATCACGCATAATATAGTGTTCACGAAATTTTATTAATCAGTCCCTATAAAGGCCCCCAAGAAACCTCCACCTTGACACCAAAGCTTTTGCTAAAAATGTAATGTGATTCCTAATTTTCCACCGCATTCACAAACTCAGTCTACCACTATCTTTCTTAACAATTCTACTTTTCTCTATTTCTATTCCAAAGCTTAGCTCAAAATTTTAAGAAAACACAAACTAAGTCCTATATCTCCTCCAAGAATTTTATGCAAGGTTAATTTTTTTTTCAAAAGCAAAGGAAAACGTCATATTTATAGTAATACTAAGGGGAGAATCAATTTGTTCTAATTGGTGGGGAGGTGATGACCACGTGGGAACTTGGGCTCCAAGATTAGGATAACTTGTCACATCCCAGATCGGCTCCGCATTAGCACGATATTGTCCGCTTTGGGCCCCCTTCTCTGCCATCACGATTTTGTTTCTGGGAACTCATAAGCAACTTCCTAGTGGGTCACCTATCCTGGGATTGCTCTAACCCCAACTCGCTTAACTTCGTAGTTCCTATGACTCCGAAACCAGTGAGCTCCCAAAAAGCCTCATGCTAGATGAAGGTGGGCATGTACATATAAGGCACATCACCCTCTCTCCGTTGGTTGATGTGAGATGTTACAATCCACCCCTTTTAAGGGCTCGAGGTCCTCGTCAGCACACTAGCACCACACGGCAGAGTGGCTCTGATACCATTTTGTCACATCCCGGATCGGCTCCGCCGTAGCATGATATTGTCCGCTTTGGGCCTCCCTCTCTGCCCTCACGGTTTTATTTCTGGGAACTCACGAGCAACTTCCCAGTGGGTCACCCATCCTGGGATTGTTGTAGCCCCAACTCGCTTAACTTCGAAATTCTCATGACTCTAAAGCCAGTGAGCTCCCAAAAGGCCTCGTGCTAGCTAGAGGTGGGCTTGTACATATAAGGCACATCACCCCCCCTACATTGGTCAATTTGAAATGTTACATAACTGTTATCAAATTGCCAACAGCTCATGCTAAAATAGAACTTAGTCACCTAGGTAAAATGACACTCGGAGTCTAAAGTGTGTTTGTAAAAAGATCTAGACTGTTGAACTTGGTTAGAAAGAAACAAAGAGATAAAGTTGTCAAAAACAAAACATATACTTATTATAATATTACATTTTTTAATAACTAATAAAAAAATTCTGAAAGTATAACACGTATAATTTTATATATATACATACATACATATATATATATGTAGATTTAATTATCTATGTTATGAACTAAATATGTAGCAAAATTTTTAGTTTTCCAAATAATATATGTATATATAATATGGGGTTTCACACTAATATATCAACTTTTATCACAAATGATATTAATAGTGGAACTAGGTATATAACTTATCTTTTTTTGTCAAATTTCAAATTTAATTTTGTCATCAAGCATGATCCAATTTTTTATGCACTAAAACATAAGTCTTGAGAAAGGTTTGTGTTTTTGTTTTTGGTCGGTAAAGGATAATTCATTCAAAAAAGGAAACAACAAGGCAAATAAACTTTACTGAAGGAGAAATATCAACTAGTAGCTCTACCTCTAAGCCCCAGCAAGGATACCCTCACAGGGCAAATAAACTATTTGTAGAATAAGTTATGATCGAAGACGAATAAACTTGACTTCAAGTCATTACATTAATGGAAGATGGTCCAAGCATATGGACGCTGCTCCACAGACAAGAATGTGTGTGGTGATGATCATTAATGACTTATAACCTGGTTCAAGACTTTTCAGCCTTAATGACTTCATAATGATAAACACGAAATAAACTACTTGTAGAATAAGTTATGATCGAAGACGATAAACTTAACTTCAAGCCATTACATTAATGGAAGAGGGTCCATGCATATGGACGATGCTCCACGGACAAGAATGTGTGTGGTGATGATGATCAATGACTTATAATCTAGTTCAAGACTTTTTAACCTTAATGACTTCATAGTGATAAACAAGAAATAAATTACTTGTAGAAAAAGTTATGATCAATGACGATAAACTTCACTTCAAGTCATTATATAATGGAAGATGGTCCATGCATATGGATGCTGCTCCACGGACAAGAATGTGTGTGGTGATGATGATCAATGACTTATAATCTGGTTCAAGACTTTTCAGCCTTAATGACTTCATAATAGTAAACACGAAATAAACTACTTATAGAATAAGTTATGATCGAAGACGATAAACTTGACTTCAAGCCATTACATTAATGGAAGAGGGTCCATGCATGTGGACGCTGCTGCACGGACATATGTGGTGATGATGATCAATGACTTATAATCTGGTTCAAGACTTTTCATCCTTAATGACTTCATAGTGATAAACACGAAATAAACTACTTGTAGAATAAGTTATGATCAATGACGATAAACTTCACTTCAAGTCTTTAGATGGTCCATGCATATGGACGCTGCTCCACGGACAAGAATGTGTGTGGTGATGATAATCAATGACTTATAATCTGGTTCAAGACTTTTCATCCTTAATGACTTTAGAGTGATAAATACGAAATAAACTACTTGTACAATAAGTTATGATCGAAGACGATAAACTTGACTTCAAGTCATTACATTAATGGAAGAGGGTCCATGCATATGGACGCTGTTGCACAGACAAGAATGTGTGTGGTGATGATGATCAATGACTTATAATTTGGTTCAAGACTTTTCATCCTTAATGACTTCAGAGTGATAAATACGAAATAAACTACTTGTACAATAAGTTATGATCGAAGACAATAAACTTGACTTCAAAATGTGAATAATAAAGATGTGAATGTAGGAAAATAATTGGGCAAACAAAATCCAGGTGAGTAAAAAGTACGCTGGATTGGTGATGATGTGGCACTTCGTTATAATTTATGACGCAAATAATAAGTTAATAATATCATGGGGTTTTTGATTTAAACAAAGACCCATTTTAATACTAGTTACCAAAATAAGCGAAAAAGATGAACGGCCGAGAATTGTCGACAAATGCGGACAAAGAAATGTGCCCAAGCAAACCGACAAACAACATTTTGCTGGTGTAAGAAGATGACGTCAGGCCCTCCTCATTTCCAAAAGAACAGAACTCAATTAGTCGCAGCCTTCTCAAGTGCATGAACCTACTCACCAATTTAAACCTCCCCCGCCCCGCTTCAAGAAAGAGAGAGAAGAAGACATTAACAAAAGTTTTAGTTACTTGTGGATGTGGACGGCCAGTTGATTTAGTTGTTGAAAGCGCCGAAGAAATTAACAAGACATACTTTTCTGCTACAAGTTAGAACCAGCTTTGGAAGACTTTAAAGACTTTAAAAACTTATCTTCACCTTCTTGGCTTCTTCTCTTTCATTCCCTTATACTTTTTCTCAACTACATTTTTCACGAGTTGTGCGTCTATAAAAGGAGTTTATAATTTCTCCACCCTTCATCGTGTGAGAGCCATAATTAAGCATTCATAATTACAAAACAAAATTGCAATGGGAATGGAATCGTGGCGGTCCAAGTTCATTTCTCTATGTTGTTTTATTTTTACAAATTTATAAATAAACCCAATCCTAGACATGTATTTATAAAAAAACCCAAGCACTATTTAAACATAGAAACACACCCAAAATCAACCCCAAAGTCAACTTTTTGGGTGTGTTTATAAATGGGTTTAGAGTGTGTGTAATGATGGGTTTTGGGTGTGTTTATATGTTTAAATAGTGCTTGGGTTTTTTTATAATTTCAACTCCCATTTTGGGTGTTTTAGTGAAACTCCCTTTTATTTTTCTGTCGCTCATTGATACTCGCTGTTTTTTATTTGTGCAAACTCGGACACTTGGCCAGGTTGATGAGTGCTCATCCTTGCTGCAGTTCAAGGAAAGCTTTGCAATTAACAAGTCTGTTTATGCAGATCCTCGTTCTTATCCGAAGATTTCATTTGGACGCGAGAAGGAGATGGGAATCGGAGTAATTGTTGTTCATGGGATGGTGTAGAGTGTGATGAGGACTCTGGCCATGTTGTTGGCCTTAACCTCAGCAGCAGCTGTCTCTACGGTTCTATCAATTCCAGCAACACTCTCTTCCGCCTTGTTCATCTGCAGAGGCTTGACCTCTCAGATAATCACTTCAATTTCTCTCAAATACCATCGAGATTTGGTCATGATCTTTCGAGTCTAACGTATCTCAACCTTTCAAATTCCTTTTTCTCTGGCCAAATTCCATCAGAAATTTCAAAGCTATCGAAGCTGTCTACCCTTGATTTGTCTGCCAATTATCGGAAAGCTGATGCTTATGGTATCCCTTTGAAACTGACCAAGGCCAACATGAGAAGCCTGGTTAAGAACTTGACCACCATAAAACAACTTCATCTTAGTTGGGTAGAGATGTACTCCACTGTGCCTGATATCTTGGTCAATGCATCTTCTCTTACATCTCTCCAACTTCGCTCTTGTGGGTTGAATGGGGAATTCCCAGTAGGCATCTTCCACCTACCAAACTTAGAGGTTCTGGATGTGTATGGTAACTCAAACCTTACCGGTTATTTCCCTAACTTTAACAGGAGCAATAATCTCTTGAAGAAATTGAATGTTGCGTTCACAAATTTCTCTGGCATGCTGCCTGCTTCTATCGGAAACCTCCATTCCTTAAATTTGTTGGACATCTCCGATTGTAATTTTTCCCACTATCTTCCATCTTCACTCGGAAACCTTACCCAGCTCAACTACCTTCACATGAGTGGAATATTTTATGACGTTCCAAATAATAATTCCACAGGCCAATTAGTTTCTGAATATTCCTTGTCTTGGATAGCGAGTTTAACCAACCTCTACAGTTTGTCCCTTGCGGTCACCAAATTCAGGGGAACATTCCCCAGTTTTGTGGCTAACCTCACGCAACTTTCATTTCTAAACTTGGTGGGTAACGAAATAACTGGTCAAATCCCGTCTTGGCTTACGAATTTGACCCAGTTAACTACTCTATACCTCTGGGGTAACAATTTGAGCGGAGCAATTCCTAGGTCATTCTTCCAGCTCCAAAATCTTGAATTTCTTCACCTTTCCTATAAGAACTTGAGTGGACAACTTGAGTTTGATCAGTTTTCCCAGCCCAAAAAGTTAAAGGGACTTCTATTATCACACAACAAGTTATCTCTGCAGATCATAACCAATTTGAGTGCTACTATTCCACAGCTTGAAGTTCTAGACTTGTCTTCATGCAACTTAACAGAGTTTCCAGAATTTTTAAAATATCAATCGGAATTGCACTACTTAGGACTTCAAGACAACAACATTCAAGGGCGAATACCAAAATGGGTGTGGAATGCAAGTAGAGAAACTTTGTTGACTCTCGACCTCTCTTCCAACTTCTTAACGGGATTTGACCAAAATCCAATCAATCTTCCATGGCAGAATCTATATGATTTAGATCTCCGGACCAATATGTTACAAGGATCACTGCCAATTCCACCACAATCAATCAGAAACTATATGGTCGGCAGCAATCATTACAGTGGAGAAATTTCGCCCTCGTTCTGCAACTTGAATCATTTGCACATTCTTGATTTGTCCAACAACAGCCTGAGCGGCATGCTTCTACAATGTTTGGGGAACTCCAGTGCTCTTGGGATATTGAAGCTGACGAACAATTCTTTTCATGGCGGTATTCCTCAAATGTGTCCAGATGACAATAGTTTGAAAATGGTTGATTTAAGTTACAATCAGTTACAGGGGAAGATACCAAGATCAATGGCCAATTGCACTCAATTAGAGTTTCTTAATCTTGGAAACAATCAGATAAGCGACATCTTCCCATCTTGGTTAGGAGCACTTCCAGCATTAAGGGCTCTCATTTTGAGGTCCAATCGATTTCATGGCATGATTGGGAAGTCTGCAACTAACCAAGACTTCCCAAAGTTGTGCATCATTGATTTATCTAACAACGGTTTTTCAGGTATGTTACCCTCTAACTACTTAGAGAACTGGAATTCCATGAAATTTGTTGATGCGAACGAGGAAACTTATTTTGAAGTCCTTTCGATGTCAGACAGCTCAGTTATGACAAACAAAGTTAATGCTGTTTATGTTTATGAATACTCGATCACAATTTTTGCAAAAGGTGTTGAGTTGAAATATAAGAAGACTCCTTATCCTCTAAGATTGATACATTGGGAATCTAAGAGGCCTTATTTTGCTTAACCTCTCCAACAACACTCTCACTGGTCTCATCCCATCGTCTTTATGGAACTTGACGGCTCTTGAATCGTTGGATCTCTCCCGAAACCAGCTCTCAGGAAGGATCCCCGGTAATTTGGCACAACTCACTTTCCTTGAATATTTCAATGTATCCTATAACCATCTTCGGGGTCCTATACCACTTGGCCAACAATTTGGTACATTCCTAGAAGATTCATACCAAGGAAACCCAGATCTGTGTGGAAAGCCTTTGTCAAAGAAATGTGATAGCTCAATATCGCTACCACCATCAATCTTTGAAGAAGATGAAGATTCCGGGTTTCAAATTGCACTAGATTGGTATGTGGTTCTGCCAGGAGTTGTTAGTGGTCTAATAGTTGGAGTGGTTGCTGGGAACTTTTGGACAAGCAAGAATCATGAATGGTTTTTAGAGAAATTTAGCAGGAAGAGGCAGCCAAGAGGCACACGGGGAAGGAGAGGACACAGAAACTAAGTACTTATTTTAAATCCATGTTTATCTTGCAGCTGCTGCTGTTGTTGTTTAGAATTCTTGTATGGGGTCTGGTGCATTCTGTTTTATTACAATAAGGGTGGTGGTGTAATTTGCTTGTACTAATTTGTGGTGCTGTAAGTTGCTTGTATTAATTTGTTCAACAATGTTTGTAATATGTTTCTGTACGAGTACAAAAAAGTAGTGTACGTTTTCGACTAGCTACGAACTACATTTTCTGTTTCCTGTTTGCTTAGTTTCTTTGATTTCCTGTATTGTTTAATGCCCAATATTTGGATGCTTAATGCTTACTCTGCAGCCAGTATATGTTGCTACTATCAACTTCTAGTAGGTAATTTTCCAACTCTCTTGAGGTTCTTCTCTGTCCTCCTCTGCCTTCACTGTTCTTCGCTTGATTCTTACTAAGAAAGACACATGATTTTAAAATGTTGAAGCCAAAATTTTACTTGCATTGCTGCCTTCATTTACTTGTTTACCAACCAGAAGATTTTGGCTGTATCTTGTAATCACTTTGTAACATGAATTAAGAAATTTTCTTACAAAAATACCCCATGAAAACTTTTGAATGACCAACAAACCCTTAATATATCCCATGGCAAGAACAAGGCCACAAAGAAAAACTACAAGCATTTGTGGCTAAATTTCCCAAACAGGTGAAGCCATAGATTCTACAGTGGCTCACTTGTAGCTAAGAGAGCGTTAGGCTAGTATGTCAACTCTGGCTGTAATTTCATTGTTTGTTTTCCAAGTCTTTTTCTGTTTACCTTTTCTCTGCTGCTGGTTTGTTTCCAAGTTCTCAACCCTATCCCTATGTGATTGTTCAAAGAGTCTCTCAATGAATGCTTAGTTTATTCAACTTGACTTTCCTAACCCCAAAAGAATATCATATTAAAAAGCAAAAACTAAATACTAAACACATGAGAGAGAGCGAGAGAGAGAGAGAGAGAGAGAGAGCAACTTTTCAAGAAAACCCAAAATATGATGAACTCTTTTGGGCCATAGATCTGAGTGCCAATGTGCTGATTTGAATCAGATGGTAGGAGGAAATTCTATGTAATAATAATATACATGTTGACCTATTTATGTGGCACATACTTTACAACAACAAAATACAACAAATGACAGTCTTCAGGGAAGTGAGTGAAATTGTGAAAAATTTCATGTGCTGTTCACAGGTTTGATGTGCTTGTAGTTTTGCAATTATCAAATTCTTTGCACTGCAAGCAAAGAATAGAAAACAGTGCTTCTCTCATTCAAATGTGTCCAACGAACAAGTCCAAGACAATACAAAACAACTCCCCATGACACTCGTCTCTAAATGCATGCAGGGGTGTGGGGTAGATACAGCCATCCATCCTTGTGTCTTTATAAAATCTAATGTCAAATCTCTCTCTGTATTTTATTGATATTATTTTGTTATATGCTTTCTGTCTAAAAGGACTTGGGGGTTTCCTTTCTGAGCCAAATTCCAACCCCATGAAGACAAACAGATAGCTGCTGCCTCATCATCATCTAAAAAGTCTTCTATTGCTGTGGTTGGTATCCAATGCCACATTATTTTCTTGCAGAGGAAACTGGAAAACACAGCCTCCTATGTGATATGTGACTTTTTGGTGTTCCTTGGAAGAAGAAGAAGAGGTAGAAAGATGAAACTCATGTTCTGAATCTGATGCAGCATATGGTTTCTTTTACCTTTTCAATTGAAATCCACAATTAATTAAGCAAATTATTAGCTGAAAATGAACCTATTTGAGTTGAATATAGTGAGAGTGGATTGTTTTGATGACAACCGTGAAAAAAAACGCTGACATCAATCGTGTGTGAGCACATGACAGATGGGTTGCGGAATTCTAACGAGTGTCCTCCGCCTTTTAAAATTGAAATATGAACACATACCCTACAGCTACAGGACCCCACTACTCTACCTACTAGGTCCACCCCTAAGCTTAATAGTAACCATAGACTTGCAGACCAATATCGAGGCACGGCTCAATTCTGTAGATTGGCCAAACTTATTTCACAACGGCCTTAAAACCAAAGTCTTGAAGAATTCACAGCTACACTACACACACAATAACAAATATAAAAACAACAAAAACAACAAACAACAAATCTACTTGACCCCAAAAAACAATATTTAAAAGCAAGAAAAGAGGAAAAAGCAAAACAGTCAGCATTGGTTCCAGTTATTTGTGCCTTGGAACTTTTCCTTTGGCCCCTTCTCTCTTCCCTCGATACCCACCACACAATCACATCACACACGCTTCTACGTACCCCTTCCATTCTATCCCTCTCCAACTCTGAACTCTCACCAAAACTTCATTTTCTTTTTGTTTAATTAGTAAAACTCTCGTATTTTTGTTACATATAATAAAAATCAAATGTTAATCACATTCACACTTTGTTTCATAATGATAAATTAGAAGTGCGAATAACGTTTTCTTTATAAAAATCATCGATCAATTAATTAAGTGAAAGTGATTAGTTGGTTCGAGTACTAATTTACAATATCTACTCGTATACTGAAACTATCAGCTAAATAATCAGATACTGTAAATTGGTATCTAATATCAACTAGCTTATCCTAAGGTTCTCAACCAAAAATCAAAAGAAAACACTCTCTCTCTCTCATGCACAAGTCAAAACCCCTTAACGGCTAAACCCCCCACTTTATAACTACAAAACACTCTCATCTCACATTTTCATGCACAAGTCTATATAAATATATATACACCCATGAGTCTCTCTCCACTATCTTCTCTCTCTCTCTCCCTCCCCTTCTCTCTCTCTCTCTCTCTCTCTAGTGCAAGTGTTTTGAGCTATAGTTAGCATGTCATACCTCAGTCACCCCATCAAAAACACCATGCATCATCAGAAGACACCATCTTCAGAAGACAAAGAGAAAAGGCCCAAGTTCTTCATCAACGACCACATTGACATCCTCGTCGAGATCCTCAAACGCCTCGACGGGCCTTCCCTCGGCGTCGCCGCCTGCGTCTGCCGCCTCTGGTCCACCCTCGCCCGCAACGACTCCCTCTGGGAACACCTCTGCTTCCGCCACGTGTCCTCCCCTCCCCCCTCCTCCGTCCGCCCCGTCGTCGTCGCCCTCGGCGGCTACAAGCGCCTCTACAGGGTCTGCGTCCGCCCCGTCCTGAGTCGACTCAGCGACTCGGACCTGGTCAGGCGAGTATGGACTCGGGACGAGGTCCAGCTCTCGCTCTCCTTGTTCTGCGTCGACTACTACGAGCGAAGCGGCAGGCTCGGAAGCGGCGGCGGCGGCGGCGGTGGCGGCGGGGATGCGTCCGCGTCGTCCCTCATGTTCCTCTGCAACACCGTGAACGTCTGATTCGTTGACTTTTTCGCTGTTTTGACTGTAGTGGGTCCTGATGAGGGTTAATAGTACTGGTATTAATTTAGTGATTTAGTATACATATCAATTTTTATTTAGAAAAAAATAAATAAATTTTTTTATATTTTATTTATTATTATTGGGTATTTAAATAATTGTCACTTGATTTATTTTGGAGGTGGGAAAAAGTGTGAGATGATAGTTACCTACTTCCTATGCTTAATTATTATAGTAAAATTGTTGTAATTTTCTTCTTAGGAATTGGTATATTTTGTTTATTTATTAATTTAATTTTAAAGTACATTTGGAAGTCAGAATCTTTGGCTTTAGGCTAAGCAGGCCTTGACAATGAAGGTGGGTAGTGCCAAAGCTGAGTGGATTCTCTTTTCCTTTTGTTTCTATATACAAAGAGATTCCAATACAAGCCCATTTCTCTTTTTTCAATTAAAATATATAAAAAATGGTTAAGACCAATCATCCGTTCACCCAACGTTCTCTGTTTAAATCTTCCTCCTTCAATATCGCTTGTAAAAAAAACACTCACAAATATATGAAAACAATTACCTTTTCATGTTTTTATTTTTTTTTGTTCCACTAGTAGCCTGCTTATTTTGAATCCAGTTGATCAGTCATTTTTTTAAACTATTTTATTAAATATTAAAAAGATGTCAATATCTATAGCCCAATATAAGCAAAGCCAGTTGGGCATACAATAGAAGATTTTTATATATAAAAAATTAAATCAAAGATAGAAAAAATTTAAATAAATATAATTTAAAAATACCCAGTTGGGCAATGGCATGAGGACTTGAGGAGTGTTCCAAGCCCTTGACAAGTTTGACCTAATAAAAAAGACAACCTGGTGAGAAAAACATAATGTAGGCCAGTTAGCAATTGGGCAATGGTAGCTGTTGAGTTGAATTAGTGTTATAAAGTGAGATATGGGCCACAAACTGTTTGATTGGGACTGAACCAAACCTACACCAAGCAGCCTAATCTAATCTCACTGGGTGGTCCAACAAACAGCTGATCATTGACTCATTATGTCACATATTACATTTACACCCTCCCCCCAACTCCAATTCCCAATCAGACTCAGATTTTGGTCACCACATCTTCTACCAGTTTTCTTTCCCATCATTTTCAAATCCCAATATGACATTCCACATTTATCTCCCCCTAGTCCATAGGCCAATGCTAATAGCTATCTTGTTTAAAGTAAGGTACACGTCAATGATCAACGACTGTCAATTATTCACGAATAAAATTCAAACGAGATATATAATAGGTATTTAGTAATTAATATGCTTATTGAGCTTTATCTTAACGAAAAACATGGAAATAATAATTGAAGAGCTCTCTCTCTTTTTTTCTTTTTCTTTTTTTATATAGAAGAAACAATAATATTGTAAGATTTTGGGTATATCTGTCCTAAAAAGATCTCAACTTGGGACATGCTAGACAAGACTTCTGGGCCAAAAAGGAGAAGAATATGTCAATTGGGAAAAAGAAAAAGGGCACCAGACAAACTGTGGTGTAGTCCTATCCATCCAATTATCCCATGATCTACACATAGGTTTTGTTGCAGGATCTGTAATCCTATTGTGGAAGTACAATCAATTAAAGCGCCTGACCTTTTCTGCTTCATATCAATTCATTTTCAGAAGTTCATTATTGAATTTTATTTTATTTTTTTAAACTAAAGAAAGGTGAATGGTTGAAGAATATGACTAAGGGATCAAAAATCTCTACGCTACAAGGAAAGAGCAAGTGAAAATTTGTTATTTTAGAGGAATTCCAAATTTTACCAACATGTAATGCAAGGGAGTAAAGTTATATACCACCATCCACATTAGGCTAAGCAAATTTGGAATGCTTACATGTCCAAATAGAAAACTAAAGAAGGAATCATGTGTTGTTTTGTTAATGTTCTAATGAGCTACTTGATTTGTTCACTAGCATGATTTTGGGAGTGTTATGAATGCTAAAACTAAGAAATGGAATTCCAACAATGGAATGTGACTAGGCATTTCTTCAATGTACCAAAAACTAAAATACAATATGTTAGAGTTATTTTAAAGATAAAAATAAAATCTTAGATTTCGGTCACTAAACAATGATGTAGTAAGTGTTAATTTTACTTGACATTGTACGAATGAGGTTGAAAATGAATGCATATATGAATAAATGAAACACTAACATATCAAATTTGTTGTTTTAAGGTTTGAAAGATACTTCTGTTAGAACGTCAATAAATAACAAAAGAATTATAAAGCAAGTCATGGGCCAAGAGAGGCCCAACATTGGTAAAAAAAAAATATCCCAAATAGCTGCGTAGAAAATATAAACAATTAATAAAAGGAACGATCTATAACTAGATTTAGCCTCAAACCTAACAATAATATATCAAACCTAAAAGGAGAAAAGCCCCAAACCAAACACTTGATTTACATCGCCGACTAGAGACCACAGAAACCGTCACACAGGAAAATGGAGACTAGATATGATGGAAGTTCATCGATCCCCACATTTCCACGCACAACCTTTGTTTGGCTAGTGATGCAACATAGTCAGCGAGACCATTCAGCTCTTGGGGGACCCAAATTCACTTGATATGAGAGAAAACATATATAGGTATGAGGATCTCGGAAGTTGATATGGTAAATCTTCTAAAGGACACAAATTCAACTATTAAGGGACCCAAATTCCCCCTTGATCCGAGAGGAAACAGATCTAGGTATGAGGACATCGAAAGTTGATAGGGTAAATCTTCTCAAAGATGCCATTCGACTATCGAAGGACCCAAATTCCCCCTTGATTCGAGAGGAAACAGAGCTAGATATGAAGATCTCGAAAAATGATATGGTAAATCTTTTCAAGGATACCCTTCTTCGACTCTCGAGGGGCTCAAATTTCACTTGATCTGAGAGGAAACAAATCTAGGTCTCTAAATCCTGAAAAAGAATCAGGTAAATCTTTTCATAGACATTATTCAATTATTGAGGAGCTCAAATTTCACTTGATCCGAGAGAAAACAGATCTGAGTACTACCTTTTTTTTTAAGGTAAATTTTCTATTTGCATTTTCTAAATTTTCCCATTAATGTTTGTAATAAGATATTTTGAAATGATTTACATGATGGCATCTTGAAAATTTGTCTATGTGCAGGGAAAGACCAACAAAAGTTGATGAATCTTCAACTTGAGTCAAGGAGTATGAAGATCCATGAACGCTTTATTCAGCCTCGGTCATATCAGTTAAGATTCCAAACTCCGAGATTTGTTTTATTTACTCATAAAATAATAAACAATTAGTGGCTCATTAATTCATTAATTCAAAATTTTATTATTTGTGCAACTAATTTTCATACATGACTATCTCTAATCATCGTGTAAAACCATTTATTAGCGAGTAAATGAATAAATAATCAAATGCATCCATTACCAAATCTCTGCCAATAAACTAATTAAACAAATTGTTATATATATATATAAAAAATTAATTAAATTTAACAATTAGGTTAATCTCCAAAGTCCACTTGTGCCCACTACCAAACACTCCCCTAATGGAAACGGAAAAGAAGTTACTCGATGCCCATAACGCACGGCAGCGCAAAATAGCACCCTCCACCATTAAATACTATTAACGCACTGTTTACTCTCACTGAAATTAAAAAAAATTCAACGATTTTATTACCTAAAATAAATCTTGTCCCATTTCCGACACCGATATCGACGGAATCGCCAAATCCTCGCCGTCGTTCGCCGTTATCATACATCCCGACCCGAATCCGTATGCACGGTGACCCGATTTCGCAGCTCAAGCCCTAAAGGAAGAAACTTTACTGTTTGGTAGCTCCTCCACTTTGGGCTATAAAATATGAGTTTCTCTCAGTGTTTGTGCTTTATGTACAGTGAGATTTGCAATTAGCTCAGCTTGATTTTGCTCGAGCTCCCAAGCACACGTGGCGATCTGGGTCTTCTTCACCTTCATTCAGCTCAAGTTTCAGTGAGTGCCTTTTTTTAAAGAAAAAACTTTATTTTGTGTGCTAATCGGTGCTCTGGACTTCAATTTTGTACTCTATTTTTAATCTTGGAGTTCAGTATGGTGGCTTTGGATTTCGATCTCCGTGCATTTGTTTAAAGCTGTGAAATTTAGTGGAATTTTGGGCTTGATTTGGAAAATTGAGCTGATTTTCATGCATGTTAGTGGTTTGAAGAAATAGAATTTTTATTTTGGCAGCTGAAGCTGTTTGGCTGCCGAGAAAACTGATGAAAATTAAAACTTAATTTTTTGCATTTATGCTGCATGAGTCCTAATTTTTTTTAGTAAAGAAGGTCAAATCTTGATAATTATTGTTGGCTGTTTACGGTAATTCGGTTAATTTTAAATCGGTTCGCATTAATTCCTGTTTGAGATTTTGAACTACGAATTTCTTTTTGGTTTGATTTATGATTTGTGCATTTCATTTTTTAAAATATGATTCTGCATTCGTTGTTATTAATAAGTCTTAATTAGTTAAATTTGTATTAGCCAGTCGCAGTTCTAATGAGAAAAAAATTGAAGCTTGATACTTATCATGATTCTTACTTTGTCTTTGCAGAAATTAAAATGTGGTTACATATGAGAATTGGGCTATTTCCGAGTTTGTGCACATTAGGTTGGTCATAGATTTTGTTTGAAGATCTTTGGTTTTAAAGTTGTCTATATTCCTACATGGAATTTAACATAGAGGAGGCTCTTATAGCAAAAGAGATCGCGGAGAAGCGATTTGCTGAGAGAGACTATGCTGGTGCTAAGCATTATGCACTAAAGGCTAAATCACTGTACCCTGGACTGGAGGGCATATCTCAAATGCTGGCCACATTTGATGTTTATGTTGCTTCCGAGGCAAGATTTTATGGGGAAATAGATCATTATTCAATTCTTGGACTGAAACCTTCTGCAAATAAAGATGCAGTGAAGAAGCAATACAGAAAGATGGCTGTGTTACTCCATCCTGATAAGAACAAAAGTGTGGGAGCTGATGGGGCTTTCAAACTTGTTTCCGAAGCATGGACTTTGTTGTCTGACACTACCAAGAGAAGCTTTTATGATCTTCAGAGAAACAAACAATCGACAACCACAGTTAATCAGCCTAATTTATCTTCCGTTCATGCTGGTGGGGTTCCGGGTTTCAACAATTGTTCCAATTCGTCGGCATCTCATGGTAGACTTGACACTTTCTGGACTGTCTGCACTTCTTGCAAGGTTCAGTATGAGTATCTCCGGAAATATGTGAACAAACGACTTTCATGTAAAAATTGCCGAGGCATTTTCATTGCTGTGGAAAGTGGGGCAGCCCCAGCAAATGGTTCTTTTCCTTATCCTCCTCCTTGGTCATATGTGCCTAGTAATGGGTATGGGAATCATGGATTTGATGGGGCTACGTATGTTCCAAGCAATGGTACCTTTTTCCCAGGAAACGGTGTCTCAGGTTTTCATTCTGGACACGGGTATGAATATATTCCAAATATGTCGTTTCAGTGGAGCTCATATCCTGGAACCTCTACTGGTGTTGTGGGTCCTCACGGATCATCGGGTATATCCCCGGATGCTGTTTATCAGGCAAATGGAAATGTTAATAAAGCTGGAGTGAAGGTTAAATCAAGGGCGAATGGAAAACGTTCCACTACAACTGCTGTGGCTAATATGAATTCGAATATGCCTCCTAGATGTAATGAGCTGCCTGAATTTAAGAACGATGGACTGGATAAGAAAAGGAAAGTTACTGTGGGAGCAAATTTTAGAAATGGGCATGACGAAAGAGTATCAAAATCTGCTTCAGAAGCAAAATTAGCAAATGGAAATGGGACTCTAGGAAATGATCAGAAAATTCCTAGTTCAGGAGAACTTCTTGCTAGACGTTGTTCAGTGGCACCAGCATTTGATGCTAAAAAGCTGTTGATTGAGAAGGCAAGAACAGAGATTTTGAAGAAATTAAATGAGATCAATTTGGCTTCAGAAGCGGCTGCTGCTATAAAGAACACAAAAGGACAGGTTGAAGTGCGTCAATCTGAAGTAACTCGAGGACATCAATTAGAGACAAAGAATGCTGAGCCTCTCTCCATAAATGTCCCTGATCCCGACTTCCATGACTTTGACAAAGATAGGTCAGAGGAATGTTTCAAGCCAAAGCAAATATGGGCTTTATATGACGAAGAAGATGGTATGCCTCGCTTGTACTGTCTGATACGTGAAGTGGTCTCAGTCAAACCATTCAAGATACTCATCACTTACTTGAACTCTAAAACTGACAGTGAATTTGGGTCGGTGAACTGGCTGGATTGTGGGTTTACCAAATCCTGTGGAAATTTCAGGGCACGGAATCTTGATGTAGTTGAGCAAGTTAATATTTTCTCTCATGTTTTGAGCCGGGAGAAAGCAGGTAGAGGAGGATGTGTTCGGATATACCCGAAACGTGGAGACATTTGGGCTATGTATCGCAACTGGTCGAGAGATTGGGACAGATCAACTCCAGATGAAGTGAGGCACCAGTATGTAATGGTGGAGGTTCTTGATGATTACTCCGAAGAGCTTGGTGTTTGCGTGTCGCCCCTTGTCAAACTGGATGGATTCAAGACAGTATATCAAAGTAATACAGACAGCAGTGCCGTTCAATTGATTCCGAGAAGAGAGATGCTACGCTTTTCGCACCAGGTGCCGTCATGGTTACTCAAGGGTGAAGAAAGTAACCTGCCTGGTAAGTGTTGGGATCTGGATCCTGCTGCAACTCCGGACGAGCTGCTTCATGCTTCTGTGGAAGCCAGGGCTTAAGCATAACATACTAAAAAGCAGAGAAGGATAGGCATGGGAAGCAAGATTTGCTTGGGAGTTCATTTTAGCATTTTTAGGCAATTGTAGGTTTTAACTGTACAAATATGTCACACCTGGCTAGAGGCCAACGTAACGTAAACCCCGTATGATTCTAGGGGAGCTTATGTTTACCCAGTAAAACTTGTGACGAAAATTTCAATTCCAGTGACTGCTTGTTTACATGATTACCTCATACTTTGTGACTTGTCCAAAATAGTTGTAACACCTATTCAGGACAGATTGGGAAATCAACAGTTATTGCATTGGTGCAAATTTTACCTTTAGCCTGAATTCTTGCCAACATATTGCATCGCACAATACATACGCATATGGTTTCTGTTTACATTCTGTGTTATATTTTGCTTGTCTCTGTTTGGGCACAAACACGGTTTCAATTATGGAAAAGATTGTGTTTTTAAGTACAAGTGATTGGAGAGGGGAGTTTGCACAAATATTCATTGAGTTGATGGGAATTTCAAACCTATGCCCACATGAATGGAGGTGGAAAAGCTCAATTAACTAGCGGAAAATGTCCCAACTCCACAAAGACCAAGCCCCGAATAAAAAAAATAAAAGACATATTTTGTCTAAACGGTGTCGTTTCAGTCCATAAACTCTAACAAGTCAATCCTTTTCCACAACCAGTGCCGATCCCTTAGAACACCTGAAAGTGAGAGACACTGAAGAAGCAGGCAAGATAAAGAAACGAAAATGGATCCTCTACTGTGGCATAAAATAGCTGGGCTCTCTGGTATTACCTTTTTCCTCTCTCATACTTGAATATTTATTGTCTTTCTGTTTCTGACAAACCCCAAATATGATTTTGATTGAAAAACAGGAATGGCAGCTTTGGGGTTGGGCACATATGGCGCCCATGGCTTCAAACCCGAAAACCCAACTTACAAAGATGTACATCATCTATTTTACTATTTGCCCATTTGATTTTAGCTCATATTGTCCATGGTTGTATCTTCATTCTTGAGTTTCTGACATTTAATTACGTTGCAAATAATGGGTAGGTTTGGCAAACGGCGTCTCTCTACCATTTGGTTCACACAGCCGCTCTGGTTGCTGCCCCTATCACGAAGCACCCCAACATTGTGAGTTCAAAGTTCAAACCTTTATCATTTTACTATGAATTGAATTCATACCATAATCTAAAGGGTCTGACCTTCACATTTTTGGAGTTGCAAAACTGAACATTATTTGGTTTTGAAAGGGGATATGTGATGTTTGTTCAACTTCGTATGTTGTGATGTTGGTTAATTAGGTACTGGTCTGCAAATTCATATATGAGCATATATGATACTTTTGTCTTTGTTTTCCAGTTTGGAGGCCTTTTGACTACTGGAATACTCGCATTCTCAGGGACGTAAGTGCCATTCCATTCTTCTGCGCTTCATTTTTCATCTAATTAAACAGCTTCAATTCGATTATAAAACACTACGTTTTTGCGTAATAGATTCATTCAAAATTTCAGTTTCTTGCACAATGAAGTTCCTTGAATCTCAATTTTAGAGGTTTTCCATATTGGTTAAAAGCACTCACCTTGTTACTTGTTAGGATGCAAAGGAAGTCACAAGACTTGCCTATGGTTTAATTCATTGGTCTTTTTCTAGAAAAGTATCACTACCAATGTAGTAAGATCTACTTATTTACTTTCCAGAGAGCTACGTTTGTATGATTATGCTAGAGTTAGGAATCATCCTAGTCTGTTGGTATGGTAAAATCCTCTACATTGAGTAATGAGGATTCTAGACTGATAAATGTTGTAATTTGTTAACTGGAAGAGTAACATTATATAAATGCATGTTACATTTCTGGTCTGCCAACATTTTGCTTCTGGACTCCATAAATTGATCTCCTGGTACTTATGGCTTAGCAAACTGCACAATGAAGTGTAATGCCTTGAGTACAGAGTCCATGCGTCATTCCAACGGACTTTTTCCAGTTGTTTGCTTTGTCAAAACAATATTCATGGAAGTGTCCGTACTGTATTAATATTATCAGAAGTGAACGCTGATTGAAATACTTGGTCATTTTTGCAGGTGTTATACTGTGGCATTACTTGAGGATAGAAAGTATTCTACGTTGGCTCCTTTCGGTGGCTTTGCTTTTATCGCTGGTTGGGCTAGCTTGCTCTTCTAAGATTTCCAACTTCTCAGGATCCCTGCCCAACTTGTGTTGTTGAGTTCAGTATTTATGATTATATACCCTTTAAACTGGGCAAATAGATCCCAATGTGGAGTCTCCTTGAATTTCAAAGTTGTCTTCCCCTTTGCCATGCCAATTATATATGGTGTATATCAATCTACTGATTATGCTACTTCAATGTTATTTGGTGCTGTTTGCATGGGAGCTTCTACAATGGGGAGTTTAGAGTGAGGAGCTCATTTGAGGGGTTCAATCCCACCATCAAATCACTTAAAATGTTTAAGTCCATTGGTTTCCTCATATTTGTTGATGGTGGAATTGAACTCCTCAGATGAACTCCGTACTCTAAACTCCTCATTATAGCATTTCTGCTGTTTGCCTATACTTGTAGAATTTTTTCCCATACAAATGAGATTACAGGTTTGCAGATATAATGTTTTATACTTGTAGCATGTTTGCCTTATCTGACACTGACAAAGCCCATTTCTGATAAAGTGAATAATGAATGCTGAAGATTATTGGCCCTTGGGTTGGCATGCATGTAAGGTTTTAAGGCCACAAAACACCCACTTGCAAACATTCTTTTCATTCTGCTGTGTGGTTTTTACACTAGTTGCTTGGTTTTCCAACTGGACCAACTCCATCTGTTATCTCTGTCGTTGCAAAAGAATGATTTGTCCCGTAGCTTGGCAAGTTTTTATATATAGAAGTGAATTTGTTGATTAAAAGGTTAAAATATATTTTTCTTTTTGGTTTTTGCCAATTAAAATACATACTGGTAAACTTGTAAGGTTCAAACGTATGTCCACTGGGCACTGGCGCAGTGAGAAGCTTGGGAAGAACATCAAAGTACGTACGAGAAACAGAGCAGAATCCACAATGGAGATGAAGTGCCGTGACTGCTTTCATGTTCAGTAAAAATTCTCTATTTTATCAGTCTGGTTCTGATCCCTAATTTCAATGCCTCTGTTTCCCCCTAAGCAGGCAAAATCATGTGACAAAACCAAACAATCAGTGCCAGCCAAAAAACCTATTTTAGGTTTAGCTGCATCAAAATCATACTGGACCTCCTTTGAAAATTCAATGTGCCAGGTCAAAAAATAGTCTAATTTGCAGAAAAAATGAATTCGAATTTGAGCGTAAGAAAGCGGATTCATTATCCTGACCAACAAATTTAACTCTAAATATGCTATTTGACGTAAAATTGATCTACGACGACACATTTATTTATTTATTTATTTTTTCCGGTTACTAACAACCACACATCTTTGACAACCTTGAAAGTTTATGTTTCACTTCGGATTTTGAGGAATTTTTGGATTTTAGAGAAAGCCCTTTGGCTTAACGCTTACGAAGCTGAGCTGTATAATACCACCTTTAGTAAAAATATCATCTTTTGGTGCCCTATCGTAATAGTGAAGGGTCACAAGGGTCCTACATATCTTAAACAATATCAGAATGAGGCCCCGGTTGTGTCTTCAAGCCAGAAGGAAAGCAAAAGGTCAGGTCCACCCTTGTCATTGCATTGCATTCATCAAGCGCCGACATCAAGGCCCCTCCTATCACAACCCCTCGCTTTTAGGACATGCAATTTATAAATTCTAATCTCTCGTTAAGAAAAAAACTTTTAATAATCATATTGGCCTCCAATGAGCTCCTTTGCTTTCTAACTACTGCACCGATAAGATGTTTCTTTTGCTGAAAAAGTTGCACAAATTGAAGGAAAACAAAATGATCAAGAACCACCGAAGCATAAAATACCATGATATAATTATGCACCTTTTGATTCCCCTATTTGTGGGTAGAATGAATAATGAGTAGTCAACAGGGTCTAACCCAGTGGAAAAAGGGCCTTGATTTGCATACCAGTGGTCTCAGGTTCAAACCCCCACAACACCTTAATAGTGCATGTGTGAGAAATCCTCATCCCCTGGTAGGTTAGACTATTCATTTGTATTCCAAAAATAATAATTATGAATAGAAGGGGGGTGGACCAATATGGCCCAACCTTATGTACAATGATCTTCAAATATAATCATGGGAACAAAATGAACAATTTTTCTAATCATACAAATAAAAGAGATGTATAAATAAAGCTCATCATCCATATAGTGCAAGGGCTTTAATATGTACTGAGGTCAACAGAAACTTCGTATAAATTATTGGAATTTGTTTCTCAGTGTTGCAGAGATCTCTACACCTTTTCTTCTGTACTCCGCACACTGCATATTTTTACTGCTACTTACGTTCTTCTTCAACTAAAGCAAACTACATCTCAGTCACTTCTAAAAACCCACAAGCCCTCTAGGGCCTCTTACTTGCTGCATCCTCTGTGATTACATTCTTTATAATAATAAAAAAAGTAAAAGTAAAAGGCTTAAAAACCTGTCACATATTAGCTTTTGTGTCTTTTCTTCTCTGCAATCTCCTCCACCCAGTGTAACATGGGGAAGAACAGAATCTCTTCTACTGTTTCTCTCTTCTTCATGGTATGAACTCTACTTAGCTGACAGACCGATGAAGTTGAGGTAAAATAAAATGAAAATAGAAGAATATGAAGGCCCTGTTGTATCGAAACCACGTATTAGTCTTATTCTAGGAATCCGGTGCTCTACCTCTCTATAATTACGGTTTGTTTGAATTCCTACATAACTGTTGATATGCCACTCACTATTGGAGACGCAAATGGGCTCTCTGGAAGGTTAATTCCTTGGCTGCTGCATGGTATAAGAAACCAAGCATCAAAGAAAAGGGGAGGTTAAGAAAATAACCCAGATTAAAAAAAATTGGAAAAAGTACTATGACTTCAATCTGAACAAGCATCTCTGTGTATACCTATCCTGGTCATTGTAATTACTGTTTACGTGCCTGATTTTGCCCTCACTGGTGGAACCATTATTCAAAACATCCAGCAAATAAGTAAATTCCTTTGCAGATGGGAATTCTGCTTGCTCTGCATGGGCTACAGTGACATCAGGGAAAAACATTAGCTAGGAAATCGTGTTTGGGAAAGGAAACAAGAAAAAAGCTACGCAAAGGAAACCGAAAAGTTGCATTGTATACCTTCTGGATGTTTGAACTCATCCATCGGGTAGCCATAATAGAAATTATGGGACAAGGGCTTAGCTGCTAAGTGCATCTCCGAAAGACGCCTTCTTTCAAGTTCAAGTGCTTGCTCATTTTCCTCCATGAACTGCTTCCTTAAAAATCTTGCATTCTCACAAACTCTGGGCACTGTACAAATCAGATAAATAAACGTGAATTAGGTAAAGGTGATTTTACAACCCAAAAAGGCTAAAATAGATAATTACTGCATTTATTTGAAATTTGCTTACTTGAGTGAAACTCTGAATCAGCATCAATGAAATGTGAATTGTAGCACATAGAATGCTGCATTTTCTCTGAAAACTTCCTGGATAGATAGCTTAAACTTCAGAAATTTAAGTACTAGTTGAAAATCATAGAGGAGATGACATGGAAAACATAATGTTCTTCTCATATAATAAATAAGAGAATTTTCTGTTTTATTGTTATCAAAGGTTCTTCTCAGATGTTTTCAGAAACATTTCCAAAAGATTCATAAGCAGGAAACTAGGACAGGGATATCCACCCTACTCTCTACAAATATGACTTTCTTCATACCATAATGTCATAACATGCAGTCATGACAGTTCTAGACTGAGATTAAGGGAAAACACAACAACCGACAATAAGTATTCTAGGATATTGACAAAGGTATATGAACATCATACTAATTAATTCTAGTGGACAGCATTACTCCATTTAGAGAACAAATTTTATGTTATACGTGCTTTTAGTTAATATTCTAAGGCTAAAGGCCTTTCCTCATTTGAACTGCCACCGACAATAAGGGTGCTACGATGGTAGGAAAAAAAAATAGTGGGAAATATCAGACAATAACTATTTGCTTATGAACCAGATAGTATTAAAAAGAAAAGGATTGAGAAAGAAAAATACTGCTCAAATCTAAGCACAATAAAGATGATAAGGTTACTTCAACTTTGAACAAATAGAAAAGTTTTACCTGTCAACAAGCCTAGACTTTTCCCTGTAAGGCTTCACCAGAACACGAGCCCCACATACAAAATGGGGATTCCCTTTTGACAAAATATGCCTGACCGTCTCTGCATAAACAAAGGTGACAAACCCAAACATCCTCTTCTGTTGACATGGGATGCGTACATCTTGAACCGGCCCATATTTGCTACAAAATAATGACAAAAAAATCAAAATTGTGTAGACCAAGAGTCAAAGTATAAGCAAAGTGTAAGCAAATTCAAATAAGAGATAAATGACTCCAATAACAGTTCCTTATGAAAAGGAAAATGAAATGCCTTAAACATCCTTACTTGAAGTAGTTGGAAACATCTTGCTCTGTGAAATTACTCTCAGCTGGAAAAGTAAGATAAATCTGTCGAGAACCAGCAATAATTCCACCAGGTTCAGTTTTCTCACCAGCATACTCTAAGAATTTTGGGATATCTTCTGCCAATATGACTGAGTGCTGTCCATGAGGCCTGTATAACAACTCAAGTCAAGCGCTTCTAGCAAGCAACATATGACGCATAAAAACCTTTAGCAATTAACAAAGAGTTACCTGTCAAGGAGTCGAATACTGTTCTTCAATCGAGCAAGAAGCTTTGTAAGGCTATAGCCAGCCTTACCATGTCTCTGGCTCTCTGTAAGGTATCCCTCAGCCTGTAAAGTCCTCCCATATTTCTCATAATACATCATTGGCAATGAGGCAATTGATATTGGGAACCCTCTTCTTGATTTCAAAAGCTCAATTATTTCAATCTCCAGCTTTTCAAGGGAGCCAGGAGAGACAACATGATCATCATTTGAAAGCTCATTCAAATTCGGGTGAGAAAAGCTCTCTGCCATGGGATGGCCATGGAAGTACCTGCAGTTGCTCCCATGCTTACAGAACCCCTTATTGAAGTAATGGCAAACCTTAAGAGGAAACTCAGGCAAACTTGGAGACCTTTGACTAGTTCTCACACTCAATGCAGGTTCATGATAGCAATAATTGCTTGAAAAGTCGGGCAAAAACTGCATCTGATTTTGGAGGCGATAATCTTCAATAGCTGAATCAGAGTACCCTGGTGGAACAAATTCTACATTTTGCAGTGGTTGCTGATCACCAGGCAGTTGGGGGTCCCTAAATGGATTCACTGCTCCGAGAGGTGTTGGAGATGAAATTGGTCGAGTTAAATTAGAAGTGTATGGAGTGAATTGTAAAGGTGGGTCTGAAACAGGAACTTGGTTCACCTGAGAAGGTGAGATTGGAGCAGACACTGCCAGTTTGCATAAACCAAGCTCAGTTTTTGCTTTGTTAATCAAAGACTGGATCAAATTATCAGGGCTGAACGCCAGTCGAATCATGTCACGCTCACCATGGTCTTGCAACAGAAGATACCCTATAATCTTAGACACATTTTCAGGCTCTATTTTCTGGATCCTATTGTACACTACTTTTGTGGACTCGGAAAAATCCATCTCAGATTGCAGCCCTGCAGAAGACAAGTACATTCAAAGGTACACATTATTATAAAAGGTAGGAATAGCAATGTAAATTAACACATATAGAAAGTTAGTTGTTAATCCAACTACGTCCCAGAAAACATTAATATGGTGGAAGATATTAATTTATTTCTCAACAACCAGAAAATTATGTGGCTCTAGTGATAAACAAGCCCATGAGTAAATTCATATAATCTTCAAGCAGCAATGCTATTTCTGGTATATAAAAAAAGCCTATTTAAAAGAGTACCAAATAAATGAAAGCAAAATGGGGGGGGAGAACACCAAAAAGGAAACCTTGTTGGTTCATGCATAATCAACTTCTGTATCTGCTCCTCCTACTGAAACAAGTTGCAGGCAACATTTGAAGTTGAAATTTTCAAACAAAAGTGGCAGATGGATATAACCAAACAAAAGCAGCAAAATCATTACCACAAAAACAGAAGCATCAACGCCATAAGGAAAAGGGATTCAGTAGCAAAAAGAGACATTTATTTCTCTTATTAGCAGCATCCATATTAACCTACTTTAATTAAAATTTAAAATATAAAATAAATAAATAAAAAAGCAAAAGGAGGAGAAGGCGTTAACTTTTGGGGGAAAAACAAAAACAAAAAACAGTGCTTCTGAATTATTTTCCGATTTGAAGGACAAGTGAAACCTGGAAGGCATCTTCTTCCACAGGAAACAGTACGAAGAACATACTGTCAATAAACAGAGTCACATAAAATATGTTCATATGCTTGCCAGCCAGAAGGGAACCAAAACATTTTAATTTTGTCCTTATAAGAAAAAAGAAAAAGCCTTTTCATTTCTTAAATGCTAGAGACGATTGCAGAACTCAAGTGAAAACCAACAACATCTTTTGAAAAACACAACCATTTACCCACAACATTTTCCTGAACAAACACATGTCCAGGATCAAGAAATTGAGGACAAATGAAGAAAAAAGCAAAAAGAACAGGAGAGAGAGAGAGAGAGGAGAGAGAGAGAGAGAGAGAGAGAGAGAGAGAGAACTAGTTCTCAGAAGTTGAAGCAAGAGAGACAAATACACAGGATTTAAGTTGCTAGCTATTTTTTTTATTTCTTATATCAGAGATATGGAACACCTCTAGAAATACCCAAGTCAAAAGACCAAAACTTTGGCCATAATTGAGCATCAAATGAAGCAAAAACAACATGAAATGGCAGCATGGAACCATTAATGAGAAAAGATCTGACATACCCACCAAATCTTTTAAGAGCCTCAATATGAAACAAAGTCAAAGGAACCAATCCAAGGCCCAAAACTCCTCCATAACCATGATTGATTGCTCACTCTCTCTCTCTCTCTCTCTGTGTTCTTCGCTATTTTTATCTTCTTCTCCTATTATATTCCAATTCTCTGAACCAGAAAGGACACATTCTTAACGAAAAGCAAAATGACAGAAAGGATAGAGCTTTAGGGGGAGGGCGCCTTGTCTTTAGTTCAAATCAACACACACTTACAAATATATACAAACCACCCTCTCTTCTTCCTCTCCTCCAAAATCACATGAAAAATTACAAATTCTTTTTTTTCTTTTTCAATTGAAACTGAATTGTTATTATTTTTAAATTAAATGATTAATAACATTAAAAAGGACACCACTCTGTCTCTCTCTACACTCTCTCTCACTGCTTGTTGTCACTCTTATCCTAATTTGTCCCGGTTTCTCTGTTTTGCTGAATTGTATAAATTAAATATTATTATATTCATTTCAAAAATTACAGGGTGTAGCCTACTTGTCGTTACAGAAATTTGCGGGAATTTATGGAAAATGAGCCTGGATTTCGAAACAGCCTCCAACTAAAATTCCCAATTTCTCCTCCACCTATTTTGAAATGGTCCTTCCATTCCAGTTATTTTCTTTTTTTGTTTTCTTAACAAATTTATTTATTTTTTATAATATAAAAAATATAAGAATACATATATTTCGGAAATACCTATGTGTCCTATGTGGGTCAGCCTGTCTTGTTGTCTTGTCTATACAGTAGGTGGCTGACATGCAGAGGTCGCTGGACCCACACGGGCAGGATGAGCGGTTTGGATTTCATCTTCACGTTGGGGTTTGGGGTGCGAAAATATAATCTGCCATCTGCATGCTCGACACGTGGCAGGTTGCAGCGAGATACAGTTTGTTTTCCTTTTTTTTGGTGGATAAATAACTGTGGTGCACTTTAGGTTATTAAAGTTAACGTGGGACCTACGTCGTCATCATCCGTACCCACCAATCCTAGTTGGCTGTCTGTGGGTCCCCGATTTAAAGGGCTCAGTTCACTACTCCGTGATTGGTGGTTGCATTTTTCCCTTTTCTTTTTCTTTAAAAAATACAAATAATAATGAATTCGTAATTGTACATTGTATTAGTAGATGATTAGCTTCGTATTTTAATGAGCACAAAACCCAATTTGTATTTTTTTTTATTTCACGTTGGTTTTTTAAAAAAAATAAAAGGAAAAACATGTGCACCACTTAGGAAGTGTAATATACTAGAATATATTGATAAAAATTAGGAAAAAATAAAAAAAAAGTTGGGTAATAAAAGAAAGGGTAGGGGTAATTTAGGGACAAAATATTTTGTTGATCACTTCGTAGTGACCTATTCAAAAGGAAAATATACACGTGAAAAAATTTAACAAATGTGATACTGTGAATCTAATCTAGATTCACAAATTGAGAAATGCTTGGGAGGTAATTTTTCTCCGGTAGAAGGGGAGCTTTTTGTTGATTAAGTCGCCTAATTGAGTTTTTAGTAATCTTGTTATTCTATTTCAAAATACTTTTTATATTTTAGAACATTCCACTATATGATGTCATAATTGCTGAGGATATTTGAACGAAGAGAGCAGAAACACAGTCAATTGATCAAATCAGTGTATGAAATTCACTTCTCCGTAAATAATAGTAGTTTAAAATATTATAGCCGCTTGACTTCATAATAATAATGAAGATTAAGAATAAGATTTTAGTTTATGGAAGGGGAGATGATGAGTACATTTGTGACCAAGTAGTATGATTGAGGAATGTGATATGGACACCCTTGTCAATATCAGCCAACATAAATAAATGAAACGAAGCTGACGTCCCTCTGGCTTTATTCGGCACTTGTTCTAATCCAAATCCAATAAACCCCAATTAAATAATTTTAAGATCATGGGCATCTTGATTATTTAATGTCTACAACATACTTATTAGCCTTAATGTTACAATTACATAAATAATTATACCAACACGACAACACCATAATCCACCTACTTATAATACTTTTTGGTTTTATGTGAGGTACGTATTTTATCACCGAAGTTATAAACTCAAACATATTAGAATCGTAAAACAAGTCTATGATTGCCAATAGGGTTTAGACTAGTGGAAAAGGACCATGACATGCAGACTAGTGGTTCCGGATTTAGACACCGATAGTACATTGGTAGTGTGTATATGAAAAACCTCATCCTCTTATAGTTTGGACTATCGCTTCTATTAAAAAGAAAAACGAGTCTATGATTTATTTATATATTTCACATGGTATTCTATAAAAGTTTGGGAGAAATTTTGTACAAAAATTAAAAAGCAAAAAGAGAAAGGAAAAGACGCAAAAATTATAGTTTCTTCACATGCGTTCAACTAATCATCTCTAGCTTCTTCTTTTTTTCCAGGCAACATGTGGTTCACAAATACAAACAGAGAGGCAAAAAGGGCGTTGAAAGTTATGAAGGGGAAAAGGAAAAATTTGGCCCACTTTTTCATTAGATCACAAACAAAAACAACTATCATCTATCTGTATCTTCCACTCAACTAGATCAACCCTAGCTAGAACTTTACTGTGTTCCATATATGTGGCGGCTGAGTTTGATGGTTTTGGCTTGTTAGCCATGGCATGGCCCAATTGGTAACATCAAGCAATTGAGTGGCAGGCCTGGAGATTTAGAGGGCAACCTTATCAGGATGCTGCAAGGTTTGAACACACATAAAAATCCATTTTTACAACTGATGTTACCATCTGATCTGGATATGATTTTGTTGTAGCATATTTGGTTTGTGGTAGTGTAAGGTGTGACAACTTTTGACAAGATAGGAAAACGAAACATGTTTGTGATTTGTAAAACAGAACGCGCCTTATTTTTTTGTGAAAAAGAAGAGAAAATGAAAAAACTAACCTGAGTTATCATGTTCGGATATAATATGAGTGATTTTGTTGTAACATGTGTAGTTGTCGAGAAAACACAAGAAGAACACGAGTTGAAACATAACGAGTTTAAGTTGGGGATAAGAAGAAGGTACATCAATAGCTTTTAACCAACTCTATGCATTGCTCTAACAAATTGTTGACCTAGTGTCGGGCTTCTTGGTCAAATGCAAGCAATCACATGATTCTACTAATAGGCCAAGGTCCACACCATGTGCATGTGATGCTGGGTCAATAAAACCCAATCATATCCCATGCAGGGCTTCAATCATTTTCTCAACTCTTTTTAGGAAAATTTCATGCACTTTATTTTATTTTATTTCTGTTTTTTAACCATAAGAAAAATTGTACATGCTAAACTTATGTTTCAGTAGAAAAAAAAAAATCAGATGGAGGGAGGAAAATTCGAACTCAGAGCGTTGATTGTGAAGATACATCTTTAAATTCTCACATTACAAATGAAATTTAGTATCGTTATTGAGATATGAACTTACGACCTTATCCAACGAATTGAAGACTTAATTTTTTTGGGCCTTACTCCATGTGTGAAAACGGAGAGTAGAAGATTGGGCTTTCAAGGATTTGTATCCCATGAAAGCCCAATAACTGTTCATAAGATTGCAAAAGATCAACTGATCAAGTGACAAATTGTAAATTCTTTTTTACCCTAGATAAAAACAAAACTTCGACAAAAAAAAAAGAAGAAGATAAAAACAAAACTGTTTTAAGTCCCAGAAGTTTCCGAAAAGAGGAAGCTTACTGAAGGCACTCTGCATTTTCTGTAATTTTTTTTAAATCTCAACCGTTCAAATAATCCAATAGTTTAAGGTAGGCCACATCAGCAAAGCGTTTATTTTTAACTTTTGGGTCAAAATTTACGCCGTTACTTCTCCATCCTATTGTCGTATTCAACACCGTTATTTTTGACTTTACCTTCAACGAAGAATCAGAACTTCACCCCTCGACGGCCATGAAACGACATCGTTTATAGCTTTCTGGCTTATTCCGGAATACGGTTTTGACTGTAACCATTCTTCTGCAACTGCCGTAGAACCCGACCCGATTATCAGAGAAAAGGAGGAAGACGATTTTCAGAAAGAGGGAAAGGAAATGGCTTTCTGAGGTTTTGACGCCAAGTAGTTGGCTTTGGCCGTCGATCTCAGCCCTTGAAAATTGAAATCAGAGCCGCCCGATCTGCGAGGTTATCAATTACTGGAAAACAAGAGAGTTCGCAATGTACCAGTGGAGGAAATTCGAGTTCTTCGAGAAGAAATTGGCGGGAAAGTGCTCGATTCCCGAGGAAGTGAGCGGACGGATCGAGTGTTGCTCGAGCGGCAGAGGGAAGGTGGTGATCGGTTGCGACGACGGCACCGTGAGCTTCCTCGACCGCGGCCTCAACTTCAGTTATGGCTTTCAAGCTCACTCCTCCTCCGTACTCTTCCTTCAGCAGCTCAAGGTCAGCCTCCATTTACAACATTTTTTCTTGATTTAGTGATTTTGTATTTGGTTCTCCGGAAAGTTTGGAAAACAGAAAAAGAAGGATTTGGGAAATTTTGGGACTTTGGAACTTTGATATCTGGATGTTAGGTTTAGTTTCATTTTTTCAGTAATTGTTAGGAGATGACACGTTTGTTGATTTTCTCCTGTTATTATTAAATCAGCAACGCAACTATTTGGTGACAATCGGAGAAGATGAACAAATTACTCCGCAGCAATCGGCAATGTGCCTTAAGGTTTTCGACCTGGATAGAATGCAGTCGGAGGGCACGAGCTCGAGCTCAACGAGCCCTGATTGCATTGGGATCTTGAGGATATTCACCAACCAATTTCCTGAAGCAAAGGTAGTGCATGTGCCCAATTATTGGAATTTGTGAAACATTGAATTCGATTGAAACAATAGGGTTTTAAGTCTAGTTGTGGCTTATTACTGCAGATTACGTCGTTTCTAGTACTAGAGGAAGCACCTCCAATACTGCTTATAGCTATTGGCTTAGATAATGGTTGCATTTACTGCATTAAAGGGGATATTGCGCGAGAACGTATCACCAGGTTCAAGCTTGAGGTTGATAATCTCTCTGACAAGAGCTTGTCCTCGGTGACAGGACTGGGGTTCAGAGTAGATGGTCAGGCCCTTCAGTTGTTTGCCGTGACTCCATCTTCTGTGAGCTTGTTCATCTTGCAGAATAAAACTTCAAGGGGGCAAACCCTAGATCAGATTGGAAGTAATGCCAACAGTGTTGCCATGAGTGATCGCTCGGTATGCAATCCAGCCTCATCTTCGTTGGTGTATTTTCATGTATATCTTAGCATTTTATTTATTTATATATTTTGATCAGGAGTTGATAATTGGTCGACCTGAGGCTGTGTATTTTTATGAAGTTGATGGGCGAGGCCCTTGTTGGGCTTTTGAAGGACAAAAGAAATTTTTGGGGTGGTTTCGTGGATACCTTCTGTGTGTTATTGCAGATCAAAGAAATGGCTACGATACTTTCAACATTTACGACCTGAAGAACCGTCTAATTGCCCACAGCCTAGTGGTTAAAGAGGTTTCTCACATGCTTTGTGAATGGGGTAACATAATACTTATAATGGCTGACAAGTCAGCTTTGTGCATCGGGGAGAAGGATATGGAGAGCAAGTTAGATATGCTCTTTAAGAAGAATCTTTATACTGTTGCCATCAACCTTGTTCAGAGTCAGCAAGCGGATGCTGCCGCAACTGCGGAAGTGCTAAGAAAGTATGGGGATCATTTGTATAGCAAGCAAGATTATGATGAGGCAATGGCTCAGTACATCCATACCATTGGTCACCTTGAGCCTTCTTATGTGATACAGAAGTTTCTAGATGCACAAAGAATCTACAACCTTACAAATTACTTGGAAAAATTGCATGAGAAGGGGCTTGCTTCTAAAGATCATACCACTCTTCTACTGAATTGCTACACCAAATTGAAAGATGTTGACAAGCTGAATGTGTTCATTAAAAGCGAGGATGGTGTTGGAGAACATAAGTTTGATGTGGAGACTGCAATAAGAGTCTGCCGTGCGACCAACTACCATGAGCATGCAATGTATGTTGCTAAAAAGGCAGGGAAGCACGAATGGTACTTAAAGATCTTACTTGAAGACCTTGGCCGATATGAGGAAGCCTTGCAATATATTTCAAGCCTTGAACCAAGCCAAGCTGGAGTGACAGTGAAAGAGTATGGTAAGATTCTCGTAGAGCACAAGCCTGTGGAGACAATTGAGATACTTATGAGGCTGTGCACTGAAGATGGAGAATCAGGCAAGAGAGGAGCCGCTAATGTTGCATACTTAAATATGTTGCCATCTCCTGTTGATTTTCTTAACATCTTCATCCATCATCTGCCGTCGCTTATGGATTTTCTTGAAAAGTATACTAACAAGGTGAAGGACTCTCCTGCTCAAGTAGAAATCCATAACACACTCTTGGAGTTGTACTTGTCCAATGACTTGAGCTTCTCATCAATATCACAAGCTAGCAATGGTGAAGATCTAAATCTCAGGGCTAGATCAGGTGCAACTGCAACGTCAAGATCAGGGTCCAATGGGAAATTTATTGCTGATGGCAAAGATTCAAATAAGGAAAAGGACCGTCTGGAAAAGCAAGAGAAAGGGCTACGACTGCTTAAGAGTGCATGGCCATCTGAGCTGGAACATCCACTTTATGATGTTGATCTTGCCATAATCCTTTGTGAAATGAATGAATTTAAGGAAGGCCTTCTCTATCTATATGAAAAAATGAAACTCTATAAAGAGGTGATTGCTTGCTACATGCAAGCTCATGATCATGAGGGTTTGATTGCATGCTGCAAACGACTAGGGGATTCAGGTAAGGGTGGGGACCCAACTCTGTGGGCAGATCTGCTAAAATATTTTGGTGAACTTGGAGAAGATTGCTCCAAGGAAGTGAAGGAAGTTTTGACATATATAGAAAGGGATGACATCTTGCCTCCTATTATTGTTCTTCAAACACTGTCCAGAAATCCATGTCTCACACTCTCTGTCATTAAGGATTACATTGCTCGAAAGCTAGAACAAGAATCAAAGTTGATCGAAGAGGACCGTCGAGCTATTGAGAAGTATCAGGTTAGTGCTTATTTTTTTGCAGCTGTCATTGTTAACTTGTTTATTATACCTCTTCTTTCAGTTCACTGGCCTCCAGCAAAAGTTGGTTAACATTCTTTGTTCCTTCTTGAAGTCTTCCTTGGAAACTTTTGTAATGACATGATTGTGATCTTGTCAAAGCAGAATGTATCAAATGAGTTTGCATGACTATCTAGTTAGGTTTAAAATGGCATGAACAATAAGAAAAAAGAAAAAAAAACAGAAGTGTTTCAAATAGCTATGAGATAAGTGCATCACAGGAAAGAAAAAAAATCTAGGGATCATCTTCAGGGTTCTTGGATAGGGTTACATTGAACTGACTTCTATTTTTTGTTTTGTTTTTGTTAAGACATTGAACTGAAAATCTAGATTTTGGACAATTCAACATTTTCTTGACCAGTGAAAGTGTTTCTTTGGAGGAAATTGGCATATTATTTAGCAAGTGAGAAAATAATCCAAAGAAACAAACACTTCAGTCTAAACAAGGGAAATGATCAGGCATGTTTGGCATGTCATAGTTCTTTTATCTATATTACATGAGTAGGTGAAGTTGAGTCTCTCTCATGAAAGATATCTTCAGCTAAAGTAATCAATACGGGACAGGCATGATGGTACTCTTCCTGATTTCTGATGAGAATATACATTTGTGTGTGTGTGTGTATTGGACCAAAAATAAATCATCTGCAAAAAAAAACATTTAACACCATTTTAGGTTTCAATTCAAACTATTGTGTGGTTGTTTCGTGTGTGCATGTGTGAGAGATTATCTAATGAACCCTTTAATTCTTCAGGAAACCACGTCAGCAATGAGAAAAGAAATTCAGGATCTTAGGACAAATGCTAGAATTTTTCAACTCAGCAAGTGCACTGCATGTACTTTCACTCTTGATCTCCCAGCTGTGCATTTTATGTGTATCCACTCATTCCATCAGCGATGCCTCGGCGATAATGAGAAAGAATGTCCTGTATGTGCTCCGGAATACAAATCTGTGCTAGAAACGAAAAGAAGTTTAGAGCAGAACTCCAAAGATCAGGATCGATTCTTCCAGCAAGTTAAAAGTTCGAAGGATGGTTTTTCTGTGATCGCTGAGTATTTTGGGAAGGGGGTCATTAGCAAAACCAGTAGTGGACCCACAGGTGGTTCTTGATCAGCAGCAGTTCTTTCAAAGTTTGGAGGCATTGGATGACTGTGCTTCTTCTTGTTTCGTTTCCCAAAGTTTGGAGGAGTGAAATCTTGTGTTTTCTTTTTGGCAGATCAAAATGGCATATCCTGAAACAATTTTGCGGATCTGCATTAATTCGAAAAATAAACTGAAATTTGTGAGTAAAGGGCATTGTTATATAACTTAATGTTCCCATTTCTCACTTTCTAGCAGCTTTGGAAAACACCCTTATCATATATCAGCTGGCCACATCACATACTACTGAGTTGTTTAGATTTTACTTAACTCGGTTTTTTTACTAGTTACTCGTCCTTCTTCAATAAAAATTCTATCGCCCCTCCTCTCCCAAAAAAATTTTTTTAAAAAAAAAATCAATTTTTCTACCTCACTAATCAAAATTAGCATCGGGGAAAAAATTACCGAATTATCAGCCTCTAATTTCAACTCGAATTAAATTTTAGTTATTATTTTAATTTGCCAAACTGTAAAGCTACCTAGTTGATGGAACTGTGGAATGTGCTGTATACTATTCAGGTGACCTAGGATGGTATAGCTGTTGACAACTTCTAATCATTATATATCCGTAGCGTACGCATCCATTCTATCCATTTGTTTGACTGGCCCAGATTGGAAGGTACACGGTAGCTTTTATGGAATCAGTTAGTGGTTAAATTCTTCCGAAGGGGAGAATCCTAGGCCCCTAACAATAATTTTCAAGCTTAACCTACTCTTTTGAATGTGGCCGTTGTCTATATATTATCTGAGAATCTAAAGCTGTAAATATTTTGGTAGCCTCAGTCGGTAATAAGTTAAATCTGAATGTTATGAGCTTCACATGCATCGAATAAGAGTTAATCTGATCGTTCATGCATACGTTGTGAGCTTCATATGCATCAATAATTAGAAAATTCTCACGTCGATAACTCGTAATAAAGTACTCTTTATTGCTTGAACAAATAATGATTCTAGTGTAAATAATTAGTGAGAAGTGCTTTTTGATTGATGATATGCATGAAAATATATCACATTGGTACTTTTCATTGTTTGAGAAGTCACTACGATAAGTCCCATCTGTATAATCTGTTGAAAAGGTCATATTTTTTTATCATGTTCGATGATGGCTCATGTTTTGCAGTTGTCCTATCAATAGTACTCTGTGGTAGACCATTGCTGTCGGCGCGTACCCAACCTACCATGTTGGTTCACGCAAGGTTTGTGCAATTTATTAGCAATTCCCCAACTCATAGTGCCTGGGACAATCGCCCCGGGATCATGCGAGACTCTCAACCGTTAATGCATTGGAATGGAAGTCATTCATCTACGTGTTAGCAATGATTTCTAAATCAATTTTTTTGAATTGGAGATGATAAAATAAATATCTAACTTGGACGTAAACAAGCACAAGTGAACCCTTTTCGACCGAACCCTAGACATCCCATCCATGCTCAGCCTTTTCAGCTTGATGATAAACACCACCCAAAAAGGCCATGTCCGGATTCAGGCCCTCGCCTCAGCAAATATTAAACAATGGTTTTATAATGTTTGTCCACATCCAACTGAGCACGACACCAAATCTCTCGACATCCCCTTTTTGGTTATGTAGAGACAGCCGAATCAAACCATGTTGTCTTCGTATTCCATGTCTCTCATCTAACCCTACTTTTATTAATGGCAACTTATAATGGGGGGTTCCAACAACTGCTTAAACAATTATAAGCAGCTTCCCCGACACCTCCGAAACTTCAGTTTCTGGGTAAATGCAGAGGCCTGTGACAAAATCAACTCAAGGATGCTCCTTTAGTTACATTCCGTGAACCTTGATCACCACCAACTTCCAAGATCTAAGAAGAGGTAATTTGACTACTTGAGTTTGAATATAAATTGACTTTATCTATAAACTTCCAATCGAATACAGACATTATACAAATAATGTGTTCATTATAAACACTCAGAGAAGTAGAAGCCAAATTGTCAATTTCTACATTTCCAGAATTTTGTGATCATCAAACCAGTGAAACTGACCCTAAAACTAACAATCGAACTCAAGTATCAAAATCATTACTGAAAATCACTACTTTAAGGGGGAACAGTAACTTTATAAACATGGGCTGGATGATCTGCAACAAGAACTTGATTGCCTCATCATGGTTCTCAAAGTAAACAAACATATCAAGATCAAAAGACCAGCGATAGATACATTAAAGGCTATATAAAAACAGAGTTCTCCAAAGAAGAACAAACATGTAACTTGACAGACTCGAGAGAAAAAAAAAAACGAAAAAAAGTACTTTCCTACTCTGTTCTCTAGGCAAAAAAAAGAAAAAGAAACAAAGAAAATATACGTAGGTACATATAAGATCATCCTTTATGGTTCCAGCTTCAAGGAAACAACCCGTGATTGTCTGTTACGCTTTGCCACCTTGACAAATACTACTGAGAGGCAAGATGGAGCCCACCATGGCCTGCGGACCTTTTGCTCCCCTTTCAGGCAAGCCACTGGACATAAACTTGGTTTAGCACACACACAGATGGTATCTAAATGCAATTCAAATTTCAGAGGAAAAGGCATATATATGTAACTCAAGGGAAATATGATTCCAGAAAGGTTTAAATTCTCAACTTGCTAGGATAGATAATGAGATCAAGAGAGAGTTTCACAATGCTATTGAATGAGGCATAAGAATGGTTTCTTAGTGTCAGCGTGCTATGCTATCAGTAGACATTTGAGTGAATGAAATGAATGGATCATGCATGGCCAGTCTGTCTCACCAATCCAGATACTCTACAAATACTATCTTTTCTGTTTTACTTTTGGAATAATTATATTTTCCATTAATCAAATGTCATATGTACTTGTGCATAGAAAATGCAACAGAGAGATAATCATAACCCTTATTCAAATCTATTTATCCAATAACTCTAGAGACTAAATGAACTTTTTGATATAAGAATGAACACAAAGACTTTCACACTTTTTTCACAGCATGATAAAGACTGCTAGGAAAATTTATAGGCTACAGACCTTTAATTCGCCTTAGTTCCTTACACAGCGTGATAAAGTCTCCCCATTTCATGTGGCACCGTCTTATAAACCGAAGAATCTGCTCAGTAGTAAACATTGACATGCCTTCCAGGTATTCTCCATTGACACCATTTTCCTTAAAAGTTTGCCGGTAACTGCCGAGGTTTATCTCTTCCAACCACAAACCGACATCCTGTACGAAAGGGGAAAATAAACATGAGAATACATGTAGGTGAGCCATATATCTTTATATTCGTTTTATTATATATGGCCAAAAAATATGTACATGAGGCCTTCATCTGGGCACATGATAAACTCAGCCTATTAAGTCACTGTTGTTATAATATAACAGTCCCTCCAACTCAAAAAAAATAAAAAAACCAATATCCACCCAAATTTTTTATCAGGACAACCTTAAACTTAGGGCAATTTAAACTCTTTCTTTTGAGATTATCCGACTAGAGTTCATCCATATCAACCAGCATCACTTCACATGGCAAGGTAATGTTTTTGTCTGTAACTTGGCTGTGTTTAATTTTAATATCAATAATCCCCTTTAGTCACAAAATATCTGTCCCCAGAGGTAATCCTAAGATTCCTAAGACCAATAGTAATGTGTTTGTCTCATTATTTTCACTGTAATCTATTTACTCATAGCTAAAAATAGTTAGGTAGAGGCATCTTTAGCACAACTTCAGAGTCAAAGACCACATTCAAGCTTTAGCTCATAGTTTTGTTCAATTGTGAAGTTGTAAATAAAAAAAAAAAAAAAAAAAATCCATCATTCTATGGACAGGGAAACAATTTCCACACCCCAAGATGAGGAGGGTCCTGACCAAGTGAATAGCAACAGATAATACAGATTGCACTAACAACAAACTTTTGTTCTGTAGCATTTTAGAATCGTTTTATAACGTGACAGAGTCAAACGCCTGACACCTCAAGAACCATAAATCAAAGAAAGAAGATTGTGTCAAATAATAGCAGGAGGAGCATGAACTGATTGTGTCAAATAATAGCTGGAGGAGGATGAATTGATGAGTGAAGGAAGGCAATTATTTTCTGTAATAACAACATGAGATGGATTCATATGAAACTGATGAATTTCCCAGCTTGCCAAGTATGAAGGATAATTAGCAGATTACATGAAAGTCTCCTCTATTTCGATTCATTAAGTTGGTCTATTTCACAATAATCAAAACTAAAACCTACCACTTGATAACCGTTCCCCCAGTAACAACCCCATAAAAAAGAAAATACATCACAGGATGTTAAAAAACCCCCAAAATTTCAAAAAGTTAATACATACAAACACACATATATACAAAGCCTAACTCGAAGAGAAACAGATGTATGAGCTAGCAATAAATTAACAAAAAAATGAAGAGTCAAAATCAGATGTCCCAAACAACAATTCTCCAATACCAACACACAAGATCTACTTGATTGAATGAGAAATATCCAAAAACAAGGACAGAAAAAGAGAAAAAGAGACTGAAAATTGGTTACCTCAACAGTCCAAATGAAGAAATCAAGAGGCTCTGGTGGGTGTTCTTTGCTCATCTCCCTAATCATAACGCCTTTTCAAGACCTTCAAATCATTCACAACCCAAACACACTCTCAGTCACAGAGACGACACAGAGTAAAGAGCTTAAAAATAAAATTTCACAAAAAAACAAATAACAGCTTGGTCTAAGACTAGTGGCCGTTACTGCGATCCGAATTTTCTTCGTTTTTTTTCTTTTTCTTTTGTTCGTTGTATTTTCTGGGAGACCAAACAGAAAGTTAGAGAAAGCTGGATTGGGACTTACCGTGCGGAAGGTGAGTGAGAATTTTGAGGGTATAAATTCTCTACATTTGTTTCAGAGCTTAAAGAGAGAGAAAGTAAGAAGAAGTCTGAAACTGATGACTCATTTGCTTTCTTGCCCACTCTTTTTTTCTGTCTCTTAATGGAGTTGATGGGCCTCCATTTTTCTCCTTTATTTTCCCTTTTAATTTCTCTTAATTATCATTGCTAAATTTCAGATAATAACACTAAATTACATTTTTATCCATATAAAAATTGTATCGGATTGCAAAGCGATATTGGGTAGAAGGAATCCAACACACACCTCATGTACAAAGATTAATGTTATTAATCGCTTGAGCTACGTGTTCTTCACAATCCATTTAAATTTTTACTAGTATCTCGATTGTGAAAGACATATATTCATGATCGTAAATTGAGATACTAGTAAGACTAAATTCATTTGAATTCTAAAACCATAAAAGGTTATAATTGTAAACGTCGAAATGAAATGAGATCAAAACAAATGGAAATAAAACCCTAATTTAGCAAAGGAGAAATTCTCATTAGTACCCCTTAAGGTAATTTATAAATTTGGTTGGTAAATAATTTAATATTTTATTTTGGTTCGATGCATGTCAAATCATAGAGTAATTGGTTATTAATAATACACTTTATGACGTTTACTATAATAACTTTGTCTTAATTATTTTGGGACCATTATGAAATTATTACTAAACCAGCTTCAATTAAGGTGCATGTTTGGGCCCACGTGGGCCGGCCTGAGTTTGATTGAACTGGAAGACTTCGAAGGCGACAAGTTGGACCGACCAAATCGAAACCATGCAGACGGTCAATGAATCTTATGGTCATCAGATCGGACGGTCATGATGGGAGTTTCTATGAAGCCACAGTGAACAGTTACATGTGCAACACGTGTCCATACCGTCGCTTACGTTGCGCTATCATTGTCCCTGGACCACATACCAAATAATAACCCTAAATCAGTAATTAGAATTACATCACTTCCTTCTTTTAGGTGTTTATTATATTGTCACTTGTTGTCTCTCCTTTTGATCTTGCACCCACTTTTTACTGACTTTCTATTGCTAGTGTATGTATGCACCCCCAAAGATTACAAAAATAACTTTTCTTACCTCTTTTGTATTTTTTTGATGTAAATTACTGTAATATAAAGAAAAATTAGAATTCGGGTATAACGAGACGGGCGCTCTCCTGACAAACTAGCTTAACCCATATATACTTTATCCAAAAAAGAGTCAACGCGTGAAAATAAAAGTAAACTGTGAGTAGTCAATGTTGTACGAACAATTGTTGTTTTACTCATAACTCATTATTTCTATAGTTAGTTAAGATTTCGTATTAATATAAACCTTAGTGTTATTATAAGATATAGTTATCAATATGGATTGGGTATTTGTATCAATGTGGACCTACAATGGGGCCAATTCAAGAGGTGGGTTAAACAAGACCTTCTCAATATGCTCCTATGGACCTAATCCGTACTACATATATAGCAAGGGCATGACTCATGAGAGAAGACAAAAAGGACCCAACTTAAAAAGAGCCCAATTTTATAGTGACATAACATATATGGAAATGTATGAATGATTTTTTTAATTTTATTATAATTTTAATACATGCGATATTTTAAACTACAAGGATGAGGGAAGTTTTTCACACACATTACCAATTCCAACTTGAGACCGTGACTTACAAATCAATATATTTTTCCACTCAATCAAACCCCGTTGGCATCGACATGTTTTTTTTATAGTGTTGTGCTGTGTAATGGTTAATCTTCCATTGTTAGATTTATATATTGTTAAACATGCTTTGATCTAACGGCTTAAATTTGTGTAAAGGTATTGGGCCCACCACCTTTAGTATTGCTACACATGTCCTAAAGTCGTGAGGTCGCCCACACCGGATCACCCCGCCGTCAAATTTCCTCTCTCACTCAAGAGTCAAGACAATTCAAGCGCTCGCATTTCCCGTTTTTCAGCTCACAGTGTATCCCTAAACCCAAAACCCCCAAATTTTCCCTCTCTTTTTTCTCTTCGAGCAAAAACCAAACAAATGTTCTCTCCAGGAACTAAGCGACTCAATGTGAACCCTCGTCGGGACCCAGGATCTCCGGCCACTCCTCTCGTCGAGAACCGGCGATCTGTTTCCGATAACCCGGTCCCGAACCGGCCCAGTACCGGAACTCCGGCTCCCTGGGCTCCTCGCTTATCTGTTCTCGCCAGGTACTCGTCTAATTTATTATGCAATCGTTCCTTGAATTGCTGAAATGAGCTCGTCGGTTCTGCATGTGGGCTTAATTGTTGGTTTTAATTGGATATGGTAATGGGAGAGTTGGGTTGGTGAATGTAAGGGCTGATTTTCAATCGTTTGTGTTGTTTTGTGTTTGGTTAGAGTTTTACCAGCGAACCAAAGTGAGAAAGGGGATGAAATTAAGCCTGTATATGTTGGAGAGTTTCCCCAAGTTGTTCGTGATGAACAGGCCAGTATGGTCCAGAAGCATGTTCATGGTTAGTAGGGTTTACTCCATGAGCTTGGTTGTTGAATGAAATGACTAACTGTAGAATGGTATCCGATGTTTTCTCTTTTTTTTTCTTCTTGCAGGTGATGCATATGTATCTGGTGGAATGGAGAGGGGAACATCTCTGGCATGGATTATATGCGGAAACAGACTCTTCGTGTGGAGTTATCTGTCTCCTGCAGCATCGATCAATTGCATTGTTCTTGAAATCCCTGCAAATGTTTTTGAAGGTGGGGATGTGGGCAGAAGTGGTGGGAACTGTTGGTTGCTTTGTGTTGTCAATTGGGATAGCACGTCTACAAGAACAAAGAAAGTTGTTAAACACTGTAGCTCTGCTGGTATTGTATTGTGTAACAAAAAAACTCAAGCTGCGGTGTACTGGCCTGACATTTATGCTGATGGCAGAACTGCCCCTGTTGTTAGTGTTGCATCTTCTGATGAATTGGAGGCAAATTCTTCACCTATTGATAGGAAGACCACCCCAAAGCGACACAGGCACAGGAGTAGTTTGACTGGGTTTTGTACATTTAACTCTTTGATTGCTTCTGCAGTCCCTGATTCCCAGAATATGTGTGTTGCGCTTGCCTGTAGTTCAGATGGCGAGCTATGGCAGTTTCATTGCAGCCCATCTGGTGTTAGCCGTAAGAAAGTATATAGGGACAATCAGACTCTTTCCTCCCAAGGGGGTGACAATGGTCAAAACCTAGGAAGCAAGGGTTATCCAAGGTCACTGACCTGGTGTTTTCCAAGTCTTCCTATGCAGGAATCTAACAGGCAGTTTGTTCTTCTGACAGATCATCATATTCAATGTTTTAATGTTGAACTTTGTGCTGAATTTGCTGTATCAAAACTCTGGTCTCATGAGATTATTGGCTCAGATGGGGATCTGGGCATTAAGAAAGATTTGGCTGGGCAGAAGCAAATCTGGCCTCTCGATATGCAGGTGGACTATCATGGTAAAGTGACTACCATTCTGGTTGCTACCTTCTGCGTGGACCGGAGTAGTAGTTCAAACTACACACAGTATTCTCTATTGACTATGCAATATAAATCTGGAATGAGTGTAGAGCCTACCCATGAAAGAGTTTTAGAGAAAAAAGCACCTGTGCAAGTGATAATCCCAAAAGCAAGAGTGGAAGGTGAAGACTTCTTATTCTCCATGAGGCTGCGGGTAGGAGGCAAGCCTTCAGGATCAGCAATCATCCTTTCTGGGGATGGAACAGCAACAGTATCTCATTATTTTAGAAACTCTACAAGGCTCTATAAATTTGACCTACCTTATGATGCTGGAAAGGTTCTAGATGCTTCAATTCTTCCGTCTACAGATGATGGTGAAGAAGGGGCATGGGTTGTACTCACCGAGAAGGCAGGAATATGGGCAATACCTGAGAAGGCTGTTATACTTGGTGGGGTTGAACCTCCTGAACGAAGTTTGTCACGTAAAGGTAGCTCAAATGAAGGATCTGCACAAGAAGAGAGAAAAAACCTTACATTTGGAGGCAATTTTGCTCCTAGAAGGGCTAGTTCTGAAGCATGGGATGCTGGGGATAGACAAAGGGCTATGACTGTAAGTGCACGTCAAACTGCCCAAGATGAAGAATCAGAAACTTTACTGAGCCAGCTTTTCCATGATTATCTTTTATCTGGGCAAGTTGACTCCTCGTTTGAAAGGTTAAAAAATTCTGGGGCATTTGATAGGGACAGAGAGACAAATGTTTTTGCGCGAATGAGCAGATCAATTGTTGACACTTTAGCTAAACACTGGACAACAACTAGAGGAGCTGAGATTCTGGCAATGGCTGTAGTATCCTCCCAACTCATGGATAAGCAACAGAAACATACAAAATTTCTCCAGTTTCTTGCTTTATCCAAATGTCATGAGGAGCTGTGTTCGAGACAGAGTATGCCCTCGTGCCTATTATATTTGCAATGTTTTATCATTTGATGTCAAATCCTTTCCAATTGACATGGCATATATTGAAACTTGAAAGTTCATGCATGCAACGGTGTAGGTATAGCACACATTTACTTCCACGCGTGCTTATCTAACCCACTGCACTCAATCAATTTCTTTTAGGTTGTCAGATATTAACACATAAAGTTATATTTTGTTACCAGCGTTTAATTTATCAAAAATATGATTTTCAGGGAATTTTTTATTTTTGGTGCTGTGCTTCATTTGATAATTTTGTCATCAGAGTATCTATTGGATGCATGGAGTATATTAATTAGTGTTTAGATGACAATATTTCCTAAGGTGTCCTATCATGGGGGTAGAAGGCCTTTTGAGGAGTATATTGATTTGAGGTTCAGTGGGGTGCTGTTGACCAACTAAATTATGTGTTTTTGTTTCCTTTCTGGCAGGAAATTCTTTGCAAATTATCTTGGAGCATGGTGAAAAGCTTGCTGGAATGATTCAACTAAGGGAATTGCAGAACATTATCAGCCAGAACCGCTCTAGTAGACTTAACTCCTCCCATTCTAGTCCAGAAAATCAAATATCAGGTGCTCTCTGGGATCTCATTCAATTAGTTGGTGAGAGAGCCCGCCGGAATACTGTTCTTCTGATGGACAGGGATAATGCTGAAGTCTTTTACAGTAAAGTTTCTGATCTTGAACAAGTGTTCTCTTGCTTAGACAAACAGCTAGAGTATGTAATAAGTGCAGAGCAGTCATTTGGGATTCAGGTCCAGAGAGCTTGTGAACTGTCAAATGCATGTGTTACTATAGTTCGTACAGCCATGCAATACAGAAGTGAGCATCACTTGTGGTATCCGCCACCTGAGCGCTTAACACCTTGGTATTGTCTAGCTGTGATGCGCAATGGGATGTGGCACCTCGCTTCCCTCATGCTGCAGCTGTTAAAGGAGAAATCTCCACTTGATGTGTCTGCAAAATCAGATTTATATACTCATCTAGAAGTGCTGGCTGAAGTTCTGCTTGAGACATATGCTGGTGCTGTTACAGCTAAAATTGAACTAGGAGATGAACACAAAGGCTTATTAGATGAGTATTGGAATAGGAGGGATGCACTCCTAGACTCTCTTTATCAACAAATCAAAGATTTTGTGGAAGTTGGGCATCAGGTATTCTTTGTTTATTACTATTATTGTTTAAATTTAATTTTAGCTCAACGGTATCTCTTTGTGATCCTGGTGCTGGATAAGTATGCATCTTTGAATTTATTGTCTTAGCAGAATTTAAATGAAGGAACTGATGATCTAAATGAAGAAATTCTTGCGAAGCTTTCGTCATGTTTGCTGCCCATGGCAAAACGGCATGAATGCTACAATACTTTATGGAAAATATGCTGTGATCTGAATGATTCTGGACTACTAAGAAATCTGATGGTATGCCAGTTATAATTTCTTCGGCTTGTTACTTGTTTGTTTTCATTTGTTTTCTGAAACTTATGGAATGGTTTCTCTGTTGGAAAGGTTGTTCTGTGCTAGTGTATAGTATTAGTCCGTTGGAATTCATTTTAACCATTGAAGCATAGTAACCTGCGTTGGTTGTTTCTTGAAGCTCTTCCTCTTAATGCTGCCACAGTTCTGAACATTTACTTTGATGCTATTCTCTTCTAATTAGAATAATTCTTCTGCAACTTTTTTCATAATTTCAATGTTTAGTCCTACTTAGAAGTTTGTTATTTTTAAGGATTTCATTATTATGTTTCTGTTTAAACTTAAAAACTTAGGTTTTCTCTTGATCATTTGCTTCGAAGATATTGTTTGATGTGATTTCTGTTTGCTCTTGTTTTCTTGTCTTATTAGATGTCTCTTTCGTTTTCTGAAAATGATTTGTTGTATAGCATGACAGCAGGGGACCTAATGGAGGGTTCAGTGGCTTTGTGTTCAAACAACTTTATCTAAGGAGACAACTTTCCAAACTGCTTAGGCTTGGGGAAGAGTTTCCTGAAGAGCTATCCATATTTTTAAAGTATCATCAAGATCTTCTGTGGCTTCATGAAGTGTTCCTGCATCAATTTTCTTCAGCTTCGGAAACTCTTCATGAATTAGCTCTTTCTCAAGAAGAAAGCTCAATTTCAGAAGCTGAAGGGGGGACTGGTCCTGAGAATCTGACTATGTTATCGAAACTGGCAGACAGAAAGCGTTTTTTGAATCTCTCAAAAATAGCTGCAATAGCAGGTATGTTTTAACCTTTGGCTTTCCTTAATAGTTTCTTTATATAATTCCCCTCTTCTTGAGTGTTTTCATGTTTTTCTTTACACTGCATACTCCATATGTTTTCTTATTCTTTTAACTGTTATTTAAAGAGAGCTTTATTTTTATTGCAAAATCAAGTTAATATAGTAAGTTGTGCAAACCATCAAGTCAAGCCACTTGAGGACTTCCCATTTGATGAGAAATTGGTAAATGCCTCTCTAGTATAGCAATCAAGGGCTGCTAGTTGTGAGATATATTTTGGTTTCTGTGTTGTCTTGATTTTTATGAGCGGTTTTGTCACTTAAAAGACCAAGTAAAACTTCCGCATGTTAAGAATTTCTACATGGTTCACTGCTTTGGGGTGTTGGAAATGCTAATATTTTTTGGGCATGGGAAGATATAAGAACATTACTCGGTAATTTTATTTGTTTATTTTAGCTTGAGCATTTATACTGGTGATTTGAGTATTATATAGTTGTTTGCTTCATTGGCAGGTAAGGATGTTGATTCTGAGACCAAAGTGAAGCGCATTGAGGCTGATTTAAAGATTCTAAAGTTGCAGGTCTGTTGTGTATTAAAACAAATTTAATTGTCATTTTTGTTTTTAGTTGAAGGGTCTTCCTGATTATTTTTCCTTTTTAAGCGCTTTCGTTATTTGGGTATCAGAATTGGCAAATCGGTCATGTATTATCATGCCTTCATTAAAATGAAAAAAAGAGAGAGAGAGTAAGGATTCTGCTTTTTATGATTGGGTTTGGGTTAACAGGAACAATTCATGTGCCATGTCTCTTTCCCCTTCCACCCTTCATATTCCACGGTTGGTGGCAGTTCCATGAAAATTTTCTTTCAGTCATTGTACTGGCGTGATTAGAACCCAAATTCTCAATGGTGATGGTGCATTTTTAGTCATTTGTATTAAATTGCATGAGCAATTAAATCAAGCTTAGCAGGTTGAGAAGGTTGTGCCTTGTTCTTCATATGTCCTTATTGAACAAGGCATATATAACAGAATTTTCCACCCCTCCCACTCTAATTATTAAGGGGGAAAGTAATTTATTTTATTTTCAAAGATAGGACTTTTGGAAATCAGAAGCAGTGATCAAGCAAAGCCTTGAATTATGACTTATTTTTTAACTCTTGAATATGATGAATCTCTTTCAACTATGTCCATTCACTGTCAGTCTTCAACTGATGCATCATCTGTTGCAGGAAGAAATAATAAACCTTCTTCCTGATGATGAAACAAAGCAAAGCCTTGACACAAAGCTACTTCATCCAGAAGATCTTATCAAGCTGTGCCTTGAAGGTGAAAAAAGTGCGGAGCTGTCACTGCTTGCTTTTGATGTATTTGCATGGACCAGCTCCTCCTTCCGTAAGACCCATGCAAACCTTTTAGAGGATTGCTGGAGAAATGCTGCTGATCAAGATGATTGGAGCAAACTCTATCAGGCATCGGCATCTGAAGGGTGGAGTGATGAGGAAACCTTGCAGAACTTGAAAGACACCGTGCTTTTCCAGGCATCAAATAGATGTTATGGACCAGAAGCTGAAACTTTTGGAGAAGGGTTCAACGAAGTGTTGTCACTGAGACAAGAAATCACGGAGCCTCCAATCATGAAGGAGTCGGTTTCTTCTGTGGAAGCAGTACTCATGCAGCATACGGATTATTCAGAGGCCGGGAAGCTGATGCTGACCGCGATCATGTTGGGTAGTTTACAGGACGATAACATAGAACAAGAAGGTCCTGTGCCAATGGAATGACAGTCAGATTAGTATGAATCATGGTGATGAGTTCCTGGATGTGTCATTGTGTTTTTTCGTTGATACACTAAGATTCGTAGTGTACTAGCCGACAAGTTACAGCTAAATTTTCTCTTTTTTTTTCTTTTCCCTTGTGAAATTCTCCAACCAAGTTTATACGAACATTTGTCAGTCTACGCTGATGCTTTACTGGTTGTCAGTTGTAAGAATTTTCTAAGAAGGCAGCAAGTTTTCTTTCTATAACTATATATGAACATGGGAATTGAACCTGGGATTGGAATCGGCAGTAATTCATGCAAGCAGATGCATTATCGGCAATTTCTGTCAAATTAAGAATGCCTTTAGTTTTGCCTTTAGTTTTAAGGGAAAACAAAGCGTGACAAAATCAGACCAAAATTGAAGAAATGAGAAGAAAAAAAGAGTGCAGTTTCGGCGTTTCTTTCTTTGCCGCGTTGCCTTCCATTACCTCGAAAATACATCTAAATTTCAAGGAAAATAGACTTATTTTGGGGCGGAAAAATGCATGATGAATTTACCGGGAAATACTACTGGTTTTGTTGATGAATTACGTTAAAGTAGAATGCTTTTCTTCTTCTTCTTCTTCCATTGCCAACTACTTTTGCATTCTATTAAAGCCTCTTATTTTTGGTCAAAAACTACTGCGGCAGGCAAGCCAATGTGAAGAAGAAGAGGGTCCCCTGCCAATGGAGCGACAGTCGGGGTTAGTATTGAATCATGATGTTGGGTTCTTGAATCGAATCTCTTTCTTGCTACTTCTATAATTAATAAAATATTCAAAAATGCAGACATGAGTTTAGCAAGTTAGCTAGCTGATGTGCTTCTCACTCTGCACCGACTTCGAATTCCCCTCTATTAGGTTTATATCAGTTCAAAGTAGATTATAGCTCGAATTCCCCTAAACCCTAAACCCTAATACAAAATCTTTTTTCGTAGGGTTGGTGATGAATATCTTGGTTTGGAATTTTTAAAGAGGTTTATTGAACAAGACGACCCCAAAACGAAATTAAAAACACTAATCTATTTGTTAGTGGTTACTTAGACGAATTAAGTAAAATAATGAATATTCGTTAATATACTATACAAGACAAGCAAGCCAACTACTTTGCACTACAGACCAAAGCAAAGACTTGTGTAGATTCTGTTATGTTTGGAGACTTTTACATTATCTCTATTTTTTTTATTCCGACCACATGACGTGCTACTGTGCATGAATAAATACCATTTGAGAACAAGCAAGCTTCATTGACTTCTTACACCAAGTACCAAATACATTTCTTGCTTGTTTGTGACTTCTTTTTTTTAGGAAGCACTAGCGCTTTTATTATAAAATGTTAAAATTTTTATAAGAAATTTCAGTGCTTCCTAGAAAAGTATTTTGGAGTGATTCATGAAGAAGCTCATAGCAAATGCTTCTCCATAAAGCACTTTTATGACCCATAAGCGCTTTTAATTTTTTTGTTTATCAAACGTTGTTGTTATTGTCACAAAAAATGTGTCTTTTTAAATTTATAAAAACTCACAAGCGCCCAAATCGGATATAGTATAGATGTGTAAGAACCAAGTCGTACCCATAAGGATTGCGTGAAAAATATAGAAAACTAATTAAACCCAAGTTAATTTTATTGCCAACCTAGTTGAATCAAATGGTGATTTGTTTGTTGATAAAGAAAATAAATAAAAAAAAAAAAAAAAAAAAAAAAAAAAAAAAAAAGAATAATAATAATAAAATTAGAGATTTATTAAATTAATGAAAAAATAAGGTAATTAGAATCCACACCACTATTTCATAAAACTCTAATTATTTACCTGTTAATTTCCATGCCGAGTAACAATCTAGAAGTCAACCTATTGCTTTCTCAAGATATATCATTTAGGCCCTTTAATGAATCTTTTGTAAATTCCCATTCCCTTTATTAGTACAAATTCTAAGCATCACATGTAAACAAAATTTATTTAACTACAAAGGATCAAAGTTTCCTAAGCATCCTAGGTGAAAAAGGTTATTTGAATGACAAGAGATCAAAGAAATTTGTATACTAAAAATACAAAACTAAGGATGTATTAATGAATCAACCCAAATTCTTAACTACCACAAATACACGATAGAATCGGTGAAAAGAAAGTTAATCTAGTAATCATGTGAAGTGGAAATTATAAACATTGAATAATATACTTTGGAAACTAGAAGATAAAAACTAGAACTTCATTTTATAATGATGTTTCATTATTAACAAAATTGAACTAGACATAAATAAAATAACAAAATAATTACAAGATAAAAACTAAAGTGGAAATGAAAAAGGAAAAATTGCATCATTAACCCCTTGGATCCTTGCCTGTCGGCTCCCCAAAGTTCTCTCCAATTCTATCGTATTTTCTCTCCTCTTTCTTTCCCTTTCTCTCTTTCCTTCTCTTTGCCGTGTACCACTTGGTACCTCACATATTTGCTTCAAGCTTTTAATTATAGGCAAAAGTTTAGGAGCTTAAATCATAGAATAATCGAGAGAGAATAAGAATTCTGGTCTTATCTATGCACATTACAATAGAACACAAAGTGGCAATAATGTCATCAACCACACTTTTATTTATTTTTCTCTCTTTTGGGTGCATAGACTGAGAGAGTCTTCTCTGTGCCAATTTTCCACAATCCCGCGTGCAAAACGCGTAAAGAGACGAAGCCACACCACCACTCCCTCCCTCCCTCCCTCCCTCCCTCCCACCCAGAAGAATTTTGCACTACAAAACAATACAAAACAAGGAGAGAGAGGCTCACATTACATAATGTCACAAAACAAAATATGAAAATAAAAATAAGCTCCCTATTGTACATCAAATTTAATTTATAATCTCAGTGGAAATTAATTTTCTGGGTAATTTATGTGTAGTTTCCAGGTCGCTTCCTTTGTGGGGGCAAAATTGTCAATGCAACACATCTGAGGCGCTATAAATTCCACCTCGGGACACTCAACTAATCACACCTAAATCTCATTCCTCATCCTATTTCTATCATTAACTGCAGTGTCTTGACATTATTCAATAAAATCCCTTGTTTGGTTTTTCTCTGCTATGCATTAATCTAGGGGAAAAAGCTAATTTAAGCACTTTCCAAAGCCAGCACTCACCGACTCCCTTTTTCGTGCATCAAATGAGGCCTAATATTTCATTTTAGTCGCGCAGATTTCTTTGTGAGCTTTTTTGAAGCACTTTCCAAACCCAGCACTCAACAACTCCTTGAGCCTTCCTCATTTAGTCATATACGTACGGTGAGTCCAATATTCCATGCCAAAAGTACCACTATATCCATGAGACTATTTGCTTAATCTTTTTTGAACTATTTTTTTTGTCTGACCATTTTTCTAATTTTGTAGTTGCACCAAGAAACATGTTCCTAGAGCCAAAAACAGATGATCAAGCTTCTGAAGGTTTGGGCAGCAGCACTAGCTTGCTCATTCCAACCATCAACACTTCTGGCCAATACGTGTGGCGCAAGAGATGGCTTAGATATATTGCTCTAGGCGTTTTCATCACCTCACGCAGATTGCCCCACGAAGCCCCTGGCTATGAACCTTTAGAAGCACCGGCACCACCGGCCCCTGCCTCTGAGCATGCGATTGACATCCCTTTTCAGGACCGGTTTCTGAACAAGGTTGCTCGCACTGTGAGAGAGAAGAACTTAAATGCACTGCGAGGACTTGGTGGTGTTGCTGGCATTTTGCCACTTCTCAGGCCTCACTTCGAGGTAGCAAGCAAATAAGTGAAAAAAAAAACTTCTTATAATCTTATGCACTTGATAGAGAATGATTGAAGTTAACTTTGTCAAGTTAATCATATTCGTTCTTTATATGACAGGATGATGCTGATGATGGTGGTCAAAATCCACAAGGATGGAACACGACCATGTCCCCAGTTGATGCAAAAAGCTTCTCATACTTCTTGTTGAAGGCGTGCAATCAATATACAGTTTTTTTTCTCTTACTAGCAGCAGGGTTTTCGTTTGCCATTGAATTCATGACGCAAGGAGTCAAACAAGGGTGGCACGACGGTCTTGCCATACTCTTTGCGGTGTTCTTACTTGTTGCTTTCCCTTCAGTGGGGAACTACCTCCATGAGAGAAAGCTGGTGAGGAAGCACCTGCTGGACAGGAGCAGATTGACGGTGAATGTTGAAAGGAGTAACAGAGAACCTACATCAGTTAACATATCTAGTGTTGTGGTGGGCGATATAGTTCATTTGAAGGAAGGAGACCGTGTCCCTGCCGATGGTTTGTTCATAGATCATGGTGAGGACTTGATGTTGGATGAGGTTTTGAACCCCAAAATTGATTGTGAACAAAACCCGTTTGTGTTGTCTGGTTCAAAGGTTATTAAGGGGCATGGTCGCATGGTTGTGACATGTATTGGTGCCAAAACAGTTTTTGCTGAGATGCACAGCTTGGGGACTAATCATAATCCAAACGAAAAGACGCTGTTACAAGATTTGTTGGACAAGCCATTTAATTGTATGGATTATCTTGCGGTTTGTGTCTCTCTACTGATTGCTCTTGTGGTGCTAATACGGCTATTATTCTTCAGGAAGCATGACAATTACAATGACAGGCCAGAACTGAAAGGGGAAGGTTCAATGAACTTGGTAATGAGGATCTTTGAGAAAATTTTCTTGAAACCTCAAGGACGGGTTTCCACTTTAGCAAGTGTTCTTGCAACCGCGGTGATAGGGATACAACATGGAATGCCTTTTGCAATTACAGTTGCCCTTTGTCAATGGAAGGAGAAGGTGGTCCAAATTCAGGCAAAGCCTCAGAATCTATCAGCTTGTGTCACCATGGGACTAATAACAGTCATCTGCATAGAAACAACTGGTGAGCTAATGTGTAGTCAGGGGGAGGTTAAGGAATTTTGGATGGGTGGAAAGGATTTATGCAGTGATGAAGTGGACTCTGAAGCTGACCAAGTTGTTCTTGAAACACTGCATCAGGGGATTTCTGCTACCCCATCCCCAACAAAAGATTTGCTCATTTCTTGGCTGAAGACCAGATGGGGTGCTAACATGGAGTTATTGAATGAAACATGTAATCCCATTGAGCAGAAACAATTGAGCTCTGATGAGAAATGCAGTGGGATTTTAGTGGAGAAAATTGTGAACGATGAACAAATTCTGCAGTTGCACTGCAATGGGGATGCATCAACAATATTACATAAGTGTTCACATTACAATGATAACAGAGGGGAAAGTCACACTATGAAAAACCAGAACAGAAGATTTAAGCAGGTGATTAATAAAATGGAGGAGAATGGTCTTAGGCCCATTGCATATGCTTACAAGAAAACAGAAGTCCAAGAACTTACAGAAGATGGGTTGATTCTGTTGGCAATCGTGGGCGTTAGACGCCCATATCAAGAAGAGCTTAAATTGGCAGTGGAAGCTCTTAAAAGGGTTGGAGTTAGCATCAAACTGGTGTCAGAGGATGAGCTCTCAACAGTGAGAGCCAGGGCTTCACAACTTGGAATCTCCCCCGGTTCAAATGACATGGAAATTGAAGGAGAAGTTTTCCGAAGACTGAATTCCATGGAAAGGCAGGATAAGATAGATATGATCTCTTTGATGGGAAGGTCCCTCCCTAAGGACAAGTTTCTCATGGTGGATCGCTTAAGGAAGAAAGGTCACATAGTTGCATTCTGTGGAGGGTTGACCATAAGCGATACTCCGACCTTAAAAGAAGCTGATGTAGGAATCATAGATGATATCCGGAGCACGGAAATGGCTAGAGAGAATGCTGATCTTATAGTTAGAAATGTCTGTTTACTAGGCCCTATTTGGAAGTCTGGTGCATGTGCTTACGACAACATTCAGCAATTCTCTCAACTTCACCTCACTGCTTGCATATCTGGGCTACTGATAACCTTAGTGGCAACAATGCATTCCGGAGAGTCCCCATTATCCGCAATTCACTTGATTTGGGTGAACTTGATTATGTGCCTTCTTGGTGGCCTCATGATGGTGATGGAGTTACGAGGCCCAGAACTACTCACTCAAAGACCTGCAAAGAGGACTGAATCACTTATAACACCAGTCATTTGGAGAAACATAGCAATTCAAGTTTCATCTCAGGCTTCTGTCTTGCTGATCTTACATTTCATGGGAAATGCAGTACCAAGAATGGATCAAGGCATCCGGAATACGATGATTTTCAATACTTTCACCTTGTGCCAGGTCCTTAATCTGTTGAGTGCCATGCACTTGGTGAAGAAGGAAATGCTAGTTGTTGTCCTCCACAACAATTGGTTTCTGATGGCTTTGGGGGCTGTTTTGATCATGCAGGTGATGATTGTTGAGTTTGGAAAAGGGCTAGTCAGTGGTGCGAGGTTGAATGCACTGCAGTGGTCGATCTGTTTCCTTCTTGCTGCTCTTTCATGGGGGTTTGATTGGACCTTTAAATTGCTTTCAGATAGCATCGAAAGAACAGCTTCGGCATTGATGGTGAATTCACATGTGGGGTTCTCAAATAGGAGGCGCAGATTATACATTTCTATTTGGTTGTTCCTGATCTTCTCCGTATCGTCATTTTGTTTTCACCCAGTTTCTCAGCTCGCTAGCACATATATCAGTTAAATTGGAAGTCTCCCATGGAAGTGTTAACAAAGTTAATAAACCATGTAGTCATCTTGTGGTCTGTCTGTGTTCCTACTTGTTCTGCACAATGCCATCTCTAAAATGTGAATAAGTTATTCTCCTGCCTTTTTACTATGAGCCTTGAGGCAATAGACCAGAATGCTAATAGATATTACACTGTAGTTGATCATAGACAATGTAGGTGAGCTTATGTTATTTACTCTTCGGGACATTCTCCAATAAGTATTTAAATTAAGGATTGGTTGCATACTTCTAATCTCGGCCGTTGGATTGCATCTAAGAGAATACCAACACATTTAATGAATGTAAGCCAACAGCCAAGATTAGAAGTATGTAACCAATCCTTAAAATACTTTTTGGAGAATCTCCCTTTACTCTTCTTCCACTGCAAACCATTTCTGCTCTGCTATGGTTTGCTGTTGTTTTATCAATACTGCGGCAAATTAACCTTTTCACAGCAGCCAAGGAACAGTTCGAAATTTAGAGGTTGGCGTTTTTTACCTTAAGCCAACAAAAACACCCAAGGAAAGTTTATGCTTTCATGATTTCATCAATGGGGGCCTATTAAATATTTGTCTTTTGGTTGGAGCTGGCGTGACCTTCTACAGTACAACTAATCTTGTGGCCTGCGTTCACCAACCACAAATATTGCACCAATTTGCCTGCCACGTGGCTAAGAGATAACCCCTCTCTCACTAGAACAATCAGTTTGGAAATCTAAATCCAATTGAGAACCAATAGAATGTTGCTGATCTGTAGATATCCTAATCCACAACATCTTCACATTCCCGTTATAACATCCCAGCGCTCTCCTTGTCCAAGGCATCTCATTAGGCCTCACAACACCACCCCACTTCGAACAGGAGAGCTTAGTCATGGCAACCTCTGCAATCCATCAATCAGCATTTGCCGGCCAGACTGCTTTGAAGCAGTCAAATGAGCTCATCCGAAAGATTGGCGGCCTTGGTGGCGGCCGCATCACCATGAGGCGCACCGTCAAAAGCACCCCCCAAAGCATATGGTAAGTACCTTGGCTGTAGCATGTGAGCATAAGACATTTTTTTTCCAAGCAACTCTACTAAAACTTCCATGTGTATAAATAAGGTCACTGATACATATTACGCTATTGGAGTAAATTAAAGTATCTAGTAGTATTGAGAGTCATGGATTCAATGTAAAATTCAAATCAAAATGATGTTTAGATTACAATGACAGAATCTCTACAATCTATTCTACCTCAGTGCATAAAGTTACAGTGTTACAAGACCAACATGCTCAACATAGCATTAGGAAGTTTACACCATACCCATACCTTTTAAAGCCAAGGCCTTGAGCTTATTATGCTAAACACTCTTCACTGTAATTGACAAAACAGGTATGGCCCAGACCGCCCAAAATACTTGGGACCATTCTCTGAGCAAACTCCATCATACTTGACTGGTGAATTCCCTGGTGACTACGGATGGGACACTGCTGGACTATCCGCAGACCCTGAGACATTTGCCAAAAACCGTGAGCTTGAGGTGATCCACAGCCGATGGGCCATGCTTGGTGCACTGGGATGTGTCTTCCCAGAAATCCTGTCAAAGAATGGTGTCAAGTTCGGCGAGGCTGTTTGGTTCAAGGCTGGATCTCAAATCTTCTCCGAGGGTGGCCTTGACTATCTTGGCAACCCAAACCTTGTCCATGCCCAGAGCATTTTGGCAATCTGGGCTGTCCAGGTTGTGCTCATGGGATTTGTCGAAGGATACAGGATTGGTGGAGGACCACTTGGTGAAGGACTGGATCCACTTTACCCTGGAGGGGCCTTTGACCCACTTGGACTGGCTGATGATCCTGAGGCGTTTGCTGAACTGAAGGTGAAAGAGCTTAAGAATGGGCGGCTGGCAATGACTTCAATGTTTGGATTCTTTGTTCAGGCTATTGTAACTGGAAAGGGCCCAGTTGAGAACCTCTATGACCATGTTGCTGATCCAGTTGCCAACAATGCATGGGCTTATGCCACCAACTTTGTCCCTGGAAAATGAAGAAACCTAAATGCATGGCTGTTCATCTGTAACATTACCCGAACTTCTTGCTTTTGTTGAGGTTCTCTTGTTGTGGACTCCATTAGTTCTGATGTAATCTTACTAGAAACTGCTTGTATTGAAATCACTTATCCAGTAAAACCGCCCAGCTCCTTTGTGCTTGAACTCCTTATTTGTCTAGATGTGTTGAACATTCAAAAGTTCCAGTCAACAAATGCATGCTTTGCTGCAATATAGTAAATCTAAACCAGAGAATAAATATATAACAACCAAAATACAAGGGAAAATAAAAATTAAAACCAAATCATATGATTATCAGATTCACCTTAGGTTTCTTCATCTATTCCTCCCCATTAGGCAAATTAAGTTTAACCAGCGCATACAGAGAATGTGGGAAAGATTTCTGCAAACTTTTACCCACTGAACACTGGCTATCATCTCTAATTTTAATATCAGCATAATGAAGACTGCCTATGCTATTAGTATTACGAACACATAGTATATGGATTTGGCCAATGCAGGGTGAAAGGAATGATGGAAGAGCTATCATCTCTTACTATAATCTCAGTATAATGAAGATTGCCCATATAGCTAAGGGCAGCCACATTCCTGTTGCAAGAAAGGCAGTTTTGGGCTCTGGGCAAGCGATACTGGTATCGTGTCAATACGGATGTCAACATGTTTGTCATATGGATGGTGATATGTTATTTATATGGAAGTTGATATGTTGTCAGTGTGGATGTCGATATGTTGTCGAGTATCCCGCTCCAGCTACAGTGGAGTGGGATATATGTATATAATATTACACAATAAGTGCCCACAAGGAGAATGTACAAAACAAAGAGAACGTATGAAACAACAAATTTGGAAAATTTTCAGCAAACAAACTTTTGCCAACTGAAACTTTTCACATGATGGGAGGAGCTATTATCTTTCGGTATAACGAACAATTCTTGTAGGGGTAAACAGTATACAACGAAGATTGCCTCTAATACTAAGGGCACCTAATGTAGAGCCTTCTGCCAATGCAGGGTGAAAGAAGCGATGGGAATGACTATTATATCTCACTGTCACTATAAATTCAGACTCTCTGTATAAGATAGCCTATCTTGCACTAGTCTCTGGCCAATTCAGCATCTAGGGAAAGCAAGACCTATGCAGTCATATCCCTGTAACAAGGGGGGCTGTTTTTGCTAGGAACAATCATTACATCAAGAAACACCTTCAAGAATGTCTATACTGCTAAATATACAAAAGGAACACAAAGAGATGCATAAAATGAAGAAATGATACCAGTGGCCAATTTTAAGAGTGGAAGCATAGAGGTAGAGGCATTCTGATGCTTATTGCTTTGAGCAGATCAACACAAGCGTCAATGCAGCAGACAAACAAGTCAGTCACCAAAAATCTTTGCAAGAACATGACCCATTTCTGAAATGATGGAAACGACTATTATCTCTCACAATAATCTCACGATCATAGATACTGGATAGGAGTTTAGTGACAGAGTGGCAATCGTTACAGACACGAAGATTCTTTATAATGCGAATAGGACTCCCAGGTTCCAAATTAATAAGACCATATGCAATAGCCAATCTCTCGCTATGGTTTTCCAATTCAGCTTCCTTCTCTTTTTCCTCTTCAAGACACAACAGAACTTGACTTGTGTCAGGAACATGTCCTACGGATTTCAGTTTCTCTCTCATCTCAGTCAACTTAGAATATATGTCTTTTGTCCAAGGATGTGATTTGTCACCGACAATAAACTCATGAAGCACACCTCTGTGCTCTATGGAACTGCATCCTGGGTCCTTTTTTACTCCTCTCTTTCTCATAATTTCTCTTACCTGTGAAACTTTCTCCCACTTATCAGCCGCAGCATACATGTTAGAAAGAAGAACATAGCATCCAACGCTGTCTGGAGACACGTCAATCAAATGGCGAGCTGCATAATCACCAACTTCAACATTTCCATGGTTACGAGCACCACTAAGCAAACTCATCCAAATTACTTTGTTTGGTTTCATGGGCATACTTTCAATGACATTCTTTGCCTCGTCCAGACAACCAGCGCGGCATAAAATGTCTACAAAACAACCATAGTGTTCAATTGTGGGTTCAATTTCATAATCATTTATCATCAGATTGAAATAGTAACGACCAAGATCAACCAATCCTGCATGACTACATGCATTCAAGACTCCGACAAAAGTTATACCATTAGGGTGCATTCCATTTTTGCGCATCTCAAGGAATAGCTCAAGAACCTGGTCGGCCATACCATGCATTCCTAAACCAACAATTATAGCAGTCCAATGCCCCAATTTCTTCCTGTCTATAGCTCGAAATACAGCCAGAGCACTCTCTATGCTCCCACACTTGGAATACATTTCTATCAATGATGTACCAAGCACACCATCTAAATCAAATCCATGTTTTACCATGAAAGAATGTATCCATCTCCCCTTACTTAGAGTGGCTAATCCTGAAACGGCAGAAAGAGCACTGACTAATGTAGCATGACTAGGCATAATATCTTCTTCCAAAATTTCCTGAAACAACTCCGATGCTTCCATAAACTGTCCATTAAATTCATAACCTGCAATCATCGAATTCCAAGTTATTATATCTCTTGTTGGCATCCGACTAAACAATTGACGTGCCATCTCAAAATCTCCGGATTTCATGTAACCATTAATCATGGCATTCCAAGAAACCAAATTTCTATGTGGCATCCTATCAAATATCTCCCTAGCCATCTCTACCTTCCCGCATTTTGATAACCCGTCAACTAAAACAGTCCACGAAAAAGAATCTCTCTCCTGCATTTGATCAAACAATTCCATTGCAACTTCTACTTCTCCGCATCTCGCATACCCATCAATCAAAGAATTCCAAGTAACCAAATCTCTATCAAGCATTTGATCAAACACTTTCCTAGCCAAACCAATCTCACCACACTTTGAGTACAAACTAACCAAACTACTCTGCACAAACTTATCCAAACCAAGCCCAATTTTCAACACCAACCCATGAATCTGTTTCCCTTCCCCAATCGCATTTAACCGAGCACAACCCTTCATCACACACGGTACAGTAAAATTATCCGGAACAAGTTCATGAAGCAATTCATAGAACAAAATAATAGCATCATGGGAACGCTGGTTCCCAACATAGCATTTGATGAGAACGTTCCAGGAAACCAAGGTGGGTTCTTCAATTTGATCGAAGACGGAGCGAGCATAGTCAAGATTGTTGATTTTGGGGTCTGCGTAGAGAGATAAGAAACGGGAAGCAATTGCAGGGTGGCTGAAAGTTCCAGTTTTGAGGGATACGGCGTGGTGTTGCTCTGCTTCTCGTTGGGTTTTACAGGTTTGGAGAAGCGAAAAGGGGAGGCTTTGAGGAGAGAGCAATGGTTGATGGAGAGAGTGAGAAGGCGTGAGTTGAAGCATTGCTATGGCTTTGGTGGATCAGATGATTGACTGAAGGGCTCTGTGTGTGGCTTATTATAACTGCTACATAATAAAAGCAAAGTGACATTTTTTTTTCTTGTGTTTTGTTCAGTTTTTATTTTTATTTTTATTTTTAAATATTTTATTTTTTGCTTTCGTCTACGAATGAAATAACCCTAGTTTACTCAACGGTTTAACCTTTCTCCCTTCTATTTCAGTATAGCGAAGCTATGGTTCTCCAATGACCACGTTCAGCAGCAACTCGGCGAGTCCACTCACCATACTCCCCAACTACCAACCAAGCCCCCTCATTCCCAAGGGCTCTGAAAACCCAAGAAAAATCCAAACTTACCATCTTCTTCGAAAACCCCTCATGACCTCTCCATAGCTCGACATGTTAAAGCCCCTCAAAACCCCACCTCTCCTTCACCTACAAACCCTCCATTCGCTATTGGGTTCCCACCATTTTATCGAATTCGCATCGAGAACCAAGCTTTTCTCCCAACTCTCTCATCCACCCTTCAATCCTGCCCCAAACTTGGTGTTCCAAATCTGTGACATTCTGTGCGACCCTCAATGGGAAAAGAGCTCAGAGCTCAGCTGGCTGAGCCCTAAGATTAGAACCGATCATGTGTCAAAGATTATTGAGACCCACAAGAACACAGACTCGGCGTTAAGATTCTTCTACTGGGTTTCTAAGAGACCTTCTTACCAGCATGATATGAGCTGCTTCTCATCAATGCTGAATAGGCTTGTGAACGAACGGCTTTTTGCGCCTGCAGACCGTGTGAGGATTTTGATGATTAAAGCTTCTAGGAAGGAGGAAGAGCTTAAACGGGTAACTGAATATTTGAATGAGATGAGCCGACGTGGTTTTGAGTTTACATTGTATAGTTTTAATACGCTTTTGATTCAATTGGGTAAGTTTGAGATGGTTAGTATAGCTCAAAATGTTTATACCCAGGTGCTAAGTAGTGGGCTTAAACCGAGTTTGTTGACATTTAATACAATGCTCAATATATTGTGTAAGAAGGGCAAGGTTCAGGAAGCAGAGTTGATTTTGAGCAAGATTTTTCAGTTTGATATGCTCCCGGATGTTTTTACTTATACATCATTGATTCTTGGGCATTGTAGAAATCGTAACTTGGATTTGGCATTTGAGGTTTACGATCAGATGGTGAAGGCAGGTTGTGACCCGAATTCAGTTACGTATTCAACTCTTATCAATGGGCTATGCAATGAGGGGAGGGTGGATGAGGCACTGGATATGCTTGATGAAATGGTAGAAAAAGGGATTGAACCCACATCATATACTTACACTGTCCCAATTGCTTCACTATGTGAGGCCGATCGGCTGGTGGAAGCAATTGGGCTTTTCAGAAGAATGAGAAGCAGGGGTTGCCATCCTACCGTTCATACTTATACAGCTTTGATCAGTGGGTTGTCTCAGACGGGGAAACTCGATGTTGCTATTGGACTCTATCACAAGCTTTTGAAGGATGGTTTGGTCCCAAACACAGTTACCTTCAATGCATTGATAAATGGATTATGTGAGACAGGAAGATATGACCTGGCTCAGAAGATTTTTTATTGGGTGGAGAGACATGGGACCTTGGCAAATACCCAAACTCACAATGAAATCATCAAAGTTTTCTGTTTGATGGGTAACATTAATAACGCAATGGCTCTTGTAAGCAAAATGCTTAAAGTGGGACCCTCTCTAAATGTGATTACATATAACACACTCATCAATGGATACCTCAGTGGAGGTCAGTTAAACAATGCTATGAGGTTGTTGGATTTTATGAAAGGGAGTGGATGTGAACCAGATGAATGGACTTATACTGAACTTATTTCTGGGTTTTGCAAGGCGGGTAAGTCTGACTTTGCATCTACTCTTTTCCGTGAGATGGTAGAACAAAGAATTAGCCCCAGTCAGGTCACCTACGCTGCTTTGATTGCTGGATACTGTATGGAGGGGAAAGTGGATACTGCATTGTCATTATTTGAGCAGATGGAGGAGAAGGGTTGCTGTCCAAGTATTGAAACCTACAATGCCATTATAAATGGTTTGTCCAAAGATAATCAGTTTGTTAAAGCTGAGAAACTATGTAAAAAGATGGAAAAACAAGGACTGGTTCCAAATGTCATTACCTACACGTCTCTAATTGGTGGCCTCTGTAAAAGTGGCAGGACTGACCTTGCGTTCAAAATCTTCCATGAAATGGAAGAACAAGGTTGCTTGCCGAACTTGTATACATATAGCTCACTCATGTTTGGGTTATGTCAAGAGGGCAAGGCTGACAATGCTGAGACGTTGCTTGATGAAATGGAAAGGAAAGGATTGGCTCCTGATGTGGTAACATTTACCACACTCATTGATGGTTTTGTTATGCTTTGTAGGCTAGATCATGCATTCTTGCTTCTTAGGCGAATGGTTGATGTGGGCTGCAGGCCCAACTACCGAACATATGCTGTGTTGGTCAAAGGGTTGCAAAAGGAAAGTCAGTTGCTGACGGAGAAGGTTGTGGGGCTCGTGGCCCAACATGAAGCAATGTATAGTTGCAGCTCTGATGAAAGCTATAACTTTTTTGAGGCGTTGTGCAATCTCTTAGCTAGGATGTCAGAGAATGGATGTGAACCTACTGTTGATACCTATGGTACTTTAGTGAGAGGCTTGTGTACAGAAGGCAGATATTATGAGGCAGATCAGTTGGTGCGGCATATGAAAGACAAAGGCCTGTGCCCCAATAGAAGGATTTATCTGTCTCTATTCTTTGTTCATTGTACAAATTTAAAAGTGGAATCTGCGCTGGAAATCTTTGGCTTGATGGAAGATAATGGATTTGAGGTTCACTTATCAGCTTATAAGGCACTTATTAGTGCTCTCGGCAGGGTGTGTCGGGCTTTAGAAGCTGAAACTTTATTCAAAAGCATGCTAGAAAAACAATGGAATACTGATGAGATTGTTTGGACTGTGTTAATCGATGGATTACTGAAGGAAGGGCAATCAGATCTATGCATGAAGCTTCTTCATGTTATTGAATCTCAAAAATGCAGTATCAGTTTCCAGACATATGTTATCTTGGCCAGAGAACTTTCTAAAGTAAACAAGGATAGGGGGAGTTCTCAAATTGTTAACAGAGCAAGTGATTTAAAGGGTGTACATTGATCATGGTTTCTTTATACACACGGAGAAAAAGGAAATTCGTTAACTGAGTTCCATTAATGAACTAATAAGAAATTATACTTTTTTCGCCGAAGGTGTATATATTCTTTTGCTGTCACAACTTTGCAGCTTGATCATACAATAAATGGTATGTAGATGGCGCTTTGCCTTCAAACCTTGTTAACATTCGTTACTTTCTATTACTGTCTTTGGTGATTATCAGAATACTTTAGTTCTGTTGGCTTTTGATTAATTTGGTCGCAATATTTGTCCAATAGTCACCAAGAAAATTCGATCGATGGTTACTAAGTTTGTTATCCTATCTACATGGAAGTGACAAGTTTTCAGAAGATAATTGTCTTCAGTTGGAACTGAAAATCTGGTGTGCATGAAGCAGCAACCTAAGGTAGACATGTAGGTTTGTTTAGACAAAGTATAAATGAATGATATTTGCCATTTGTGCGGGTTGATGGTTGGTGCAGGACTGTGTGTACTGTTTGGCAATTGATTTAGGGGTTAGGATAATTTCTGCCTATGCAGGCTTTTTAATTACATGGATTATCATATCTAGGAAGGCTTCTTAATACAGAAATGGTGATGTGTGTGATCATCTAGGCAGGCTTCTTAATTACATGGATAATCTTCTTTATGGTGCTCATTTGGTTGGTTTTTCATTGTTTGACATGCTTACACCATATTTATTCTGGCTTAGTGTTTATAAAATGGAATTGAGAGCTAGACATTCTTCGCATATATACTTGCAGGTGATACAGCTTGGACGTCCCCTAGTGGAAAGTTTCCTCTTTCCTCAGAAAATTTTGACGAGAAGATGTTAAGGTACACCTTGTTTGATACCTATGTTGGTTTATTTCGCTGTCGTTACCTCATACAATTTTGATTCATTGTATTCTTTACACCAAGAGTCATTTATAAAATATACCTCAGTTTTACAATAGCATATGTTGTGGTTCATTTAGTAAATTTTCGTTTTATGTTTTAGTTTTAGCTTTGATGGTCAAAATCATCCTCTCTTTTTTAATCTCTCTCTCGTCTCTTTTTTCCTTCTCTCTGTTATTCTTTTCATAAGAAAAAGAAATAAAGAAACTAAAAGCAAAAAAATCTAACCAAATTCCCATGGGATGGTCTCTTGATTCTGTATCGGCAAGTATAACTATTTTACTGTGAATTATCAACAAAAAGTAATCTGCAGTTGCCACTGATTTAAATCAACTTAAATAATGTCTGTGATTCAGAATTCCGGGATAAATATGCTTTGTAGTTGACGTGATGAAATTAATTTAATTAGACATTTTTGGTGTCGGGTTACTCAGGTCCTAAATCGAGCTAATTTCGCACCAGGGCTCTTAGAAAGAACTACCGGCCAAGATTACTGAACTAGTCCACTTTTTTGAATCTGCCTCTGAGTGTTCTAATGCAAATGCCAGTATGTGTGGCCACTTTCCGAATGTGGTGTTCAATTTTTTTAATTTTCCCAAAGGATGATAGCACTCTAAATCTTTGTAGGGTTTTTTTATTGGGGTCGAGATGAGCTCAGAGTTTGCTTTTTTTGTCACTTTCTTTGTGTTTCGCTGATCTTTGCCTAGTATTTGCTGGGATTCCCACTCCTTAAATGAAGAAGGGTAGAATGAATAAAGGCTTGGTTCATGCATGAAGACCCTAATATTTTATGGGTATGAACTATATTGTGGATCAATCTAGAAAGGTAAAAACGCATTCATTATCGTGTGAGTTCTAGTGTTCTCACCTTTCCTCCAAGTCTAAACCTATACAAACCCCCGAGTATGAGAAACCCTTTGAGTGAAAAGTAAATTATTATGTGTATGCAAGAGAGAATTTTGTGGTGAAAATCCCTGGAGGTGATTTTGGAAGAGACTCTGGCTTCCCGGCAGTCAGTTCTTGTGAGATTGTTCCTTTGTAATCCTTGGTATCTTCTAGTCCTGTCCACACAAAAATTATTGTAATTCCATCATTTTATATAGTAAAGAAGAATTTGTTCCTGTCCTCCTACTATTCAGTGGACAAAAGGCTCAAATGCTAAGGATGTAATCCCATTGTTTCTATGTTTGATGATGTTTGCCTGTTTTGGCCATACAAGGATGGGAAAGTTTGATCTTGAGTTTGCTAATTGTCTTTTGGCATTGTATTAGGTGACTCTGGTTCTCAAATGTATAATGGTTCAACCCCAGTTTCCAATCCTATCATGGAACTGAAAAATAAATTTCTAAATTTTTTGATTGAGCCTGCAGTGTCTGAAAAATTATAACCAAATGCCACCAATCTGATTATATTCGTCCAATTTGCAGTAGATTTTCCCTCTCCGAACCTCTCTACTAAAACCCTGCAATTAACTGATCATGCATATTGTAAGTAGTAAACTACTCTGAAAATTAGGTTCCAAGTTGAAATCTTTCTTCCTCTAATGAACGAATAAAAACTTATAGTTCATGAAAGGATGAAATTAAAATTAGTTTACCCTCCGTTTGGATGAGGGAAAATAACTCGGAATTTAGGTAAAAGTCGGGAATTGAAGAAGAGAAATTGACAATTCCCTTGTTTGGCAACTTAAACCCGGAACTTATTAAATGACGCGTGGAAAAAATCATGGAAATTGAGGTATCAAATTCCCGAGTTTAATTTCCACCAAAATAGGTGTCATTTCACAATTTCCGTAGTGCGGGAATTCATATTTTCCAGTGTGCCAAAACTTACATTAAAAAAAACCCACCAAACTTTTCATTAAAAAAAAATTAAAAAATAGCGCCAAAAACCCCTGAAACTGAGTATAGCCAGAGAAGTAAGGAGAATGAGTTCTTCTTGGGTTACATGGCTCTTTGGATCCAGTTTGAAGGTTAGTATTCAAGCCTTTCTCTCCTTCAATTTATATATTTTTTATTTTAGGGTTACCATGGTTTCTGAATGGCTATCAAAATTGGGTGTTTTTGACTAAATTTATGAATGTGTTGAATGGGTTTTGTGATCTTTGCGGCACTGTGGCTGGATTTTTGGGAAGTTTTAACAAAATACTCTATGCCCATGGATATTGGTGTGTGATTGGTGTTTATGGTACAGCTCTGTAGTTGTTTGCTAGCTTTATCACTTTGTGTTATCGCCTTGCTCTGTAGTTGTTTGTTAGCTTTATCGCTTTGTGTGAGCCATTAGATGTTGATTGTAAGCTACACCAACTTGCTCGTAAGCCGCAGCTTGGCCAAGGTGCTCCTTCATTCTTTGGGACTTAAATTAAGTCTTATGATAGTGATTCATTGATTTCATCATTTATTCCTATACTTTTGTTTGCAACTTTTTAATCAAAGCCCTTTCAGTTTCTCTGGTCATTGGTCTTTTGCCAAGTGAAAAAGAAGTATCATGGTCTTGATTGCTGATTGCTTCTAGTTCTAATTCCATAGTCACTCCCAATGGAGAAAAAAAAAGTATGTTACTGATGTTCATTGCACGTGGGGAGTGATTTGGTTTGCTAATATGCTTTGTTTGTTTAAGTTGAGTTATTTAGTTCATCAAACGATATGTTATTTCATACTTCGAGGAATACCTTCTATGTCAGTTATCAGTTTTTTTGTTCTTTCGAAATATTTAATTTCTTTCATTTATAATTTACATGAGCTATCCAAACATTGAAATTTTCAATTTCTGTCATTTACAAAATTCGACATACATAAATCCAAACACTGAAATCTTCAATTACCAGAAATTGAAATGATGGAAATCTAAATTCCGTCATTTTAAAATTCTATGCAATTTGCAATTCCTTCATCCAAACGGAGCATTAAAGATGTGGTTGAAGCCATAGATAAATGGATAAAAAAAAGTCAGTTTTCTTTTTTGGGTAAATAATGAATATACTGAACCAGGGTTGGGGAAATTCCCATATCAAGAAGAAACTAAAGAGAAACCCATATGAACCACAATGTGTGGTACGGTTGGTAAAGTGTCACCTCCAGTTGGCGAGCTACCTAGTGCCTCATTGGCAGAGGTTAGAAACTCGTTGGAAGCACTTTGTGGCTAGGGAAAGCCGAATTCCCAGCGGGGATTAATCTCATCCTTCGAGTGTGGGGACACCTCGTGATATTTACCAAAAAAAAGAAAAAAAGAAAAAAAGAAAAAAAGAAAAAAATCTATATGTAACTAAGAGACGTGAGTTTCCATGCATTTCAGTAAATATAACAAAATAGTTTTAAACTTTTGAAGATCCTAGTTTCATAAGACATATTGATATACTTGTCTAATGGTATCATTTTCTCCATAAAAAAATCAATAATAAATAAATGATATTCTCCTACCACTGGTTTTTGGGTTCAAGTGCTTGGTTTTCAAGGAAGAAAACAAAGGGGGGCCATCCACTACCAGAAAGGTTTTTGCTTTTGTTGATTGATTCTTGACAGAATCTCTGGGTTGCTTGGACCCCCACATGGCCTCCATTATATGACTTGCTCTTTGTCACGCATGAGCAATTATTGGCTCTTTGGTCAGTGTACCATTTTGTAGTTATACTCAATCATTTCATACAAAAACCATTATCATTTCAACTCTGCAAGCATCTCTCAACTTTGTTATTTTCTTTTCTTTTCTTGTTGCTGCAAAACCATTCTGAGTTTTTGTTCTTGGGTTTTATAAAAAAATTAAATATTTTTTTTTATAAAAAAAACCCTTGTGAATTTATAATAGTAGAAGCCTGATTCAACTGGTTTGATCACTTTCCACCAACAAAAAAAAATCAAGGCCTTGCTCAGCACCAATATTGCCCTTTTTCTCTGCTGCCATAGGCCAACTACCAGTTTCAAACAAAACAACTCCAAATCTGAGTATAAATGCTGAAAGGGCTCTGTTGTATTCTGCATATATTCTCTGTTTCCTTCCTCATTTCATGCAAACCTATCCTATCTCGTAGACCCCAAAAACAGGCAACAATAAGAATGGTAGGTCTTAGTTTTGGTGTGTAAATTGACCACAAAACTTAAAGATGTAAATGACAAACAGAAATGTAGCCTCTGGTTTAGAGAGCTTTTATTATATTTCTAATGCCAGCCCTTCTTCAGCTGCATGTACAAAGTGCATGAAAAATGCAGGGCAAGGAAGGATGCCTTTGTATTTTTTTCCATGTGCGAAGGGTCCCCATAAAAAACATCAGTACTTCAAATATATTCCTTCTGATCTTTGTCTTTTCTATGCATCCCCATCTTCAATTCCTGAACTTCATTTTCAAAAGGCCAAGACTTTGAAGGCCAGGTTTCATAGCAGGTACAAAAAAGAATCAATATTCCCCCAAGGCCACATGAAGATAAATCAGAGTCATCGATGCCAACAGCGTCTTAAAAGACAACAAGACACAAAGCATGACCTAACATTTGATGCTTCCAAACTCCATTCCAACTGCTACTTCCATTTTCATTTTGGACTGTTTTTCTTGCACTCTTGCTTTTTCAAAAAGTGCTTTTGCCTACCCATCCACCAACCCAGCCTTCTCTAGACTAGCCTTTAAATCTTTCCCTTTGGATTTTTGTTGCACAGCAGCCGATTCTTATTTATATTACATCATCCAAAATAAACTACAAAAACCCAATTTGCACATTTTAATGCCAAACAGAACACAACCCTTGTGCTATATAAACACATCCAATGCATTTTGCCCCTTCAGCACCAAATATAGCAAAAAAACAACAAAAACACCACCAACCCTTCAAGGCTTCAAAGTTCATCAAACTCTGTTTTCAATGGGTAGGGAAAGTTCTGATCCCACTGTGGTTAGTTCCTCCATTGCTCTCTTACAAGAGAGGTTCAGACAGTTGCAGAAAGTGAAGGAGAGGAGGGAGGAGCAGCAGCTTCTGAAGATGTTATCTGAGACTGATCATCATCATCAAAGGGTTGGCTCAATAAGGCATTTTGAATCCGATATGGCCAGGCCAAGCTCTCCTGCAGATCACTCACTCTCTCTGGGACTTAATTTGCAGACTAGACAAGTTGATCATTGTGCCATGAAGACACAGCCTTCCACAATCTCATGGCCCAACAATACAACAGCTGCCTCAGCAGCAAGTGCTTCAAAAAGTTTTGACAATTCAGACCTTGACACCTCTCTTCATCTGTAGACAAATCCTGGGTTCACTTTCTTTGTGGCTTCTCCATGTTTCCCTTTTTTGTATGTAATATTAGAAGAGTATGTAACTAATATAACTAATGTTTATTCATCTGAAATAATGAGATAAATAAAAGAAGAAATGGAGCAGCAATATTCTAGCTGCTCTTCTCTTCAATTTTTGGCCCTTTTGTTGGTTTTGCTTAACAACATTAACTAATCATGGGGACTATAGAGAGATTCACAATCAAGAAAAATGGATTGGGAGGTGATGGGTTTCTTTTGTTCTGTTAAAAAAAAATAATAAACACAACTTCTGAAGATTCATATCAACATATATATGTTCTTTTCTTATATTGATTTTGAGTTTGTGAAGACTGATGGTGATGAACAAAAAAGTCAGCAAGGCTTGCTAGATTCCTCATAAACTTACCATGCAGATGTACTCAGTTAGAAATTCCTAGCACCACTGATTGTTTATGCTTTCAATGGATTACTTTTGGAGCAAATACTTGGAACCAGATATTATTATTAGAGTTCTAGCTCTTGCTAGTGTATTTTTAATGAACCTTTCCTACAATAAGCAAATTCTCATAGCAACATGGTAAGATATTTTAGGAAAATTAAGTGCTAATAAATGGAAATCTCCTGATAACCAAGTTGTGAAGGTTAATTTCATGTATATGTTAAGAATAGGAATAGCCTTTGAGAAAGAGAAATAAATCAAGGCATAGTGAAATTTCTATTTTTTTATATTGGAAGTTATCATACTTTAACCTATTCCAAAAGCCAACGGGCTTTAGCCTAGTAGAAAATGGATTTCACTTGTAAAATGGTGGTTTCTGGTTCAAACCCTTATAGCACCTTGGCATTGTGCGTGCCATATATGGCTCTCTCCCTACTATCGCTTGTATTAAAAATAAATAAACATATTCGAAAAGAAAGCAACTATTACTGAGTCTAACTAGGCCGAGAACAGTTGTTATTACTGAGGTGCTCCCTCTTATTACTGAGATTTTAGCTGATGATGCTTGTATTTTGGCTAGGCCTAAAATGTTTGCTATTTAATTTTTTAAGTAATAATCTAAATTATACTAAATTAATTTAATCTACCAGAATGTAAATTCGAACTTGGGGGGATTTTTTTTTTTTTTTTTTTTTTTTTTTTTTTTTTTTTTAAGGGAAATAAAAAAAATTCATTCACAAATGATTGGCCCAAACTGATCTGCAATCTGGGCAGGGTATTAGCTGAGACTGAATGAGTTATTGGGCTCATATCAAAAGCTCCTACAAACCTAACCACTCAAAATACACAATAATAGAAAAAATTTAGTTTCATCATTTTCTTGAAGTACCAAATTGCCCTTATCGTCTCCAGAACCTTCCCAAACCCCCTCTCCGGGTCTCTCTATCAGAAACCCCTACTAAAACCCTAACACCTCTCTCCACTCTTCATCCCTCTGTCAGTCACAACTCATTGCTCTCTCTCCATCGCTTGGCCTTCGCCATCCATCTATCTATTTCAAACCAATATGCATAGGCTTCCTCGACGCTCCGTCTCCGCTATCCTGCGCCACGGCGGCGCACGTCGCCGGACCACCGCGGCTCCAATCTCCTGCGCTTCTACCCACTTGTGTTCGGTGCGTTCTCTATAACTCTTGGGTTTAGCTTTTCACGCTTTGAGAAAATGATTATATATAAAAAGTCTGAATTTTTATGTGTATTTGTGTAGGTGGGAGAAACTGATGCCAAAGTGAAATGGCACTCAGCGTTGGCCTCTGGGAAGTTTAACCCTTGCAAACCCACGGCTCAGTTTGCCTCCAAAAATGGACTGTGCTTTGGCAACCGGTTTGAGTCCACTGCTGCAGCCTCTGATGCATCGGCCGAGCCTCCCGCTGAGAGATTCGAGTATCAAGCTGAGGTAATGTCATTTCACCTGTTGGGTATCTTTTAGATTGATTTTGAGGATCAATGGTTTTGAGAGTGTTGTTTTCTTCATGGATACAGGTCAATCGCCTCATGGACCTCATTGTTAATAGCTTGTACAGTAACAAGGAGGTGTTTCTTAGAGAGCTTATCAGGTACCTATTTAATATATCTGATATTATGTAATATTGATGGTCTTTTCTTTCCTATTGGGTTATGTTGAGAGTCGAAAATTGCGTTTGGACAGGTGGAGCTTGAACTGATCATACATTGGAATTTGAGTTAACAGTACTAAACACACATTGGAATTCAAGAAATAGTTGTTGTGTTTGAATTTAGGTGGCACTAAGTTATTTAGCGTATGATATGTTGACATTATTAATTTTTCTGCAGCAATGCAAGTGATGCCTTGGACAAGCTCAGGTTTCTCAGTGTTACGGAGCCTGATCTTTTGAAGGGTGGAGGTGATCTTGATATCCGTATCCAGACTGATAAAGACAATGGGATCATACATATCATGTAAGCTTAACAAGCTTAACCGGTTTTTACAGTATTTTCTTTCCCTTAATGATTCTTCTTCACCATATCAATGGTGTGGTCTTTCCCTTTGTGTGAAGTGATTCTGGCATTGGTATGACTCGGCAAGAACTTGTTGACTGTCTGGGAACAATTGCACAAAGTGGGACCGCAAAGTTCTCAAAGTTGTTGAAGGTATAATAAGTCTTTGAGATATTATAAATTATTTGAATTTGAGATCCTGCATTGAGGTATTTTATATGCTTACAAATTTGTTTTATCAGGATAGTAAAGATGCGGGTGGTGACAACAATTTGATTGGTCAGTTTGGTGTTGGCTTTTACTCAGCATTCCTTGTTGCTGATCGGGTAAGTTCTTAACCAGAAAACTGTGAGCTCCTATGACTTTAAATCCGTTGCTTTTTCTTTCAGTCAAGTGGCTGAATATATAATAGTGTTCCTTCCCTTTCCATTAAGAGTTGAAACTTGTGTATAGAAATATCTGTACTGCTCGATTATTATGCATCTCCTGTTGGTTGTAGGTTGTTGTCTCCACAAAGAGCCCAAAATCTGACAAACAATATGTATGGCAAGGAGAGGCAAATGCTAGCTCGTATACAATTCAGGAGGAGACTGACCCTGAGAAGCTTATTCCTAGAGGAACCCGCCTGAGCTTGTATCTCAAGGTCAGTGTAAAACATTTTTGAACTTATAAATAAATAAATAAAACCCTGTATATAATTTGCCTATGACTTTGATCTCCAAGCTAATTCTTTCTCTGTCTGGCTACTTTCAGCGTGATGACAAAGGTTTTGCTGTTCCAGAACGGATACAGAAGCTTGTGAAAAACTATTCACAGTTTGTTTCTTTTCCTATATACACTTGGCAGGAAAAGGGGTACACTAAAGAGGTAAGGGTTTTTTCCCCATCTTCTCAATGCTTCTACTTTTGTCATTGGTTTTGTATGTTGTATGTTCAGGGAAATTATTGGGGACAATTTCATTTCAGGTTGAGGTTGATGAGGATCCAGCTGAATCCAAAAAGGATGGAGAAAATGAGAAAACCGAGGTACAAAAGAAAAAAACGAAGACTGTTGTTGAGAAATACTGGGATTGGGAGCTCGCTAATGAGACACAACCAATATGGGTGAGCCTTAACAGTTTCTTCTTTGTATGTTTACTCTGCTTTTTATGGCAGTAACTTTTTTATGCTCATATTATTCCAATTGATATGTACAGCTTCGCAATCCTAAGGAAGTCACTACGGAGGACTACAATGAGTTCTACAAGAAAACTTTTAATGAATACTTGGATCCACTAGCATCTTCGCACTTCACAACAGAGGTATTTTATGACTATTAAGATCCTCAACAAATGCCACTTGTAGTAGAATTTTGAAGTAAATGTTGCATATTTCTGTATTATCACATGATGTCTGCTTCTTGAGTTGGATAAAAGTTGTGTGGAGTTGACAATAACTAAGTTAACTATGGGTTTTTTTGTTGTAGAATTTTTAAAATTGCATATTTGTAGTGGCAACTATCATGATGTCTTCTTAAGTTGGGTAACAAATGGGTGTTATCTAAATTTGAATGACAATTGAAAATACAGCATTAGTGCCTGAAGTTAGGATGAAATGCGTAGTTCTGTTTGACAATGTACTCATACTTAATTGCTCATATATTCTGCTTTTAAGTTGAAGAGGTTGCTATTTGCAGGGTGAAGTAGAATTCAGGTCTATTCTGTATGTTCCAGCGGTTGCTCCTAGGGGGAAGGATGACATAGTCAATTCCAAGACAAAAAATATAAGTCTCTATGTGAAAAGGGTGTTCATTTCAGATGATTTTGATGGAGAACTGGTAAACAAAATAAAGACATTTTTACAACAGAGTAATGCATGGTTCTCTTAAATGTAAGCTTATTGGTTCTAATTGCTTTTACATTCCCTTTTGAGTAGTTCCCTCGATACTTGAGCTTCGTCAAAGGTGTTGTGGACTCAAATGATCTTCCACTCAATGTTTCACGTGAAATTCTTCAGGAGAGTCGTATTGTAAGTACATCTAGCACACTGTCGTTTTAACCTTTAGGTTCCAATTAGTTTACTTTAAACAAACTGTTGTTTCTGTGATCTACTTGAAGGTACGGATTATGAGGAAGCGCTTGGTTCGGAAGGCCTTTGATATGATCCTGGGAATATCCATGAGTGAGGACAGAGCAGTATGTTTTTGCTTCTGTTTTCTTATCATCCTTTGTTTTTTGTATGTTTTCAGTCTTGTGGAATTATGATACAAATTTCAACATCTTGGCAATTACTCCTCAGCCATGTCTTGTTCCGGAGTCCTGTAGCTGTGACTCTGAATCCTGATGTTTTCCAACCCCTCTGCTGCTTGGGGTAGCGAATGATATTGCCCCTCTACGTTCTTTAAACATATCCTTTGTTGTTTATTGCAGGATTATGAAAAGTTCTTCGAAAATTTTGGAAAGCATTTGAAACTGGGTTGCATTGAAGATCGTGAAAATCATAAGCGTATTGCTCCATTGCTTAGATTTTTCTCTTCCCAAAGTGAGGATGTGATGATCAGCTTGGATGAATATCTTGAGAACATGAAACCTGAGCAGAAGGGTATCTATTACATTGCTTCTGATAGTGTAGAAAGCGCAAGCAATACACCATTCCTGGAAAAACTTCTTGAGAAGAATCTCGAAGTATGTTTTGCCTCTCAAATAATTTGATGATACTATTTGATTATGCTGTTTTATGTATTTATGGATGATTTTTGTTGTGCTATTCTTGTAGGTGTTGTACTTAGTTGATCCAATTGATGAGGTTGCCATCCAGAACCTGGAATCTTACAAGGATAAGAAATTCCTTGATATTAGCAAGGAAGATCTGGATTTAGGTTAGTTCATTGGAGCCCTTTGAGTTGATCCGATTGACTTGACATTCTTGCTTCTTTGATTATGTTTCCTTTGCTAAGGAAATCTGATATGCATGAATGACCTTTCTGCAGGGGATAAGAATGAGGAAAAAGAAAAGGAGATTAAGCAGGAATATGGCCAAACATGTGATTGGATTAAGAAACGTTTGGGTGACAAAGTTGCCAGTGTTCAGATTTCAAACCGTCTTAGCTCGTCACCCTGCGTTCTTGTATCTGGGAAGTTTGGTTGGTCTGCCAACATGGAGAGGTAGAGTCCCTCTGTTGCTGAATACATATGTCAAGAATTCATATTGCAGAACCTGATTGTTATCCTCTGAACTTGTGATTGGACTTTTCCAGGTTGATGAAGGCACAAACTGTTGGTGATACTTCTAGCCTTGAGTTTATGAGAGGCAGGAGGGTGTTTGAGATTAATCCTGAGCACCCAATCATTCAAAACTTGAATGTATGTTTGCACAGAGAAAGCTACTCTCCCCAACTCTCCCAATCTTAAAAGACTTGATGGTTTTAGAAAATACAGTAACATTTTAATCCTGGTTTGCAGGCTGCAAGCAAGATCAACCCGGATGATGAAGATGCTATTAGAGCTATTGATCTTTTGTATGATACAGCTTTGGTGTCCAGTGGTTTTACCGTGAGTATTCAAGCTTGCTTCACATCTCTTGTTAAAACTACTCGGATTATATGATCTATAGCAACCATTCTTCATTGTAACTTGACCATTAAGAAATCCTAGGCCCTGAAATGAAAATGCACTTGACCTTGTGGTTTGGTGAAAATGAGAATTGCTTTTTTGGATTTGAAGGTGCCACTAATTTGTTGGTTTGAGACACTAATGCTAGAGACAAGTATCACTCTCTAGGAATCTGTTGTAGCCCATGCTAAGGATGATGATTTGCATGCTTATTTGATCAATGTTTGATCTTCTTACACATTCAACTTGTATGTCTTGTTGATGCAGCCTGAGAATCCAGCACAGCTGGGTGGAAAGATATATGAGATGATGGGTTTGGCTCTTTCTGGGAAATGGTCTACACCCGTCGCTGAGGTTCAGCAACCAGGACCCCAACACCACAACCCAGAGACGTTAGAGGCTGAGGTTCAGCATCCAGGAACCCCACATCACAACACCAAGATATTAGAGGCCGAGGTGGTTGAGCCTGTAGAAGCTGGTACCCAGAAATGAGTAGCAAGAGGCATTTTTCCTTTTTGACACTAAATTCTCTTTCTCATGCACAAAATTCAGTGGGTAGGTCTTTTAGTGGTGCAGTTGATAAATGTCTGGACATGAGTGTTTTATATATTTGAGGGAGCTGGTGACCAGAAATAAGAGCACAAAGCAACTTCCATTTTTTGGTACCAAACTTTCTTACAAAATTTCAGTGGTAGGTCTGGCTGGTGGTGTTCATATATGGAGACGAGTGTTATGATATATTTGATGGACGTAGGCTGTTTGGCTGAACTCTATGGGATTACTTAATAATCTTATGGTTATTTTGACTAATTCCTCTCTTTAATTTGTACCTGTTTTACTTTGTCTTTTATTTAATCAATGTGCAGCATAGGATTGACCTGCTACATTCACCCCAAGACTGCAGATATTATTTCCATATTACATCATTTTAAATTCTGAACCTCTACATTTAGCATCACTGCATTTATACGCGTTTAGAAAAATCTGAACTCTTTAATTGCTCTAATGGAATTTAATTATTTCACATGAGCACCATTGTATTAGAGTAAAAAGTCTCATTTTGCACTGTATCACTTACCCATCAATTCCCCCTTCTCTTCTGTAATCGCATCATAATTATCAAAAGCTGGAATTTGATTCCCAAATCAATTCGACTTATCTCATATCAATAAATTATCTTTTTTAATGTATTAATTTTGACTTAAATATGATATATGAATTAGTTCTCATAAAAAAAATTGGCGCAGAATCCTTAAACATTGGTTCTCATAGATAGTCTGATTCTAATTTATTAATGGTGCAGATTTGCAAGGAATATAATGTGAAACTAATACTTATTTTCAAATTTGATCAATCAAAATTATACAAGTATTAAGTGAGATAAATGTTTCCTAAAATATAATTTTAATTTTCCATGTATGCTATGGCATTTGTCAAAGAAACATGTGCAAAAGTCAAGCAGGCCAAGCGGCGAAGTTACCATTTTGACCTCGACAGTACAACGTGTCGTGAACGACGTGACTGGTCAGCAAATAAAAAACGATACCAGAAACGTGCTAAGCCAGTCAATTCCAACCCAAGACCGGCTGAGCCGGTCACCCCCAACGTTAAAAGTCTTCACTTTCCCGGTATAAACACCGTTGCCGTGTCCCAGGGGCAAAATGGGAAAACCACCTCTTCATAAAAAGTGAATAAAACTTCCCAATCTGTCTCTCCGCGTCTGCTCTCGTCTTCTCTACTGAGCTGAATTTCTCTCGGGCTTCGTCTGGTAAGCACTCTCTCTCTCCTTCTCTCTTTGTTCCTTCTGTTTGGTCGCTGAGAAAATCGTAGAAAATGAAAGAAATTTTGTTTAGTTGGCATTGAATTTGTTGCTGTTGATCTAAGAATTTAACGAAAAGTCCACAGTGAACAAAGGCAAGTATTTATATTAGGATCGGTTCCGTGACCTCTGAATTTGCTGCTTAGCCTTCCAGTTATTCTTATTGCTTTAATTCTCTCTGTGAAACGAAGCAGGTTAATCACCAAGCGAAGCAGATTCAACGGCATAGTAGACTTATTGTTTTGAAAAGAAAAAATTGGGGTTTTCTATTGTGTGCAAATTGGTAAAGGTCTGCCTTTTTGTAATATGTTTCTGAAATGTTGCTGTTGCTTGAACGTTGTTTCATTTCGTAATTTGGAGATTAGAGGCTTTTCTGAAAATAGCATGCTTAATATTGATAGTCTTACGGCAAGAAAAAGCTTAGATTGGTAGTATTATTTTATTCAATTTCAGTACTTCTGTTGTGATGATTAATTCTTTGGAATCAGTACGACTGGCAGCTTTTAATAGATGTAGTAGAACCTACATGATTTGCTTCTCGTAGCAGTTTGGGTAATCACAGGTATCCAAGCCAGTTTGATGTAACTGAAAATTTGTCAAATCGTCTCACCATGTGCTGTGTTGTTTTTGGGATTTCATCTTAACTGATAGTTGTAGATGTTTGTCTGTGCATACACATATGTCTTCTTTTGGGTGCTGAGTGCGTGCTGTTAATTCTCAACAATGAGAAATCTTCAATATTTTTTAAGATTCACTTTCAGATCTAATATGCAAAATGTCACGATAGCTTTCAGAAGAGTAAAAATGTTAGGGTACTTGGCTGATACTTATATTTCTGTAGTTGCAGAAGTAGCGGATCTGGTGGATGGGTACATCATCTGGCTCCAATATACACCACCAACCTTCATCAAAGATGCTTCCTCCTCGTCAGCAACCACGAGCTGGGGGACTACAAACCTCCCTTTCCCTTGTCTCTTCAGATCCTCGGCTTTCCCCTGAAGAACCCAGATCAAATTCTGATCACAGGCGTGAGTCCCCTACTGAGAGTGCCAGTTCTCGAGAAACATGGCCTGCTGCTGATGCCATAATGGCAAAGAAGATGGAGAATGGGAAAGCAGAAAATGATTGCCCGGAACAATCAGTCATTCGTCGTCTTTCCAGCGCCGATAAGATATCTCTTCGAGACATTGCAAGAGAGCGAGTTGATATAATCTCTGAAAAGATGCATCACCTTCCTGATGAGTTTCAGGAAGAATTAAAGAACAACCTCCGAGTAATCCTTGATGGGAATGGTGGTTCGCAGCAGAGAGAGGAATTTTTTATCCTGCAGAAGCTTGTTCAAAGTAGAACAGATTTAACAGCGAAGACTTTGATTAGAGCACACAGAGTACAGCTTGAAATCCTTGTTGCAATAAATACCGGGATTCTGGCCTTTTTGCATCCAAATATCAGTCTGTCGCAAACTTCCCTTATTGAAGTTTTCGTGTACAAGAGATGCAGAAATATAGCATGCCAAAACCAGATTCCAGCTGATGATTGTACATGCGAGATATGCACCAAAAGAAATGGTTTCTGCAATCTTTGCATGTGTGTAGTATGTAACAAGTTTGATTTTGAAGTGAACACTTGCCGTTGGGTTGGTTGTGATTTGTGTTCTCATTGGACTCACACTGATTGTGCTATTCGGGATGGACTAATATGCATGGGTGCCTCTGGTAAGAGTGGATCAGGGCCATCCGAAATGCTTTTTAGGTGTCGAGCTTGCAATCGGACATCTGAGCTACTGGGTTGGGTCAAAGATGTTTTTCAACACTGTGCACCTGCCTGGGACCGGGAGGCTCTGACGAGAGAGCTTGATTTTGTTAGTAGAATTTTCATGGAAGTGACGACCCTCGAGGGCAAAAACTCTTCTGGAAGTGTAAGGAACTCAAAGAAAAGATAGAAAGTGGACTTGCAGAGTCATCAGCAGCTTGCAGAGCAATATTGATGTTTTTCCAAGGTATATATTCAATGTTCATCCTAGGGAAGAACCATGTGTTCTGGTACTTTCAAGTCTACTGGAATAATATTTGTGGTTTATTAGGAATATTTGAACTCCAACTCTAGATAAATTTTGGTGGAATTTTCGTTTCAATTTTAGTAGTCTGCATATTGTGTTGCCCTTTTTTTATTATTCATTTATCTATATTGTCCTGATTTGAAGTATCTTCTTTATGAAGAGCTTGAGGTAGACTCTCCAAAGAGCCTGGAAAATGGGGAAAGTGGACGGCTGATAGCCCCGCAGGAAGCCTGTAATCGAATTGCTGAAGTGGTGCAAGAGGCCATAAGGAAGATGGAAATGGTGGCTGATGAGAAGATGAGAATGTACAAGAAAGCCCGAATGGCTGTTGAGGCTTGTGACAGGGAACTCCAGGACAAGGGCAGGGAAGTTCAAGAACTAAAGCTGGAGAGGCAAAAAAAGAAGGTACAAATCGAAGAGCTGGAGAAAATTGTGAGGCTCAAACATGCAGAAGCTGATATGTTCCAACTCAAGGCTAATGAGGCAAAACGAGAGGCTGAGAGGCTCCAGAGGATTGCTCTTGCCAAGTCAGATAAATCGGAGGAAGAATATGCCAGCAGCTACTTGAAACAACGATTGAGTGAAGCCGAGGCAGAAAAGCAGTATCTATTTGAGAAGATTAAACTGCAAGAGAGTTCACGGGCATCCCAGAGCAGCGGTGGTGGTGGTGACCCATCTCAGTTGCTGATGTACTCGAAAATGCATGATATGCTTTACAACGCCCCTCCTAAGGCAGACTGCCTGCCAAACGAACGCCATCCTTTCAGAAAAAATCCTTGAGGAGTGGTTTCTAGTATGTACCGTGTATTATTTTAACTTCAGTAGTAGCAATGTTACTTTCTTTGGTGAACTAGTTTGAATGCGATGACTTGTTGAATATGACCTGTGGCCTGTGGGCATTTTTATCTATCTACGAAGGCTGATAGCTTTTTAACTTTTTCCTCGTGTATAAAAATAAGTATATGTTTTGGTGGTGTTGGTTGAGTGTTTTGGGGTTGATTTATTTGATACATATCTTTTTATTATGTAAATTTGGCATTCAACAGAATGAGGTGCTTTATTATTATTTTCTTCCTAACACTAGTGACCCCATGAAGGGGGGATTTAACTTATTCGACCATTTATAACTTGAAATTACTACAAAGCTTAATTCATAGCTCAGTGCAGTGTTGGGCTCTTCTTTAGGTCACTAGCTGGAGAAGCCTCGTCGTCTCTCTTCGATGAAACCATGGATTCCGAGCACGGAGATTGATGGGTAAGGTTTACTGGAACGAACATAAAGTTCTAAACGCCATAGTGGTGCTAATGCCATGACACCTAATTGTAGAGCTGTTACAGACATTTGGAGTGACAATTTTGGCATTGTTTAAGAACAAGCCTGATCTTCTGGAATGGGTGACGCTGATGATCTTGCTGGGGGTGCTTGATGGAACCAGAGATCCATTTGGAAAATGCAGCAAATGCCCGAAATTTAGTGCGGTCGGTATCGAATGGCTGAGGATGAATTCTTGGAGATGATGTGGAGTGACTGCAGCTCCTGATAATTCCTGACCATTTGGCATGAAGAAGGTTATATCCGAATTTCGCAGCAATTCAGGGGATGCTGCTATGTGTTGACGCGAGTCTCCTAATTAATCAAGGAGATTTACTTCCTTGATTAATTAAGGGATTTACTTTCCTATTTTTATATAGTTGATAAATCATTATATAATTAGGAGATACTTTCCTAATTCTTTACTGTATCTAATTCCTTGTATAGCACCTTATGAAGAAGAATAAAGTTAACCTAATACCTTCAAAGGTTTTTTAGGTTTTAGACATAAAAAAAATTTCAGTTTTGGAAAAAGCCAAAGCTTTTTAAAAAAAGACAAAAAAACCGCTCAACTTTCAAATTAAAGACATGCAAATGTATTGGATTCCTTAGGAAATCTAAAAATAAATAAGGGCATTTTTGTCCATTTTTGCTTCTTTTAAAATTTTTCTCTCTCCTCTTGCTTTTTCTAAAATGTCCCTACATTCAAACCATATTCATATTTTAGCATAGTATCAGAGCAATCGATCCTCGATTGTCCCTAAGTTCTCATATCAAATTTTCTTCAAACACAAACCCTAAATCCTCATATCAAATTTCTTCAAACACAAACTCTAAATCCTCATATCAAATTTCTTCACACCCAAACCCTAAATCAAATTCCTCATATTTACAGCTTCATATTCAGATCTTCATACCCAAATCCTCATATCCTCTTATCACAAATTTTTTCTCTTATCACAAAACCCTAATAACATATTTTTCCTATTATTACATCCTTCCGTTGCCATGAATATCGTCTCATCTTCCCAAACCACTGCCTCCACTTCCCCATCCTCCAAAATTGCCACAACAGGTTCCCACGGTTATGTTTTGCATAGTTCTTCAAAGAAACACATCTGGGTCATTGACATCGGAGTCACTGATCACATGACCTTTGATCCTGGACAAATTACCTCTCATACACCGTCTTCTCAATCGGTGGTGTCTAATGTCAATGGTACCCCCTCCTCAGTAATGGGGGAGGGTTCCCTCTCTCTCTCTCTGACTCCCTCACTTTGGATTCTGTATTGATTGTTTCATCCTTACATCATAATCTCTTGTCTGTTGCCCAAATTACTACGGCTTTGAATTGCACTGAAAATTTTTGGCCTACTCATTGTGTTTTTCATGACATTGTCAGCAGCAAGACGATTGGTTGTGGTACTAAGAGGGGCAAACTCTACTATCTGGACTTGACATCTAACAGTTAAGCCAGCCTCAGTCACGCTTACAAAATTAGGGGTACGAGTGTTGAGAAGCAAACTTCCAAAGTATGGTTATGGCATCGCCGTCTTGGACATGCTTTGTTTGGATATTTACATAAGCTATTTCCTTCCTTATTTTCCCAGTTAGATATCTCCAGTTTTACATGTGACATCCGTGAACTAGCCAAGAGCCATCGTGTTCCTTTTCCCTTAAGTTCATATAAAAGTTTGGTTCCCTTTTCTCTTGTTCATTCTGATGTTTGGGGCCCGGCTAAAATTACCATTCCATGGGGAGCTAGATGGTTTGTCACGTTTATCGATGATTGCACACGTATGACCTGAGTTTCCCTTCTCCAAACAAAATGGGAAGTCAGTTCCAAGTTTCAAAAGTTCTATCAAATGGTGAAGACACAATTTCATACCAGAATTCAGGTTCTTCAATCTGACAATGGCGGAGAATTTTTCAACCATGATCTTAATCAGTTCTTACAAGATCATGGCATCATACATCAACGCTCATGCCCTTACACTCCCCAACATAATGGTGTGGTTGAATGAAAAAATAGACACTTATTGGAAGTGGTTCGTGCCTCTCTCTTTGGTGTATGCCTCGGTCCTTTTGGGGAGAAGTCGTCCTCTCTACAGCATACCTTATCAATCGAATTCCCTCCAGTATCCTCAATTTCCAAACCCCCCTTCAAACACTCTACCACCATATCCAAATACCTCATCCCAAAAATCTAGAACCACAGATTTTTGGATGTGTGGTTTTTGTCCACTTACATGATCACCAACGGACAAATTGGATCTCCGCGTCGAAAAGTGTATTTTTATTGATTACGCACCTCATCAGAAAGGTTACCGATGTTATCATCCTCCCAGTCAGAAGGTCTATATTTTTATGGATGTTGTGTTCCGAGAACACGACATATATTTTTAAGCCGTACAGGAGGAGCATCGCGATGCCAACACTTCTCAAATTTCAAGACTTTTTCCTTCTGAATTGTCACAGACTGAAAACGATCAGTTGCATAATGCAAACGACCAGTCGCCGAATACTCTACTTGAAAACGATCGGTCGCAGGAAGCACGCGATCGGTCGCCCGAGACTCTGCCTGAAAGCGACCAGTCGCTGGTTGAAAGCGACCGGTAGCCCCTTGGAAATCCAAATCTGCTTCAAAACGACTGGTCGCTAGGGGACTGCGACCGGTCATCTCCCTGCTGTCAAACTCAGGAGGAGAACATTGAAGAGTTTTTGCCTGCTCAGGAGAATTCTTCAGCTTCAGTACCACACCAATCACCTGCTGAAGACGTCATTCAAGTAACATCTTTTCCTGAATCTGATAACATTAATGAAATATCCCATGGTAATTTAACTTCAGAAGGCACAAAGCCTATATATGAGTTCACTACGAAGCAGATCTTAATGCAAAAGGGAAATATCTCATCAACAATTATGTATCCATCAGCAGACTATCAGAGTCACGGGTACACTTTGTGAAGCAATTGGCAGACATATCTGTTTCCAACAGTGTAACTGAAGCACTAGAAGACTCAAAATGGAAAGAAGCCATGAATGAAGAAATGCGAGCTCTCCAGAAGAATGGCACATGGGAACTCGTGCCATTATTGAAAGATATCAAGCTAGATTGGTGGCGAAGGGGTATACACACATAGATATGGGATAGACTACTAAGAGACCTTTGCCCTAGTAGCCAAGATTAAAACTATCAGAGTCCTTCTGTCTCTAGCAGCAAATCTCGATTGGCCATTACATCAGTTTGATGTAAAAAATGTTTTCTTACATGGAGACTTGGAAGAAGAAGTATATATGGACTTGCCACCAGGATGTAACTTAGCTCGTGACAAGGAGAATCAAGTTTGCAAGCTCAGAAAGTCATTGTATGGGTTAAAGCAATCCCCCAGGACATGGTTTGGCAGATTCACTAAATCTATGAAGAATTTTGGATATATACAGAGTAATGCATATCACACTTTGTTCTTGAAGTGTGATGGAAGAAGACTTACATCATTGATTGTTTATGTGGATGACATAGTCGTAACTGAAAACGACACAGGAGAGCAACTGAAACTGCAGAAGTATTTGTCTCAGGAATTTGAGATGAAGGATTTAGGTGATCTGAAGTACTTTCTAGGAATTGAAGTAGCCTGGTCCACAACTGGTATATTTATGTCTCAAAGGAAGTATGTATTAGATATGCTCACTGAAACAGGAATGCTTGGATGCAAACCTGTTGATACACCTATCGAGATGAATCACAAGTTATGTGAAGACATGGATCAAGAACCAACCAATAAGGAACAGTACCAACGCCTTGTTGGAAGGTTGATATATTTAGCTCACACAAGACTAGATATTGCATATGTTGTGAGTGTGGTTAGTCAGTTTATGCATTCACCCAGTGTATCCCATAGGAATGCAGTTGATCGGATCTTAAGATACTTAAAGTCAGCACCTGGGAAAGGGTTAACGTTCTCCAAAAATAGAGGTCTTGAAGTTGTTGGATATACAGATGTTGATTGGGCTGACTCCGTTACTGACAGACGCTCTACTTCAGGTTACTTCACTTTTGTGGGAGGTAACCTAGTCACTTGGCGGAGTAAGAAACAAAATGTGGTTTCTCGATATAGTGTTGAAGCAGAGTATTGAGGATTGGCTCACGAAGTTTGTGAATTACTATGGATCAGAAGACTATTGACAAAATTGGGGTTCAAGCCAGAAAAGCCAATAGAGTTACATTGTGATAACAAGTCAGTCATCGATATTGCCCATAATCTAGTTCAACATGATCAAACTAAACATGTTAAGGTGGATAGACATTTTATCAAAGAAAAACTTGAGAAGAAGATCATCTGCCTACTATTCGTAAAATCAGAAGATCAACTAGTAGATATCTTAACCAAAGCTATTTGTGGAAGAGTACTTCATGACTCACTTACCAAGTTGAGCATTAGTGACATATATGCACCAACTTGAAAATGAGTGTTGACGTGAGTCTCCTAATTAATCAAGGAGATTTACTTCCTTGATTAATTAAGGGATTTACTTTCCTATTTTTATATAGTTGATAAATCATTGTATAATTATGAGATACTTTCCTAATTCTTTACTGTATCTAATTCCTTGTATAGCACCTTGTAAACTTTTATATATATACCTCCTTATAGAGAATAATAAAGTTAACCTAATACATTCAAACCATATTCATATTTTAGCACTATGTACGAACTGAAAGAGGATAACAAATCCATGGTAAGACCTCGTTCTCATGTCAGCCATGGCTGCCTGCAAATCCGTTTCGTTGACTTGTTTTGCAGGCTTAGACTCTCCAACTGTAAATAGGAGAAAGATGAAAAACCAGATGGCCATTAAGTACAACTTTGGGTGTAATTCTTTGAGCTGCTGATGTACAGGGTTGGTATAAAATTTATAGATTGGTTTGCATTTCGTTCTTTTTTAATCATTAACCAAAGATGATCGGTTGAATGTTTGGCTGCATTCATACTATAAAGGGGTTCACTTGGAAGGTGATTTATGCATGACGGGCAGGAAGTAATTATGCTGGTTTTTTTTTGTTTTTTTTGTTTTGTTTTGTTTTGTTTAACTTTGATCTACATTTTATTTCTCTGTTTAATCTAGTGGTCCCAAGTTTCCCCTCTAGTTTATTTTTAAAAAAACAACAATTCTATTTTTATGGTACCCAAAAAGAGATTGTTCCAGTGATTAGACACAATTAATATCTTTATTGCTGAACAAAAACATTTCAAAAATAAATGTTATGGTTATTGCATAAAATAACGTTCACTCGTGAACTTGAAGTTTTAAGTTTCATCCTCTTCATCTAATATCGTTTGTGCTAAAAAGAAATTTCTTTTAAAGTAATAACAATACAATGTTGACCCTTTCAGTCAAGTGGGCTGCATTCAAATGTGATTAAACGGTTGTTGTATGATCGTTATCTTCTTCTGCTTAAATATCAAGCTCTTGACCAAAAAAGAAGAAGCAAATATCAAGCTTTGAACTTCAATTTGGCTGCATTACAAAGTTTGAATTTGAAGCTCAATTTTGACCAAAGAATATATAGGTCCAATTTGTTGAGGACAGAATTGGAGATTGCAATCTTTCAAACTCAATATTATAATAGAGCAAAGATAAGAAGAGTAAACATCATGCGTGAGAATGACCCAAAAGAGACTGGTAGCCTTTCAACATCAACATCACATAAAAATGAAAGAATTTTTAAAGCTATTATTATGGTCAGATAAATGGAAACTACTTTGATAAACTGTTAATACCAAATTAGGAGCAAATTGCATGTCTGAGATCTGCGCAAAATAGCGAACAGATAAACGAAAACAAGAACTCTGTCAAAGAACAATTGAGTGATTTGTAGTAACCTCAGTCAAAGACAATGTAGACAAGGGCGGAACAAGAAATTTTTCAATGGGTGGGCTAACTAAAGTTATTAGCTTAAAATCTATTTTTTTTTTTTTTTTTTTTTTTTTTGTACTTACAAAAAAAAAAAGAGCCATATTATTCACGAAAGGGTGAATTTCATTTAGAAAAAATGCTTCTCTTTTGGAGACAAATTAATAGAAAATGTTTAAAATTGATGTTGGGACAAACTTTGACACCAAATACAAATGTGGAAGATCTCTTACTATGCATATTGGTGTTGAAATTGTATATTTATTTATAGTTAAAATATTATTATATTTAATTTATTTTTTTCCCAAACCATCCCTGGGCTACATCCAAGGGCAGCCCTTGCCTTGGTTCCGCCCATGAATGTAGAACCAAAAGAGAACATGAACAGTGTTAGAGAGCGGATTTTGGGAGAATGATTTGATTGAGAATATAGCCTAAAATGGGTGGTGAGGAATTTCAATTTGAGCATGGCTTAGAAGAAATCACCACAAGAGGCTTCTTATTCAAAACACCCCACTGAACTTATTCACTAACCCAAAAGAAAAAGATGAGAAGAGAGGAGGAGGAGGAGAGGCAATGATGCTTCTTCCTCCTCCCCCTTCTATGGAGTTTTTCCTTTGGAACTCATAGAGAGAGAAAGCGGCTAGAGTTTTTTCAACTATCCCAAATAGGCTTGTCACCTTCTACCTGATAGTGTGTACTAACTATAAGTACAATAAAGTTGCTTCAACCTTATTGCGGCTCGCATTAACATTATTTTCGTGACTTTCAATTTAACGAAAGATTTTGTAAAATCATTATACCATGTCATCATATTTGAAGTGATATTAATCTTTGAAGGTAATCTATTTGAAGCTAGTGAGTTTCTTCTCAATTTTTAGGTAAATGACATTGTTTGAGTGGGTAATCATGCCATTTCAACCTAATTACATAATATGGTTGTGCAACATATATATATATATTTTCTCCAGAAGAAGATATTGCAAATGTTAAGTTATTTGCTGCCTAATGGATATGGTTTTTACTAGAAAAGCAATGCTTATGATTAAAATATTTATAAATAAATAAATAAAATTATACTCTTGATGATTGTTAGTTTAAAGTTAGAGTTTTTCTATTTAAACACTGCACTTCTCTTTGTTCACCTCATATTCTAAGTTCACCCCAACTTCTAATTTAAATTTTCACACTTTCTAAGAAAACTCTACTATCTTCTTAAACTACCCTTAAATACACACCTAGCAGAAAAATAAAAATAAATAAATAACTCATCAACGTCACACCTCACACCCCACACCCCCATTATCTTGCCTCTCACCACTCTAAGTTCACATTACTTAAAAATTAGTTTTTTTTTTTTTTTTTTTTTTTTTTTTTTTTTTTTTTTTTTTTTTTTTTTTTAACATTGTTGTCAAATGCATAGCATTATTTTATTTTATTTTATTTTAAAATTTATTTTCTTGTTCAACAAAGCAAACCTATATGGCAATTTTCAGATTATATATCAATCGAAGGCTTAGGCAGACACGGTTTCTTTGCTTCGCAGTCAAGGTCTGGTTTTTTTTTCCTCAAGTTTTGTTTCTTTGATTATGATGATTATTATTATTATTTCTTATTTGTTTGTTTGATTATGATTTTCCGTATTTAGGGTTTGTGAAGATAAGATGAGAGTGTAGTAAGTTTCTTGGATTGAAAGAGAAGAGTAACGGAGTTCATGTTTTTCTAAAACTTAATATGAAGTATTAAGTTGGATGACCTTTTTTGTCTTTTTACACAATAATAAAACTTAAGAGCTAAATTATTTAAGTATTAGAATAAACAAAGAAAAGTATGGGGGTTTAAATAGAAAAATGCTTATAATTATTCTTGTTGATAAAATAATTATTCCAAAGTTAATAAATAAATCAAGCATTATTGATAATAGCTTTAATTATAGTTGTGAACCTTTGGCTTGGCTGGTTATAACGTGAAAATTAGGACAATATGCAATTTTATGGAAGCTATTCGGACATTCCTTTTCATGGGAAATCCCTGTATTAATCATCAATTCCTCAAATGAAAGTCATTTCAAAATTAATAATTCCGCGCAGTTAAAATAATTGCAAGGATACATCATATAATTCCGCTAATCTGCCCATGCTGTAACGTGAATGTAGGATTATCATTATTTTTTTATTTTTTTATAAAAGACGATATAATTTTATTAGATTAATAGGAATAACATTACGAGGGACACAGACTATAAAGGGAGCCATCCCAATAACAATATGACAACAAACATGAATAAAATTTCCCCAGTGACTTGAGTCAGCTGAAAAGCTGAAAGCATCTGGAGACTATCACTCTCGAAAGTAATTTTTCTATAATCCCCTCAACCGCCATAATTTTTCCAAATTTAGTCTAATGATATCAAGGACAAAAACTAACAGCTAACCAGCATGACTTTCCTAGAGAGACTAAGAACACTCATCAAACTCAACTAAGTTTCTAAAATTATAAGAGAAAAAACATAGAAAACTCATAAAGTTTCTAGACTTTATTGAATAAACAAAACCAAAATAACAAACTAAAACAACGTTGTCAAAAGGAAAAACCAACCGCAACTAATTTTCCTTCGGAACATAACATAGAGAGCATCACTTATTTATTCTTATTTTTATACAAACGATATTTAAAAAAGTGAATTCGAGCACAGAATTGATTCAAGAATAACGGCCCTTGATCCCTTAAACCACAAACCTCATGCTCATTATTGTATTCTAGATGTTCTTTCAAGTTTCAATGGACAGAGCAACTTATTGTAAATTAATTGGGACTTGCCATCAATTGGGAAGAGGAAAGGAACAGTTATGGATTTCTATAAGACTATATAACCATGCATGGGTGACATATAGGTAGGTAGGTAAGCCATGGTATTTATTTTATCAGACTATCATTTTTATTTATTTATTTATTTATTTTGTTTCTTATCAGACTCTCATTTGAGTTGTTGGAAGACTTTGAATGGTTTTGGAGACAACTAAAATTAATGATTGAAAAATGAGTAAACAAACAACCAAAGGCACATTAAACTAACCCTAAGGGGTTTGTGATTACATAAACTAAGAAATTGAATACTATTATAGTGCATTTGGAATGTGAGGCTTCCCAATATACCATTTTTAGTTATATTTCATAGTTTCATTATTTAATTGAAATGTTGACATATGAGCCATAAACAT